ATACAACTCCAAGAGAACCACGAAACAGCCTCCGTTCCGTTCGGTATAGAGGAGCGTCCTTCCGTATAACTGTATTTTTCTGGTGTTACACTATGGGCAATTTTTCTCCTGTCCGAAGCGTCGCGCTTTGAATGCACAGGATTAATAGAGACATGTTTTTGCGGCGTAATTGGCCGTTTGTGAGACTCGAACGTGAGAGCAAAAGCGGACGGCACGGCCGCCGCGGTCGTCCTGTTTTCCCGTTACAAACGCTCGCCAGCCGCCGGGGCGTCTAAACCATCCGACGTGACCGTCCGAGGCTATTTTGCCGGGCGGCGCGGCCGGGTATTTTTGTCACGCGTCCTCCCTGGAGTGGGCCCCGCGGCCGCGGGGGAGGGGGCGGGGCGCCGCTGGGCCCGGCCCGCGCCGGGCGCCGCGTCGGGCGTAAATTTCCCGGTCGGCGGCATTAATTCGCGGCTGGGAGATCGAACCGGGTCGTGGCAGGGCAGGGCTCGGCGCGTGGCGCGCCGCCGCGCTGGGGAGGTCGGGCCAGTCACTCACCGTGGCTGCCCACACCTGCTCTGCCCGTGGGCCATGCTCGTGTCTGTCCGCAGTAGCGAGGGTTATGTTCATTCGCTGCGACTGTCGAGTTTCGAAAGTCATTGGATTGTGGAAGTTGCTTTTGAACTTGCCTCCAGCGGACCAGTTGGTTGGCGCTGCCGACGTTGAATTGTGATGAGTTGGTCCGATCGCATACTAAAGATGTCTCAAATTGAACAAAAGAGCCATTCTGCTACAGCGTTTCTTCGTCAAAATGCCATAATTGAAAACAACGTCGTAGCATTTTTAGCTATCCGTGTGGCCATCGTTTGTAAAGGCCACGTGCAATCGAGTTGGTAAATAATCAAGATGCGAGCATATTTACGGCAGACTTTTAAGGTCTTATAGAACTGGCCAGAGAGGCTGCTTATCTCGGGGTTCCGTGTTCCAGAAACACACTGAAATGCAGGACTGGGGCCAGAGGAAAATACTAGAGGAATACGACTTACCGTACACCTTTTTAAACGCGTTAATCTCCGTCGCATGAAATCACGTTCAGAGTTTTGTGGCGGTTTAGGTGTCATATAGATGCATTATGATTGCATTTATACTACGATATTGCCTGCAAGCAATTGGTTTTGAGATATAGTTGGCTAAAGATATGTTGTGGAACGTAACTGAAACCTATGTAAACTCAACATTTTAGATACTGATGGTCATAATTACAATCGACACGAGAAAACATTAAAAGGAAAGTAAGATGACCTTACAATAATTTCGTTAGGTCAGTTGTATTTTTGATAAAGAATGCCACCTACTTAAGGTAATTAAGGAAGTACGTAACGTTGAAGTATTTCTGTAGAAGTGCATGACATTGTTCACATTTTGTCAAAAGTCCTTTCATCAAAAACTTTCTTTTTCAAAGGAAGCTGCAATGCCACGCTCTCGAGTAAGTTCAGAAATGGTAATGCTTAACGTTAAAGTAAGTCGTATTTTTTATCAAAGATACAACTTACCTAACGAACATCACGGATATGATTATTGTAAGGAGGTCATCTTAATTCCCTTGTAATATTTGTCATGCCTCACTAAACAAACGCTGCACCATCTTAGGGCATCAGAAAACGCACCGACGACTGTTCTTTGCGCTTGGGTTTACGAACTTAAGAAAATAAATTATGGAAAACGAACTTAGTATGCCAATTTGTCTGCGCGTATGTATGCGTATGTGTACGGCTTGAGGGACGTACTGACCGAACGGTCCGCGCCTTTGGTTCCCACGTGCGGATCCTGGTTCGAATACCAGTCGCGGAATGTGCTCTGATCGCTAATATGGCCATTACCGCCGCTGGCGCTCCATAAAAGGGCCATTGACGACCGTTCAAGAACATAAAAACATGCGTTTCCTTAAAAAAAAAAAACATCCGGGACCGTATGGTTGGCAACGTCCGGTAGTATTTAAATCCGTGCACTGGTATATGACGATATGTGTGTGCAGTTTGATATAAACTTCCCAGGTTAGCGGTTCCGTTTGCGGTCATACGACGGATGCCACGTACGCATGCCCCTGCCTTGAGGCTCGACATTTGTGTGCCCGTGGATCACTGCTCAAATGCCCCATTGCATCAAGAAAATCTTTGGAAAAGAAAGCTTTGTATGAAAACAACTTTGACAAGATATAAGCAATACCACGCATTTCTACAGATATGGGGTCCTTTGGTATAGCTCACTATCAGCTCCCCCCCCCACCCTGTCATGGGATTGATGTTGCCGCCATGCATCACACGCCCACACGGCGCGGTAATACGAAGTGCGAGTACTCTGTAAGGACTCTGTCACGTCGCGTCAGCTGGTCTCGGCACCGCGGGTTGTAAGTGGCATCCGGCGTATGTCACGGAGGAGGTGTACCGCGCCAGATGGTGTTTCATGAGGCGCTGGATGTTGGTGGTTTAGTGGTGGCGCGGATAGATGTTGTTCGCACGACACGGTAAATGTATGTTACGCTCTGCCACGGCAATCGCAACAGAAAGAACACGATGTTAGTGCCAGTTCCATGTTAACGGCACGAAAAGGCTTCTTGTTCCACCTAATGCGTCTAAAATGAGCTGTCAGAGTTCTTAATTAAGTCTGGTGGGACGCTTAATTGGTTAAGTGCGCCTCGCCAGAAGGCGTTCCGGTGATTGCTTCACCGTCTTCTGCCTGTCATACCATGGTTCACGGCTATCTGGCCTGAGAAAAGCACCGGATGCCCGGGAGGGCCAGCTGTTTGCCGCACCCGCTGATGCTTTGATCCAGGGTGCCAACTGTGGACCCCCAGGTGTGCAGTCCAGCCGACCGCGTCAGGGATCCCGTCCGTCCTGTGGGGCGCTCGTTAAGTCCTGACTGCACCTCGGTGTGCAGTCCAGCCGGCCGCGTCAGGGATCCTGTCCGTCCTGTGGGGCGCTCGCGAAATCTTGACCGCACCCCGGCGAGCAGACCACTCGACCGTGTCAGGGATCCTGTCTGCCCTGTAGAACACTCACAAAGTGCCGGTCTCCCGGTTGCGCACGCGCACTGTGCACCACTACGGAGTCGCCTGCGAGCATATCATCAGCGCTTCGACAAACACTCCACTGTCTTATTCAACTCTTGCGGTAGATGTATGAATAAAGAAAACGACTTCGTTAGATGACGGAAACTTCTTTCATCTTCGAAATTATTATGAAGTGCATAAGGAGTGCTGTCGTCTGAAGCGCCTTCTTTATCCTTCAGCTTTGTCTGGAGCTTTGTATTCCTGTTCTGCCCGTAAGCTAAACCCGAGTCCACCATAAAAGTGAGTGAAAGGTACCGAGAACGACAAAATGTCTGTGTTCTCGAATATGCTGTTCGTCCCCAGCGGATTTTATTCAACACATGGGACGCAAAATAACCAGCGTAGGTGGCGCGCCCTAAAACCCCAACCACCATCATCTTTCCACAGCGTGCACATAAGAAACGTGTTCCGGGCCGATTTCACCGCACAACGGTGTTATGAAAGAACAGGCGTTATGCTGTGTGACTGGCATCAAGCACCATGCCGTCTCATTCGCCTGCGCCAACCGTGTTGTGGCGACCAAGTACTGCAAGGGCTACCTCGGGACATGCAACACTATTATCTGTATCTGCTGTCAGGAATCGTTCAAAAGCAAGCAAGCGTGGTTTCGATGATCTGTTCCAATCGACGATCGAAGAATATACCGCCTGCTGGCATAGGCTAGCCACGAGGATGCTTTTCACTCTCATGCTCTGATTGTTCTGCTGTCTGGTCCTCGTTGACGTCCTTTTGTAAGTTAGGCCGCGGGAAAGCGAATCTAGCCTTATCCAATCAGCGGACCCATGCGGAGTGGCTGAATAAAGTAAACTTTGTACGTCACCATTAGGAGTAGGGTGCAGGATTTCATCATGTTCGCAACGCCAGCCCGAGGAGGAGGAGGGTAGACGGGGGGGGGGGGGGGTACAGCGTATCGCTCCCAACCCTGGGCCTTAAGCACATTGCTACCACAGCTACCGTGTGCCAAACATTAATACGCACTCGCGTGGGAGGATTAAATTACCCCCCCCCCCCCCCGAAGGTTTTTACCAGAATGGTTTCTGAACGGCGCGGCCCAGCCGCGCCAAATTTTGCAAAGCCGTAGACAATTGAATGGCGGGTCGTTTGGCATCAAAAATTTAGATGCACTTTGTAAGGTCGCTGACCTATGGCTGGTCAAAGTCAGGCCATGGTTTCAGCGAAGGCAATTTCTATGGAATCGTTCGATCTGATGCACTAGCGGAGTGTTACACGAAGCCAGACATCTCTGAGATGCTTTCTTAGGCAACATAACAGTTGAATAAGTAAATTAATTTGATCTAAGGTCAGGTATGAATGTCAGGCCAAGGTCAAGAACAATCTGTTTTATTACTCCAGGGCTTGCTGTATGGATGGTTTCTGGCGCTCATTTACAATTTATTGATTACAGGAACCGCATTATACATCTTCCATGGACTTCCAGAGGTCAGAATAGGTCATTGCCCTAAAATGACCCGGGTCAACATTTTGTTTTTAAGAACATACTGCCTAGCGTAATTTGTCCCGCTTATTCAAATGCAAAACTCGAGCAGTGCTGTATGATTTTGGTCACCATGACCTTCAAAAGATCAAACGAGGTTGCGACCGTAAATGAGCGTGCGACCTTTTGCTTAGAAACGGTTATCGAGGTTCTGGGGGCACTCTGGAGACCAACCTGTAACTAACTTTGTTCGATCCCATTTAACCCAAAGGTTGTGACCTAGGAACTTGAAACTTTGACGTAGGTGAGTTCACGTACAGGTCAACACAACCTGTAGGTTTGGTATCTCTAGCCTTCTCAGTTCCCAAGATCTCGGGGGTCAAATTGACCCCCGCTCGAGCGAAGCGTATCCAGCCAGCCACCCGGGCGCGTGTTGACAGATCACATTACCGCCGGATTTCCTCGTGTCGTCAGGTTCATGACGGCGAAGGTGCTGGAGCCCTACTGCTGGCTGCTGCGCTACTTCGACACCAACACACCGGAGGCCAATCACTGCGTTCTCAAGATGCTGCACCGCGTGGCGTGGGACCACCATATGTCGGCCATGCTCTTCCAGGTGAGCCCGCGGCAACAGCGCTCTACGTCGTGACGGCTGGGCGGATGTGTCGCAGGCCGCTCGCGTGTGGCCAACAGTCATGTGCTGGAGCGTGGCTGTCAGGGCAGCCAGACGGATGTGTCTCAGGCCGCTCGCGTGTGGCCAACAGTCATGTGCTGGAGCGTGGCTGTCAGGGCAGCCAGACGGATTTGTCTCAGGCCGCTCGCGTGTGGCCAACAGCAATGTGCTGAAGCGTCGCTGTCAGGGCAGCCAGACGGATGTGTCGCAGGCCGCTGAAGCGTCGCTGTCAGGGCAGCCAGACGGATGTATCGCAGGCCGCTCGCGTGTGGCCAACAGCCATGTGCTAGAGCGTGGCTGTCAGGACAGCCAGACGGATGTGTCTCAGGCCGCTCGTGTGGGGCCAGCAGCCGTACGCTGAAGCGTCGCTGTCAGGGCGGCCGAATACCGGACGCCGTGCAGTCCGTTGTCGCGTATCTGCTGTGCAAAAGTCGGCCCTTCCTCCATATACGTCGCTAGGGCTTCCTCGACTGTAGTCGTGCCCAGTGTCAGTTCCGTGCGCGCGCGCCTCTGCCTCGCGCCCGTACATGGACCGCCGGTCCCAGGCGCGCTCGGCGGCGCCTGCCGTGACCACGAGCAGGGCGTGGCGGGCTCTCGCTTTATCGCGGAGTCCGCTCAGCTCCGCGTCGGCGGCCGAGCCACCTTAGAGACGCGGCCAGCCCATTTGATCGAGCTCTAATGAACACCCCGGTTTTATTGCAGGCCAGCCTATTCAGAACGTTCCAGCGGATGATGGATGACGTGCGCCACAGCCGAAACCCTGCATTGAAGGTGACCGGCGGGCGCTGGCGCATTAATCAGACCTCGGGCTCGTGCCGCCGCCCGGGAGAAGCCGCCAGGCGCGGCGGAGGTCGGGATCCTGGCGATGGGGGGGAAGGGGGGAGGGGGGGGACGTACGTCCAGGAAAGTGCAGGATGCGAGGATGTCGGCACGCGCTGGGTGAGGTGACCCCTGACCTGTGCGGGGAGGGCGGGCGGCCCGGAAGGATGGTGTAGGGAGGTTAGCACGCGCTGGGTGAGGTGACCCCTGACCTTTGCGGGGAGGGTGGGCTGCCCGAGCGATGGTGTGGGGAGGCCGACACGTGCTGGGTGAGGTAACCTCTGATTTGTGCGGGGAGGAAGGGCGGCCCGAGAGGATGGTGCGGGGAGGGTAGTATGCGCTGGGTGAGGTGACCCCTGACCTTTGCGGGGAGGGCGGGCGGCCCGAGACGATGGTGTAGGGAGGTCGGCACGCGCTGGGTGAGGTGACCCCTGACCCGTGCGGAGAGGGTGGGCGACCCGCCCGAGGGGATGGTGTGAGGAGGTCAACATGCGCTCGGTGAGATGACCCCTGACCTGTGCGAGGAGAACGAGGCGACCCGAGAGAAGGGAAGGTCAGCTGACACGTTGCTGATTGGTGGCTGGCCATGACGGCCGTCTTTTCCAAATTAAACCTCAACATGACGACTTTTGACGTGGCAGTGCCAGTTCGCAAGTCGCAGGCGTTCGTCCCTGATTGGCAATGGTTGGTTGTGTCTGACTTCTTCGTGGGACTTTGACCTTGTTTAGATCTTCTCTGGGTCGGAATTCACGTTCAGAGGACTAGAGCAAGTTGTAAGAAGGCTATTATTTTCGGATGCGGGTAGAGCGAGCTGTCATCTTTGCAATGCGTTCATGAGGGTCCACTACTCAAAACTAAAGTAGGGTATATTTACTTTTGTGGACAGAGAATGCTTGTTTGGGTCGATGGGTGCGATCGATTGTTATCGCCCTGCGATTGGAGCTCGGCATTGATGCGAATTGGGAAAATCCAGTGCCTCTGAACTAATTCCTTTAAATCCAGCGGGCACCGTTGGTCTGGTGTCGGCCACCCGTGCTGGTGTCCACCGGGGGTCTGTGGCGGTCAGACCGCCGCGCCGCCTCTGTGCACCGGCCCGGTCCGGCCCGGCCGCAAACGACCGGCGAAGTTTGACCGACCCGGCGCCCGTCCGGCACACCAGACGTGAATTATTTCTGCTGTTTGTTCCAACAAGAAATTGAAACCAACTAACGAGCGAAGTTGGGTGATCACGCCATCGTCCGATGCGGCTCGTCTGCTGACCAATACGGCCGGTGTTTTCCGCTCGTCGATCGGGCGGGCCGGCGCTGGTCGGCTGTCGGCAGCGCGCCGGCCGACCTCCTACCCGTGGGCAGGGGCGGCTCTCTGGCCGGCTGTCGGCGGCGCGCCGGCCGACCTCCTACCCTCGGGCAGGGGCGGCTCGCTGGTCGGCTGTCGGCGGCGCGCCGGCCGACCTCCTACCCGCGGGCAGGGGGCGGCTCGCTGGCCGACTGTCGGCGGCGCGCCGGCCAACCTCCTACCCGCGGGCAGGGGCGGCTCGCTGGCCGGATGTCGGCGGCGCGCCGGCCGACCTCCTACCCGCGGGCAGGGGGCGGCTCGCTGGTCGGCTGTCGGCGGCGCGCCGGCCGACCTCCTACCCGCGGGCAGGGGGCGGCTCGCTGGCCGGCTGGCCGGCGGCGCGCCGGCCGACCTCCTACCCGCGGGCAGGGGCGGCTCGCTGGTCGGCTGTCGGCGGCGTGCCGGCTGACCCCCTACCTGCGGGCAGGGGGCGGCTCGCTGGTCGCTGTCGGCGGCGTGCCGGCCGACCTCCTACCCGCGGGGCAGGGGGGCGGCCTCGCTGGTCGGCTGTCGGCGGGCGCGCCGGCCGACCTCCTACCCGCGGGCAGGGGACGGCTCGCTGGCCGGCTGGTGCCGTCATGCTTGCTGATGTTGGTCCGGTGCCGGTCGTTTTGGCGTCGGCTGGACTCAACCAGCGGGAGTGGAAGCGTCTAGTGTATTTCCAGAGGCACTGACCCAGCAGCGCAGAATAATGCCGGGGGAGTCGGGGTTAATATGCCAAGGGGATTTGTGGTGAGTTAAATAGTAAAGGACCCAGCGACATTTTTTGTAGTTTTGTTTGTTGCGTACATATACGTTCGTGACTTCTGATTCTATTTTGTGTTCGTGCCAGCTGCTCTACCACCAACGCCGCGATTTGGTAATTCTGTCCTCAATTTTTAATTATTACCCCGGCGGGCGTACGTTCATTTTAGCGATGCGGCACCCACGCAGAAGCGCTATAGTGTGGCGAGCCGAATCTCTCCCTCCCTCTCCCACACCGAACAGACGACGCCTGCAACCGTTCTGCCTCGTTTTTGGGCCAAATGCCGATCGTGCAGGTCTCATTTATTTTCTCGTTCCAGGGTCATGACATAAGAAATATTTTCTTTAAGTTCAATCTCTTGATGCGTTCACTACATGCCCAGCGCACCACATGGCCACGCCACGCCTCAGGGCATGCCATTACACCGGCGTTTGTGACCCATCTCTCCCGTCCTCGCCGTTGTGGACAGGCCTGGCGTTGTCGGCCGGCCGGGCCGGGCGGCGGATCACGAGCGACTCGTTTCTCTCCCGTCCTCGCCGTTGTGGACAGACCTGGCGTCGGCCGTCCGGGTCGGGCGGCGGATCACGAGCGGCCCGTGCGCCGCCGGCTCCGTCGTCCGCCGCATGGGCCCACTCTCCGCTCGGGTCCGCCAGCCGTGCCGCGCCAGCACGGGAAGCGTCGCCCACTACCACGGATATGACCGGCTGTGTACTGTTCTCGATCGGCTCCTGGGACGGAGGAGCTTGGCGGGCCCCGGTGCTTCCGGGAATGCGGCGGCATGTTGGTGCAAATTGCATGTGTTTTGTCCGTGCGTTCATTGACGTCTGGGCTGCGCTGTGAAAGTGTTCAGGATTCACGGGGGATTGTGCCTTACCATTTGTCGTTTTCTCTGCTCTTGCTGAGACAACAACTAGCGCATCCCCAGGAAGAAATGCGCAATCTGCTAGACCTAGGCCCTAATTTGAATTGTAAAACGGGACTTTTCAGGAACTGATCCGCTTTGCCAAGTTCGTTCTCCGGAAGTTCTTCGCTGTTGCCGCGACCAACAAGAAGGTGTTTATGGAGATTCTGTTCTGGAAGTCACCTCGCGAAGCCTATGAGGTGGAGCATGGCTACGACACGTACCAGGAAACGTGAGTGTCCGCTGCAATCTCCTCTGGGTGGGTCGCACGTCTGTCCTTTATGATCTTCGCCTTGGGGCCATGCGTGTAGTCCTAGTTTTCATGGTCAATAAGCACACTCCATCGTCCTTGGGCTCATTCCAGACCACTCTTGTAACGCCGCCATTCCACGTGAGTTTGTGCGTGCGTTTCCAGTGACCGTTCCTAGAGGGCACTGTTCAGTGTGTAGGTGTGACCCTCATCGCGGGCCCGACGTTGCCAGAAGCATTCCACCGCCTGTGTTCTGCGGTGGGTGGTCGGCTGCTGTCGCTGGCTCGTCGAGCGCGCCACCGTCACCCGCGCCCCGTGAGCCCCGCTCAATGGCAGGTGTAGGCCTGGCACCGGCCTCCCGGAACTCGGACGCGCTGGCATGACCGCGCGCCACTTGAAGGGCGTGGGTGGGGCGTGTGCCTGGCGGACTCAGTCCGTCGGCCATCTGCTGTCGGCGAGGCATGGCCATAGACGCCTCGGTGGTCCGTTGATCCGCCAGTGTTGGCCGACTGCCCCTCACCTGCACAAGTCTGTCTCATCGGCGGAGGTGCTCCGCCCGGAGGGTTCCCCGTTGATTGTTGATGTGGTCCCGTGTGCGTCCGCTAGTACTGAGTGGCATATGTCTGCTCATTCCGAGCTAAATGGAGTCGAATGTACTACTTCCCGCGCACTGCGTGTGGCATGGGTCGTCCGATCGTACAAGCTCTGAATGCCTCCATCAGCATGCAGTCTTCTAGTCGCTTGCAGTACTTCAAGTTGTATCAACTGCTGATTTTACTACCGTTATTCATGACTATAAGTTGCTGTGCCGTATTTTATCTGGGCGCACTCAAACTGCATTAGGGGTTCATATATTCGTGAAAAGGTTTAAAACGAAACTTATCAATGGATGAACCTATGGGATTAGAACCCACGCCAAGCAGCGCTTGTTGTGTGAGCTCTGAACCTTACTATCTCATCATGCAATTCCAGGTCACCTGCAGGATTTGATCTTGGAAGTTAAACTTGCCACAACATTCGGCACGGTCCGTCCTGATCTCCGGCGTCACCTGACCTTTAGCGCAGCCGCTGCCACCGGCCGCAGGCTATACCTGTCAAGGGCAATAATTGGTGTCTTACGAATGTCACATCTGGCATAGTCAGCTCGTTACGAATTGTCCGTGGTCAGCCCAGCCCGGCCCGCCCGCCGGCCACCAACGCCCACCACACACCAGCAGTGGTCGGCCCCGCCCGCCCGCCGGCCACCAACGCCCACCACACACCAGCGGTGGTCGGCCCAGCCCGCCCGCCGGCCACCAACGCCCACCACACACCAGCAGTGGTCGGCCCAGCCCGCCCGCCGGCCACCAACGCCCACCACACCCCAGCGGTGGTCGGCCCAGCCCGCCCGCCGACCACCGTCGGCTACGGAGCCGCTCCGCGCAGCCCTGGGCACGTGTTTATCCCGACCCGGAAATCCTAAGGCGATTATTGCACGGGACTCGCGCCAGCTCGATTGGATTTCGGCTTAAGAGAATCGGCTGGCGGCGTCATTCGATTGAGCGCGCTAAAACCGTCGATGGCGGTCGGAGGCGGGTCTGTGACGTGCCGCTTTTATACGGAGCCGACGAGCCTCTCGCACAGGTGCTGGCTGGCCTGTTCGGTTTAACCCGCGCTTGTTTCGTGCACATGCGTACTTCCGTGAGCTGATTGATGCTGCTTGGGAGCTGTGGGTTATGTTGGCGCGGCCCGGCACCCAGCCTGTGATGTGTGGTACCGAGGTCCTGGCGGCTCTTGCTGTATGATTTTAATGTTTTACGTCCGTGGGGTAACGCTCTGTGATAGATGGGCGTGGCGTTTTACTCCAGGAACCATAGCTCCCTGCGCCGTGTATGCTGCGTAACCGGCTCCCTCTGGCCAGTGTTTGTTTGTAGCTGGCGCTCTCACGTGGGAGACCTCGGGTGGTGTTAGCGTGCCACAGCGGCCGGCGGCGTCCGAGGTCCGAGCGCGGCCACTCTCGGGGCCCATTGGCGGCGAATATTGGCAGGCACTCGTGTGGAGTATCGGCCATCGTCTGCCGCCCGCGCCGCCGCCCGGCCGGCCCCGGCGTACCTCGAACGCCGAGTGGTCCGCCCGGCCGCCAGGGACGGTGCCGCACAGACCCACGTCTGCGGAGGCGCGCCGCAGGTGGACCGGGACGACTCGCCGGGAATGACTTCCTTCAAGTTTCAGGCTGGAGACCGTGGCTGGCTTTTCGCGTTGGGTTGGGCAACGAGTTGGCTGATTGAGTGGTTGTGATTTAATCGCCTCCAGGGCAATACCCACGTGTTTGTTGTAACTGTCGGGCCGCGAACCTTCTCAGATCAAAGGCATCCAAGGTGTCCTGGTCGGAGGAAGAAGAAGATGAGCTGACCCGAGTCTACGAGGAGCTCAGAGCAGTGGAGACCAACGACCCGGGTAATTGCGCCAGCTCGCGCTCGCTGATGGCCAAGCGTCCACACCGCCCTCATAGCTTCCCCATCCCATCAAGTTCCAGCTTCCTACCATGCAGATTTCGTGATGGCTTTTTGCCACGTATTGCCTGAGCCAGGATTGTGTGGTGATGCAATGTTTCCCTCGCTGGCCTGTCGGACGAATTTTATCATGTGATTTGATGTTGCTTGTAACCGTCAGGAAACCATGACGTCAGCGATCTGTTTGTCCTGCCCACCCTCGTGACCCACCCTCGTGACAGAGCGAGACCTGCTGGATCCTGGGTGTAATGAATTGCCGCGACCGGACGCGAGAACCTTTCGTTACAGAGCAAAACCTGCTGGGCCCTGGGAACACTGACCTGCCGTGACCTGACGTGAGGACCTCCCGTTACAGAGCGGGACCTGCTGGACCGGATCCTGGACACGCTGATCTGCCGGGAGCGCACGCGCCGCCAGGTGGCCAAGAAGCTGAAGACGCTGGGGCTGATCAGCGACACGCGCCAGCTTAAGGGCCGCTCGGCGCCGGCCGGACCGCCGCGCGAGTGGACCGAGCAGGAGGTGGCCGAGCTGACCGAGCTGTGGAGCCGGTACCGCGACGCGGCCGGTGAGTTGGAGCGTGGGTTCGGAGCCGTCGCTGCGACCCCGCCCGCTGTCCGGTGGAGTGCATTCCCAGCCCGAACCGTCGGCAGTGGCGGTCCCCTCCTTCCAGAACCGCGGCGGTGATCGTGGCCGCGCCATTTCTTGAGCGGCGGTTTAATCAACGCCCTGACCCGTTCGTGACCTCCGTGAGATGTCCATGCTGGTTCCCCGAAGTACTGACTTGTCTGACGAGCGCCATTGGCAGTGAGTGCGGCCTGGCGTGAACTGTAGCCGGCAGACGCCGAAGACCCCGGGTAGAGTCCCGAGATCGCCCAGTGTTGGCACTGCTCACTCGGCGGACTGGCGTCGTCGCTGTCCGTGTGCCACTTGCTTACACTCACGCTCGCGGTGACGTCAGCCGTGTCTGGTAGTACGCTGCGTTTGCTTGCTGTGGTGTTCTGGACTGGAGGCAATTACTCCGATTCAGGTCACTGTCGCCTAGTAGGGAATCGGTGCTGATGTTCAGAACCGCTGTGTCTTCAGTACATGCAGAAAGACGTTTTAAGATCCTGGCGTTTTAAGGTCCGTTGGCAGACTGGCTCGCCCGTGACAGCCTGAAACTCACATCTGCCAGCTTGTCCAGCGTGTCGCGCCGACGCCGCGTCGTGTCGCCGTGACGTCGCGTCCGTGCGCGCGGCCGTGACGGCGCCGGCCTGGATGACCGGCAGACCCGCTGTCGATGATCTTCGACCACCTAACCGTGCGTCGCCCCAAGAATCGGATCCGGGACAAGCTGCTCGCGCTCGGCCTGGCCACCGACAAGAAGCAGCTGTACAAGAAGCGGGCGGGCGGGCGGCGTCGCCCGACGGACCCGACCGGCCCAGGTCAGCATGTGAAAGGGGAGGGGAGGGGGGGGGGGGGTAGGAATACTGGCGGGCCGGTCTGGCAGAACCCCGCCTTCATCTGGTGCCGCTCCGCCCGGTTGGGTGGTGTGCTGAGGGTGCTCATCATCAACAGCGGACGGGCGTGGCCTGTAGATGAGGCCAAATGCCGGGAACATTAATACTTAAGAGAGTGCCGTCGCCAGAAGCGGTAAACAAGCATACATGAAACTCGTACGTGGTTCACGAATTAACGTTCTCTAAACCTAATATGTGACCATCCACATGATTACATTCTGACTGCATGTTATACTTCCTGACTATCAATAATATTACCTCTGTCCTGGCTGTATTTTATTCATTACCCGTGACCTCCGCGTTTGTCCATTCGTTTCTCCAATGGACGCAGCTGATTCTCACCCGCACTGTCCCGTGACAGAGGACGAAGATGGGGTGCAGCGGGGGCAGCGGCAGCGACAGCGACAGCGACGGGGGCAGTGACAGCGGCTCGGACGGGGAGCGCGCGGTGCCGTCCCGGCGTGCGGCGCCGGCGGCGCGCGCCAGGAAGGAGCCGACGCCGGCCGACGGCCACCCGGCCCCGTCAGGCCGCCCCCGCCGCCTCGCCCGCCCAGCTGGCGGCGGCTGTCAGCGCCTACATGCAGCCAGGTAGGGAGGGAGGAGCGGCTGTGCCTGCAGTCAGGTAGGGAGAGAGAAGCGGCTACATCTGCAGTCAGGTGGGAGGGAGAGGAGCGGCTGTACCTGCAGTCAGGTAGGGGAGAGAGGAGCGGCTGTGCCTGCAGTCAGGTAGGGAGAGAGAAGCGGCTACATCTGCATCAGGGGTGGGGAACGACTGTACGTACCGTCAGGTGGAAGAAAGGAGATGTTGGTGCATGGATTCAGTGGGAGGGAGTTGTGTGATGCTTGGCGCGGTATTTCAGGCGCTGACTGATCCTTGTCCTGTTCACTTCCCCGCAGACGGCGAGGCGGCGCGCGAGGTGCTGACCTGGCTCCAGGAATCGCTGGAGGAGGCGGTGGCGCTGCGCCGCGCTGACCCCGACGAGGCCGTGGCGCTGGTGCCCGTCTCCGAGACGTGCGCCCAGGCCCTGGAGACGGACGACGGGCGGCGGCTGGTGACGCTGCTCGGCGGCCAGCAGCCCGGGGACGGCGTGAGTGACACTGGGAGGCAGGGATTAGACTGGGGATGGGCGGACGGCCATGGGTTTCTAGACCGGGAGGTTTCACGGGGAGTGGGGCAGGCGTCTCGAGGAGGGACGGGATACCCTCGGGGTCAGGGGTCCCGAAACGGAATGGGTTACGCTGGAGGCCAGGTGTCCCGAGATCGGATGGCGTACGCTGGTGTCAGAGGTCCCGAGACAGGCGGGCTACACCGGGGCAGAGTGGGTCACACTGGACGGCATGGCACCGTTGTCAAGGACTGGAGAGAAGAGTGATCAGCCGCGCTGGGTTGGGCACACCGCTGCGCACGTCTATGTGATGGTCAGCAATTCGATCTGTGGATGATTTTGTGACGGTTGATACTTGCCATGGGCTATGGGACTTCTGCAGTGTTTTTGTTACACGCTTGTTGTCCTCCGCTCCTGCATGTGCCTGGACCGTCTCGTATCGCGCGGGCAGAGTGTCCGGCGCGTACGGCGACGCGGTGGCTGTCGGCGCTGACCCACCCGTCCCGTGCCGCGCAGGAGATGTTCTGGAGATGGCCGGCCGCCCTCGCCACGGACGTGCTCGACAGAAACGCCGGTCTGCTGGCTGACTGGCTGACCGGCGACGGGCCGCCCACCCGCGGTACGTGCTGGCTGCCGGCGGCGCTGGGAACATCAGGCCGGGTCGACGTCGCCCTGACTCCGGGTGTGTGTGACGTCAAACTTAGCCCTTGGCTGTGTATGACGTCACACTTGGCCTGTCTGGCCTTGCGTGACATCAAGCTGAGCCTCTGGCCGTTTGTGACGTCACTGGGGGTGACGTCACGCGGGGCTGCTCGGCCCTGCGTGGCGTCAAGTTGAGGATCTGGCCGTATGTGACGTCACACTGGGCTGCTCGGCCCTGCGTGGCGTCAGGCTGAGCCTCTGGCCGTATGTGACGTCACGCTGGTTCTTCTCGGCCTTGCGTGACGTCAAGTTGAGAATCTGGCCGTGTGTGACGTCCTGCCGGGCTGTTCAGCCTTGCATGGCGTCAAGTTGAGCCTCTGGCCGTATGTGACGTCACGCTGGGGCTGCTCGGCCGCGTGTGACGTCATGCTTGGCAGGAGATCGCAGGGAACTAAATGCAGGGCGTTATGAAAGTAAAGCAAATGCTCCTGCGACGCCTCAGTGGCTTCGGTTGAGCCGCTAATACGGCTGTGTTTGGACGAAGACCAGTCACGGGAATCAGCTGGGATGTTGACGTTCCTCCGAACATGGGCACAAACAAGAGCACTCGCGCTCCATTCTGTGCCCGTCTACCGGTCCCTCTCGCGTCGCCCGTTGTTCTCTCCGTCTGGTGAAATTCGTACATTCATATGACCGCGGCATCTGTCGCCGTGATGGTGATGTGCGTCGTCTCAACTGGATCTGCATCCCAATCGGAGTCGGCCCAGCGCCGGCCTGACGGCGCTGGGCCGGGACGGCCGGCGTCACCGGAGCGACCCGTTCGCCGGCTGTCAGCCGAGCCTGAATGTTGACGCCGGAGCCCAGGCTTGGCCGACTGCAGTTCTGGCCCCGTCCCCGGCCGCAGTCCCGGCTCCGTCGCTGGCTGCAGTCCCGGCTCCGTCCCCGGCCGCAGTCCCGGCTCCGTCGCCGGCTGCTGTCCCAGCTCCGTCGCTGGTTGCAGTCCCTGCTCCGTTGCCGGCTGCAGTCCCGGCTCCGTCCCCGGCTGTAGTCCTGGCTCCGTCCCGACTGCAGTCCCGGCTGCGTCCCCGGCTGCAGTCCCGGCTCCGTCGCTAGCTGCAGTCGTGGCTCCGTTGCTGGCTTCAGTCCGGGCTCCGTCCCCGGCCCCAGTCCCGGCTCCGTCGCTGGCTGCAGTCCCGGCCCCGTTGCCAGCTGCAGTCCCGGCTCCGTTGCCGGCTGCAGTCCCGGCTCCGTCGCCGGCTGCAGTTCCGGCTGCAGTCCCGGCTCCGTCCCCGGCCGCAGTCCCGGCTCCGTCGCCGGCTGCAGTCCCAGCTCCGTCGCTGGCTGCAGTCCCGGCTCCGTTGCCGGCTGCAGTCCGGGCTCCGTCGCCGGCTGCAGTCTGGGCTCCGTCGCCGGCTGCATTCCCGCCTTCGTCGCTGGCTGCAGTCCCGGCTCCGTCGCTAGCTGCGTGAGGCACGCTCCGTTCCTGAGCTGTCCCGACAAATTTGTCTCAACAAACCCCGTCGGGCCTGTGTCAGTTGACCGGTCCTGGGTGTCTGTCGGAGCGGGCTGCCAGCCGCAGTGACTGTTAATGGACATTTGGGTCCACCGCTCAGCTGTTGTCCGGCTGACAAAACAGCATGCGTTGGTATGACGTGCAAGGCAGCAATCCAACTGCTACCCATATTGTCATAAATGTGATCATAAACACCAGAGCGTGCAAAATCGTCGTCTTGTTTGAAATTATCATTTTTCCTCATTTATTTCACCGTTCTTGTCCTTTTCTGTGGTGCCGCCATTGAGGTATATTTGCCCAGTGTTCGGGGACGATGCGTTATCTTTCTATAAGGGCATCGTAGCCGGACTAGTTCGTGAAAGCGCTGTCGATGTTTATGCAGAAACATGCGTTAGCAAAACTTTGGTATAGGTGGCGCTTCTTTCGCGTATCGAGACGGCTCATCGTCAGCGTGTGGTGTTGGTCAGCGGCTTACATCAGCAGACTGTCCTGTCTGCTTTGACTCCCAGAAGAGGATCTCCTGTCTGCTGGTATGTCTCGGGGGATGTCCTGTGTGATGTGTGCATCCGAGGACAATGTCTGCTTGGCGAGTCCTTTAGGAATATGAGCCGTAACGTTTGTGTCTTAGGGGAGGAGCCCTGCCTCGTGCGGCACGCTGCACGTCGTGACTGGAAATGCATGTCTCAGGTGGGCTCATACACAGTGTTGCTCTCCTCTCCACAGATGGAGCCGACTCCGAGAAGGAGAACGACGACCCAGCGGGGGCTGAGCTCAGCCGCAGTTTGCACGTGGACTCGTCCTCGGAGGACGAGCAGCAGACGCTGACGAGGCCCACGCAGAGGAGCCGCCTCCTCTCCTCGGAGGACGAGCAGCAGACGCTGACGAGGCCCACGCAGAGGAGCCGCCTCCTCTCCTCAGGCGACGAGAATGAACCCGACGTTACCTCCGACGCACAACGGTGAGAGCCGGGAACCTGGGGCACCATGGGTAGTTGATATATTAGCCCACCAATATATATATATATATATATATATATATATATATATATATATATTCATTAGCATTTCGGTGGGATTCAACATCGCGCGTCGTTCATGCCATAAGTTTCGAGTATCTACAGTGACATCGGTTATTGCTAACCGACGAACCTCCCAACCATCAACGTAGTGAACCTAATCAGCTGACTCCTCAAGCCATTTGCAAAGATACACCAGCGCGGTACCGATAGCGCAGTGCTTAAGCTGCGCGTCTGGGAAAGCAGAGGTACGGGGCTCGATAATTCACGGTGTCCACCCGTCCTGCCAGGGTGAGGGGCAGGAGATGTCATTTAGCCGCCGCAGTTGAGTGCGGCGTAAAGCCCAAGACGACGATGGAAGCAACACCGGCGCGTCAGCTCGCACCTCCGGTCGTGTGCCTGTCAGGAGGTCAATTGCGACTAATCGGCCTGGACGCCAGCACTTCTGCGTCGGCAGTGCAGGTCCGATGGAAGGCACGTGCGTCGGCACCGCGCTAGAGCCGCGCTGGAACGGATGGAAAGAATATCACGTCCTCGCGCCTGGGGCAGATCACGTGTAGTGAAACGCTGCGCTCAGGCTGTGTTGTTTATGAACTCTTCATCGGGGCGGTTCTACGCGACCATACACACTGGCAGCCGGGACAGAATGCGAGGTCAGGTGGCTCTGCTCCTCAGAGGGCAGACGAGTAGGTAAACACGAGACTGTCCAGTGGGCTAAGCAAGCATAAATTCGGCCATCGTAAGCTTAGTGTACGGGTTGTAGAACTTACACGATACAGAACACAGTACGCCATATGTACCGAGCGATGTGCTCGACTCCTTTAGCATGAGATGAAGAGGGTGAAAATCTGCTGTCAAGTCAGCCAATCAGCGCGCGGCTGCCGTGACGTCATTACGGATCTGTCACGCACCAGGGCATGTAGGTGGTGCAAATGCACCAATTGCATGCAGCGTGCGCTGGACGGCGGTCGGCCGGTCTACAGGCATTCACTGCTGCCCGCCCTGTGTTGGCGATTGACGGTGTTGATATATTGTTGTGGATCCAATGTATAGAGAACAGAGCACGTATCAGTTTGAGACCTCGGTGAACTACAACTAATCGATAGTTTGCGATATTTTGCAACGTCTCCCTGGGCGTTGGTCGGCGACACGCAGGCCGCCAAGGCGTCAATGACGTCACGACGGCCGCGCGAGCGTTGCAGTCAAATTGCCGCCGTCAAATCTTGGACCAGAGCGAACAACCCTGTGTGTGCCACACGCTGTTAGTAAGCAGCGCCATCTGCCAGAAAGGCACTGCAGGGTGCTCCACGAGTGTCAATTACTATTCTTTTGGGTGGACCACTGCCCTCCCCCCAGTGTCCAATACGCTTCCTCCCCAACGGTGGGTTCGCCCCCTCCCAGTCTTCTGGAGCCGAAGTACTTGCAAGACATACAAAATATGAGCTCAAATCTATATCAATTTTAAGGAAGATTGCAAGGTTAGGGAACAATGAAAGCGAAAACTACAATGTCATGTCCGACCGAGAGCAGCCAACTGAGCGATTCACGCTTTTAAAAGTCCGCGCTTGTACGGTGCTTTCTTGATTATCCTGTTTTCATTTTTAATTACACGATTGATGTCTTGTTGACTCGTCTGGTTTGCAACAGCACGTTGACTGATGGCAGTTGACTGATCACATTATGTTTCCGCGGCGTCCTTTCAGAACATGAAAACAAATACGTGACCAATTTGTTCACCGTCTGCGTTCGGGAGAACCCTTGTAGTGCGCCCGCCTCAACTCCGACGTGGATACTCGATGGAACAGTTGTGAAAGCCTGACGATCAACACCAGCCGACTGAGCCAGTAACGAAATAATGGGCGACAACGACCACCAAGAGAACACTGGCCGTGTCGAACATGCGCAACGGAGTGTTGCGTTGCAGTGCACGCCGCGCCTTAGTGTTACCGGCCGTGGTTTCCGTGGCAGCCTTTAATAGTCACGCAAATCATCTTACACTATTGACTTCCGAAGTCATGTACATCCAACAGCGTCCGAAGTCACACGACATGGACTCTGTGTCGATTGCCGAAGCCGGGTTTCGACGGTCGCCACCAAACGGAATGATAATGAGGTAGCATCTCCCGCCGAGGTAGTCGAGCCCCTCAATCAATAAGGGGCCCTGTGTGTCGGTGACGGACGCACAGTACCTAACGAGGGTCCTGTATTGGTAAAGGGTCCAGGGTCGGCCTCGGGCCATGTTCGAGAGATCCCCAGAGGGGCCAAAAGGTCCCTCGGAACTGACGATCAAATGCCTGATTGGAGGGCACGGTCGACTGGCTGTGGGTAACATGAAGGACCCCGGCTCGCAGAACTGGGCTTGGGATTGAAGTTACTTATTTAATTAATTTATTATCTAATTAATGACCTAATTTACTAATTCAGTTATGGGGTACTGGGATTTAATTGGTTGGGATCCTTAAAAGAATGACGGCCCTGTGTCGGCCAGAGGCCTACAGTGCCTAACAGTCCTGCGTCAGTAAAGGGCCCCGAGTCGGCCAGAGGAACATTTGCTGAACAGGGACAGGGAAGGGACCCCGAATGTCAGGAACCTCCTTCGTTGGTCGGGAACCTCTGACGGTGGAAGTCGATGTGAGAGCGTACGGTGAGGCAGTGGAAGATCCGTGTCAGTCAGGAACCCGAGTGCTGCACGAGGAGCCGTCCATCTCATTTCAGCAAGGGGTCCAAACAGAATGCCGAACAGAGCTCTGTGTGCCAGTCATTGGACACTTGCGGCGACATGGGATCTGTTTGCGCCAATGAGAGCCTATTCGTGGATCGGGTGCCAACTGTGTGGGTAAAGGGGCCTCCAGTGTTAGGCAGGCGAGCAATGCATGATCCATCTCCCCAAGGGCTTCCGTATCGGTCAGGGACCGCACCCCCGTGTCAACAGCATGGCAGCCGGCAGGCACACCACGCTTGAACGGAATGGTTCTGTAGCCCCCTGACCGGAAAAAGTGTAATATGCCCCCTGTGTTGTTGGGATCCATTGCTCGGAAAAAGCTGAGGTTTTTTTGGTGTTCAACAAAACGGGTCGACATAGGGTCAAAAGTGGAAAAGGCCAGTGCAAACGAGGACGTCCACTCTTATTCCTGATTGATCGGCGAAACAATTAATTAATTAAGTTTTTGAGCCCGCGTGCTCGCAATCTGTGGAGCGAGAACACCGATGGCCGGCTGTGCAGATTCCATCAAGGAGCGAGAACACCGATGGCCGGCTGTACAGATTCCATCAAGGAGCGAGAACACCGATGGCCGGCTGTGCAGATTCCATCAAGCCGAGCGGCGTCGGTCGCTGCAGCTCAACGCCGTGCGACGGACGCTTGGCGCGCGAGAACAGCCGTTGTGAAATCGTGCTTTGTGAAGTCTTTAAATCTTAACTCGCGCCATTCAAAACTTAACGTTGGGGATATATTTCACTGTATGATTTTAAGGCCGTCTGTGAGCAGATAAACAGCAACAGCAACGCAAAAGTAGAGATTCCGCCTTGTCTTGTCCGCTTCCACCAGCAAATTCAAGCGCCGGTTGGCGGTGCTGTGACCGGTAATCCGTTCTTATTATACAGATACAATGTGCACCGTTAAACGTGCTCCCGGACTGCTTTTTAAACTCACGAATTGCCATCCTAAAGCGTTCAAAGATACTTCCTTTCGAAACGCTGTCGTGTTCGGCCGCCCACTGGCCGTCGCCTAGTCTTAGCCTTGTGGCTGATGCCCATACGCACGCGGTAAAAACCAAGCGCAATTCTCACACTACTCCATGTCGAGCGAAAGTCGATAATTCCCAGGCGAACATGGGTTGGCTAGATCAATACAAATCCCCCCCCCCAGGGTTTATCTACAATCTATCTGCGCTTACTACCATCTACTTCTACAATGGCTCTGTAGAACGCAGAAAAACTACCTACGGCTTAGAAAGAGAACATAATTGTATCTTTCGGTGCCTCCTGGCTTATGTTTTAGTTCAAGAAGGTAGATATTATGGTTCTTTGTTAACCTTGCCCCCCCCCCCCCATTACTAAGACCCTGGAGCGCCTCTTTATTTTCCACACGTTCGAACCAGAGCGGATTAGGTTCGCTTTCCGTTCAGGAGCACTACAGCTTGGGAGTGTCCCCCCGGAGTGTCGTAGGCTCGAATGATGGTTTTATTGAACGAACGGGGAAAGGGATTACAGGAGAGCATCGTCTAACGTATTTGAGGAAAGATGAGGACCATTTCTCAAATGAGTAATGGAGAAATGCTGACCCGTTTGTTTTACGCAAGTTATTAAGTGTATTTGCATTTGAGAGTGAGTATTATTCACACAGTAGTAATAGCTTTATTCCTCGAGAAGGAGAAAAGGTCAGGGGAATGGAGACATAGATGCGTTATATATCTATAGATATATATATATATATATATATATATCTCTCTCTCTCTCTCTCTCTCTCTCTCTCTCTCTCTCTCTCTCTCTCTCGCTCTCTCTCTCTCTCTCTCTCTCTCTCTCTCTCTCTCTCTCTCTCTCTCTCTCTCTCTCTATCCTTCTCTCTCTATCTCTCTCCTCTCTCTATCTATCTCTCTCTTCTCTCTCTCTCTTCTCTCTCTCTCTCTATCCTCCTCCTCTCTCCTCTATCCTCTCTCTTATCTCTCTCTCTCTCTCTCTCCTTCTCTTCTTCTCTCTTCTCGCTCTCTCTCTCTCTCTCTCTGCTCTTCTCTCTCTCTCTTCTTCTCTCTTCTCTCTCTCCTCTCTCTATCTACATCATCTCTCTCTCTCTCTCTCTCTCTCTCTCTCTCTCTCTCTCTCTCTCTCTCTCTCTCCCCCCTCTCTGTACGCATTAACGCATCAATAGCTCCATTCTCCTGGTTTTTCTCCGAGGAATGGGGCTATTGCTTATGTCTTATCTATGTTTTGTTTTACATTAACTGCAATGTATATTCCTTATCGATGAAATGTTGGTGTGTCGCGAACTGATTGTGAGAGCTAAATATAACGTGTACAATTTTTGTGAATACACGAATAAAGCACAAGGAGAGAGGCGCACGTTCAGTTCACAAAACATGTGCGTATGTAAGGTCATCCGAACTACCAGGCTTCCATGTGAGGGGTGGCATATAGATGTTGGTCATATATATATATATATATATATATATATATATATATATATATATATATATATATATGTTCTTTTTATTTATTTATTCACGTTTTCATTTATAGGTAGCAACCGGAGAATAAGTGGACGAAATCCGAGAAGTTTTTCGCACCAGTCTTCTGATGGCAGTTCCCACAATTTTGACCCCCCAATCGTTTTAGCGATCGACACCCATGTTGTGCGCCTCGCACCATTGCAACAATGCACTGATGGTGATGAGCGACGTGTGGATGGATAAATATATGGACTGCTCACTGGCAGCAACCTCAAACAATAAACTATCACCGATTTAAATAAAACCACAGTGTGCTGACCGAGCGCAAGCTTTTCCAGGTCTCAGGCCATGAAAAGTACCTAGAAATCACACCTTGCGTTGAAACGGATCGTTTTTGCTTTTTGTGTTGTTTTTTACGGTTTGCGCTGTTAAAAGAAACTGCGTGGTATTGAATGAGTCACATTTTTGGGGGACAATGGTTACGACGATCGGCACGGCTTTGTGAGACCATCCACGTAATCATCGCCCACCAGGATCCACGTAACCTTTGATGAGGTGACGTGGATGGTTGTTGGCACCTTCCAGTCATTAGGGCTTTACGGCACACTCGCGGCTACTGGGGCTGTATAGCGCGACGGCAATCCCCGGCGCGAAGGACGGGCATTGCGGGGAATATAAATCCGTCCCTCCGACTTCCCTGTGGAGCGGCTGCAGACGTTGGTACCTTTCAGAAGAGTTGTTTAATCAGATGTCGTTTGCCTTGGCTCGTACCTCGGCGTGTTGTCACGTTTTCCCAGTTCATACCTGTTTAATATGCGTGATTTCGGCAAACGTAAAACAAAACGTTTTGAGCATCGTGATCATGTTGTGCCCGTGGGACCATTCATAGTGCTGATCTCAATATGCTGACCCTGCCCTGCTGGATGCTCATGTTATGCTCATCTCAAAATGTCTTGTTTAATCTTGGTTGTTGATGCGTTTTGCCATTAACCCAGAAATATTTATGTAGATTTCCTGAAGGACCGTACAGATCGGGTTTATTCACTGGGCTATATTTTTTGACAGGAAATAGTAACCTTTGGACGTTATCGTGTACTGTTATGGTCATGCATGTTTGTGAGGTGCATAGTTCTAATGATCGATACGCAGCATGGCAGATTTGTTAGTAATGTTGATGGCTGTAATGTTTGATGTGACGTCGTCTCAGTTGGGATGACGCCTGGAAGAAAATTTTCAGTAAGGATAACACTTGCCGGAGGATACAAAATATAATATTTCATAGCCCAACTACCCTTGCGTAGTTGGGTAGCCCAACTACCCTGTGCCCCGATTTTTCTACGATTTCGTCGTAACGTGGGCTTTACCTCAGCCGACTAACCTTTATGCGTTAACTGGCTGGAAACGCCGTAAATTAGGTTATGAATAATTCAAACCAAATGCCTGTTTACAGCTCCAAGGAAGCTCAGCCCCGCGAAGGCTCCGTCTCGAACAAGGCCGTCTCTGGTCGTCGTGGCCGCGTCAGCCAAGTGACGTCAGACTCGGATGAGGAAACTCCCAATCGGCCGCCGCCAGATGCAGCAACTGCCAATCAGCGTAACAGCGCAGCTCCCGTGACGTCAGACTCGGACGAAGAGATGCCGAGCGTGCGGCCGCACGAGACGTCCGCCAGTCAGCGAAGCCGCGTCACCCGCGTGACGTCAGACTCGGATGACGCGGATGAGGCGCGGCGCCCGGCGGGGCCTGGCGTCGGCTCGGACCCCGCCGCGGACCTCGGCGACGTGGCTGAGGGGAAGCGGGCGATGACGTCAGGGGACGAGGGATCGGACGTGGAGGCGCGCAGAGCGACCGGTGCCGCCCAGAAGAGGAGCAGGCGCATGATAGAGAGCGACAGCGATTAATCTATGAACGGCACTGCAGTTATCCTGGCTTGTACAGCAATGGTCGTGAATTTTCCACACAGCCTTGAACTATGGAGCTGTTCGCGTTTGCTTTTATAATACGCTGTGTGTACACGGTGGCTTTTATCAACAATACAAGTAAGAACGCCACGTTTTCGTCTTTCATATGCGCGCTGAGTGCTTTATGGAAGTTTCTGTTATATTGCTAAACTTCTGGACGGCCATAAGTTTAGATGGTGACTGAGGTATGGCGTGAGAAATCCTTGTCGATCCCGAGCACTTGGGAGTGGGGCGTCGTCCGCAGGCTCGTAATTGGTTACGTGTAGATGCACCACTGCAACGATGTAGCGGGATGGTTAAAGGCGGATTTTTATATGTCAAAAGTTAACTACGCACACACAGTCTATAAAAGACGTGTTTGATTTCTGCTGCGAAGCCAGTCTTCGCCACCCTTTTTCATAACGTAACGTTAGCACCGCGGCCAGTAACGCGGCATCGCTCCTTAAAACTGCTCTGACCAATCGAGTGATGCCGCGTGGCGCGGTGGCAGCGCCGTGCGGGGGCGCGGCGTCTCGGGACTCAGGTGAAGCCGACACTCGGTCGGACCGAGCGCCGAGGCAACGCTGCCGGCCAGCTGGCGAGATTATGTCAAAGCACGCTTCGCCCGCGCGAACATCTGGCTGTTCACGCGGCGGGCTGATGAACACAAAGCCGCGACACATCGCGCCCCCGGTCGGTAAATAAATGCGGGCCGTGAATGCTAGACGGGATCAGACCACCACCCGCCGCCGCCCGCCTCGCTGGCGTCAGGTGTTTCTTCAATGCGTGCGGAGGCGAACGACTCGACAACACCGATCTGCCTCGCAAATGAAGGGTTCCAGTGTCGATGCCGAGCATGGTTTTAAATCGTCCTGATGCTTTGCTGTAAGCTCGTTGGTATATGTGCACTTTGCTGAACCGGACGCGAATGCTTGTATCAGCTGGTTGTGGTTGTCTCTGTGCCACTTGCACAATGCTTGTCCTTTCTTCGCTGGCGTATAAACATAGGCGCAACGTGGCTCGAAGCAACTGCAGACGCGCTGACGCTCCCTGGGCAATTGACTGCACTTACGACTTGAAAGCGGAGGGGCCACGCACATCCGCTCTGTTTGATCCTGGAGCGTGCCAGCTGTCCGCGACACGATTGTGCAGGTGTAGGCATGGAGCCAACACGTCTTTCACGACAAGCGATGATTTGATGTTGCGAATCTACCATACCGTAACGGTCCTGCCGGTCTGTAAGCAGTTGGAAGGGAGAAGTAACGTTACGGGCGCTGGAGATGTTATCGTCATTCATGTGCGTATGCGTGTGAACTGAGATGCTGATCGGTTTCAGTCTGCTTGTGGTTAAGATTTGTGGGCGCTTACTGTGGTGTTGCGATTGCCCAAGTCAGGAAGACTTTTCCAAACAATTCATTGGGCGATGTGGCGTGTACAGGTACTCGTAATGATCGTTTATGCATTTAGGTTCATACCAAGTATGCGTGCAAGCTGAGCTGCCTTAAATTTCAGTTGACGCGTCTGATGATGCGCGACTATCGGTGGCTGATCACAAGCATCGCAACCATTTATGGTACGTGGATGCAACTGAGTTAGCCGTGACAGTCGCTCAGCCCGGGCTGTCAGCAAGCATATGACTGGCAGAGCCGTCTGGTCGCCTCAGCCGCCTGCCGTCATGCATGCCCGTGTGTCCCGTCCTGCCGTCATGCGTACCCGTGTGTCCCGTCCTGCCGTCATGCGTACCCGTGTGTCCCGTCCTACCGTCATGCATGCCCATGTGTCCCGTCCTGCCGTCATGCATGCCCGTGTGTCCCGTCCTGCCGTCATGCATGCCCGTGTGTCCCGTCCTGCCGTCATGCATGCCCGTGTGTCCCGTCCTGCCGTCATGCATGCCCGTGTGTCCCGTCCTGCCGTCATGCATGCCCGTGTGCCCCGTCCTGCCGTCATGCATGCCCGTGTGTTCCGTCCTGCCGTCATGCATGCCCGTGTGTTCCGTCCTGCCGTCATGCATGCCCGTGTGTCCCGTCCTGCCGTCATGCGTACCCGTGTGTCCCGTCCTGCCGTCATGCATGCCCGTGTGTCCCGTCCTGCCGTCATGCATGCCCGTGTGTCCCGTCCTGCCGTCATGCGTACCCGTGTGTCCCGTCCTGCCGTCATGCATGCCCGTGTGTTCCGTCCTGCCGTCATGCATGCCCGTGTGTCCCGTCCTGTCGTCATGCATGCCCGTGTGCCCCGTCCTGCCGTCATGCATGCCCGTGTGTCCCGTCCTGCCGTCATGCATGCCCGTGTGTCCCGTCCTGCCGTCATGCATGCCCATGTGTCCCGTCCTACCGTCATGCATGCCCGTGTGTCCCGTCCTGCCGTCATGCGTGCCCGTGTGTCCCGTCCTGCCGTCATGCATGCCCGAGTGTCCCGTCCTGCCGTCATGCATGCCCGTGTGTCCCGTCCTGCCGTCATGCATGCCCGTGTGTTCCGTCCTGCCGTCATGCATGCCCGTGTGTCCCGTCCTGTCGTCATGCATGCCCGTGTGCCCCGTCCTGCCGTCATGCATGCCCGTGTGTCCCGTCCTGCCGTCATGCATGCCCGTGTGTCCCGTCCTGCCGTCATACGTACCCGTGTGTCCCGTCCTACCGTCATGCATGCCCGTGTGTCCCGTCCTGCCGTCATGCATGCCCGTGTGTCCCGTCCTGCCGTCATGCATGCCCGAGTGTCCCGTCCTGCCGTCATGCATGCCCGTGTGTCCCGTCCTGCCGTCATGCGTACCCGTGTGTCCCGTCCTGCCGTCATGCGTGCCCGTGTGCCCCGTCCTGCCGTCATGCATGCCCGTGTGTCCCGTCCTGCCGTCATACGTACCCGTGTGTCCCGTCCTACCGTCATGCATGCCCGTGTGTCCCGTCCTGCCGTCATGCATGCCCATGTGTCCCGTCCTGCCGTCATGCATGCCTGTGTGTCCCGTCCTGCCGTCATGCGTACCCGTGTGTCCCGTCCTGCCGTCATGCATGCCCGTGTGTCCCGTCCTACCGTCATGCATGCCCGTGTGTCCCGTCCTGCCGTCATACGTACCCGTGTGTCCCGTCCTGCCGTCATGCATGCCCGTGTGTCCCGTCCTGCCGTCATGCATGCCCGTGTGTCCCGTCCTGCCGTCATGCGTACCCGTGTGTCTCGTCCTGCCGTCATGCATGCCCGTGTGTCCCGTCCTGCCGTCATGCGTACCCGTGTGTCCCGTCCTACCGTCATGCATGCCCGTGTGCCCCGTCCTGCCGTCATGCATGCCCGTGTGTCCCGTCCTGCCGTCATACGTACCCGTGTGTCCCGTCCTGCCGTCATGCATGCCCGTGTGTCCCGTCCTGCCGTCATGCATGCCCGTGTGTCCCGTCCTGCCGTCATGCATGCCCGTGTGTCCCGTCCTGCCGTCATGCGTACCCTTGTGTTCCGTCCTGCTGATTCCCGGACTCAGTCGGCCGTTGATCGCACGACGTGCTCCAACGGCACTGGCAGAGCTGCAAGGAGGCATGAGGACGTGCTCCGTATCACCAGCCGGCCAGCCCAGTATCACTCTTACGGACGGGGCTTGGCTTCCAAACAGATCGCTGGCCCGTCAAACCAGCCGGCCAACCGCGCTCAGCGGCTGCCCGGTGGCCTTTCTGCGTATCGGGGGTCTGGTAAGTCCGCTCAGAAGTCAGCTGAAACCCGTCTAGTGACGCGCGGCAGGGTGCGGGAATACCAATCCTTCGGCACGGCCGGCCCCGGTTATAGCCGCCGCTTTACATGCAAAGCCGCCAGAGCATAACAAGTGCCGCTGGACGAGTGTGGTTACTAATTCCAGTAAGATTTCTAGTTAGCGACTGCTCTTCACCGACCGAGATTATGCTGACGCACCGGGGGGACTATCTTTAAGGCATCTGAAGGAGTGCTCTACGTTTAAAGGTCATATAAAGGATGGCTTTTTGTTAAAGGTCATTTGAAGAATGGGTATTTTTTTGAAGGCCACCTGAAGGCCGGAGCTGTTTTTTCTCTTCACGATAAACTAACATATGCCAAGGGCGAAGCACAGGTAAGCGGGACATCAACGGTTAGTCGGCGTCCTGGCTCGTTTCCAGTTCATGAGTGGTTGGCCAGGTGTGGGTTTGATGGACAGATTACCGGTGAGGAACGTCACGTCCCATCGGTTTTCTGGCGTCACTCGTGCGCATAAACACACATCAGTAACCATACAGGTGAGCAGACCACGTGGCAGAGGTGGCCGGCTATGGCCGCCCAGCACCACGGGACGACGGAGCTGGGAGGCACAGCATGGGGCGGACGACAGAGCGGTCTCGTGCCAGATTCAGCTCAGCTTTTGCATCATCCGCTGATCTCAGCGGATCCGGGATCGGATTTTGCGGGTCGCTGAAGAGAACAGCGCACCTGAAGCGGCGCCAGTGGAAGCGTGTCTTGACCCGACGTTTGAGAAGACGTCACCGGTGATTTCAGTTTGCAGGCTCGCGTGCATGATGTTTTATTATTACGACAATAACAGTACACCTTGTTTTACGTTCGGTGTTAGAGGGCGATCGTTGGCATTTGAAAGAGCGTCACGCTATTACATCCAGTGTAGTCAAAGCTATGGAATGATTTCCTATGTTTCAGCATGATCTGACATACGATAAAGACAAAGTCAATTGGTTGAACAAGTTAAAACAAATTATAGTTATGACAGGCCTGTTGCAACAAGCTAAAACAAGTGTGTTTCGGGAAGGAATTATTTCAACTTCTCCAAACAGTATCGATATTTGTTAGTTCTTGCTGTACCGACATGGATTAGTCATGTGACGGTAAAGAAACACCCACAGAATGCGTGTAAAAACGACTTACAGTAGCACCTTGAAATCACGATGCACTGTGAAACTTTACCCAAGCTGTGATGAACGTTTTTAGGGCGTTCCGTAGGCTTGGGACCCGCGCGAGTTGAAATTAGTATTCAGTTTCCCCCGTTTTGACATGAGTGTCTAATTAGGTTTAAAATTGGATGGTTGCCATGCTTCTTTTTTAATTTTTCAACAAGCTGCGCTTCTTTATTTGAGGTTAACATTGTTTTTAGAATGTCGTCGTTCAGTGCAGATCCTTTCTTATGCTGATTTGGCAAGAGAGTGAATTGGTGAGATGGAATTAAGAGTAAGCGCTATACTTCCCGTCCAAAATGGCGGAAGACCAGCGCAAGTTTACTTGGAAGGCGTAAATTCTCCGACGCGATTTAAGTTTTGTGGATTTCCTAGCCTCGGATATCAGAATTGTATCGAGTGTTACGGGCCAAACGAGAGCAGGGCAGTGGGGGCTTCATCACGGATAGCCGCGATCCAGACGGAGGAAACTGAGTAATTGTGTGATCAATGATGCTCAAGTAGGTGCATGTCTTAAACTTCGCATGATCATGCACGGTGTACATCCCCTTTAGCAACCCTGCATACATAAGAATATTTAGTCATTCGATGCATTCATTTTTAGGCTCCCAACACATATGGGGAGCTCTGTCGAGTGTCACAATGGGATTATTTCCTTTAGAAAGTGTTAGTGTGCCTGACATTAGACACGTTTCTTCTCAGCAGACACTCAGTGTTAATTTTAGGCTGCTTTTGGGCTTCCTGCCCTGAAGGATGACACGCTCCGCATGTTCCGGTGGTACGGGTGGCAAAGAACGTGTTCAGCGTAGACGCGTGTCGATAATGCCTAGGTTTTTTTGCATGAGCTTGCCGGAGCCATGGTCGCTACGATTAGACAAATATTTGCCCTGTTACACCCCGTGCTTGTTAGGTCGGTACAACGCAAATCATTTTGATACGCATTTTTTCACTGAAATATAACAGAAAAATTGACGCCATCGTCCCCCTGCACGCGCTGAGTCCCTCGCCTCCAATGCATGCATGCGAACAAAAAAGCCAATGCTGGGCCAACTAAAACTTATCTCTCCTGCTAGGACACTAGGTATCTAAACACACCACCTCTTACTACTCGTCATTCACTATTAAAGGCAATGTTCTAAATTTGGAGATAAGGAGGCAAGCAAGCATCGGTGTGATGGAATAGCTCATTTGTTACCATTGGTATGCTCCTAAGGGCAAAAGACTGCTGTAGATGGCAAACTTTCATTATTTAGTCATATACTCCTCAATGCGTCATCATTCGAGGGCATCATGGAGCGTTTGTAGGACGTCAGAGTGGCTGCCCAACTGGCCGCGCGGCACTGACACCGTAGCGGACGGCCTGACTTACTTGACGTATTTCAACTCGTCGAGAGGTGTTGCGCTAATCGGTGGCGTTGTTTGTAGAAGCCAAGTACCTTTATGTGCGGGTGTCTTGACTCTTCGTTCATTCATGGGCGTCCAGCATCACGGATGATCAGAGGATTCTAAGCAGCGGCGTACTTTAACAAAATTAGTGGGGGGGGGGGGGGGGGGCTAAACGGTGAAAGATAACTCAACCTACCCGCAAAATATGCCAACAAACAGGATTCTCCCCAGACTTCGACCACTGTCTTCCCAAAGTTGGGGGGGGGGAGGGGGAGGGGGCTTGAGCCCGAGTTTGGGACTGAAGCCGCTCACCCACCCACCCACCCAACTGAATAGGAAACTTCACCCCTGGTTTTAAGTCTTACGAAGGGCAGGACCGTGAACTGCACTGAATGGTCTTCAAAATGGCTATTTCGGTTCAAAACCCTTTACAAATGTGACACTTCTCTTTAATACCACCGTTAGTATCATTCTTATTTTGTACCAAATATCATCGCATTTAGTGTTTTAATCATACTAACTCCTTCCATGCTAAGCTAATCTGTTTTTGACACGTGTTTCATAAAATATGTCAGGTAGATCTGGTAAAAATGAGCCGAAACGCACGGCAGCGTTACATTTACAGTAAAGACTGCCCAATGATGACAGATGACTTACGTCTCCCTCAACAAAGGCAAATGTATCTATGACACAATCGTGATTGTGGTAGAATTTGACTGCAAATTCAATGGCACACCACGAGCAGCGACGTTGGTAATCAGAGATTCCACATCTGTTAAATAGGGGCTACAAAATATCCTCCGGATCGCCCGCTGGCAAACGTAGATACGCAACAGCTGGACCTCCTGTAAGTGGTTGGTTGTCCTGTCGACTTTGTTGACGGTGATGCGCCCCATCTGAAGCCTAAGTCATGAGCCCTTGAAGGTTCACTGGTTTGTCCACGCAGGTGTACTTTTGTATGTTACCACATAGCATTAAGTCCAGTGTCGACATGGTGTGCCAGTGCGAAGTCATTCCACGGCGGTCTTAAGCTGATATGCCTTCGAGGGAAATGCTCTTCCACCCAATCCAGTGAGGCCTGCGCCGTGCATGGTGTTGTTCAGTCCTGCTGGAGCCGCTCCTGATCTCGATAAATCCCGTGAAGTCGCCCCAGGGCCGCCCAGGAGGGCATCAGAGCGGTAACGACGCAGCGTCCCGTTGTGTTGACAGGATTACTGTTCTCGTCCCCGAGGCATGTTCTGTAGACTCGGTACTTGGTGAATGTGACGTTACTGATGGTTGTCATTGTTTTGTTTCATGTCTTGCCATTGAATGGTCATTCGAACGTCCCGCAGTCTCGGTTGTGCAAGAAATACACTCGACATTGTTGAGTAAAACGTGGGTGGTCTTTCGTCCGAGCCACGCTGTATGAACGGTGGTTTCATTTAGACACAGCCTGTTTGACGCATCTTCCTACGGCTTTGCGATCCTGATGCTTCTGTATTGTTAAACCGATATCTTACCGCACAATCGGGACACCTAATTCAATGTTCCGGGTATCTGTTCGCACGTTTAACAACATTATGTTCACACGACTGTGGATCATAAGATTCATACTCCGCTCTCCGTGTGTGTGGTGCAAAGACTGCTTTCTTAGTAGCCTTGCTGTGCACCAAATAATTGTGCGTTATGGTGACAGCGGGCATCACCTTTTATGGCAAAATTTAGACCATTTGATTTATTTATATTTTGATTTGAAAAGGTAGGACCTTTTGCTTTACTTCGGGGGTGAGCGCCCACGCTAAGCACTGCTTGTTGTGTTAGCCCTGACCCCACCAACCGATCGTAAAATTCCGGGTCAGCGGCAAAATTTTGGCAAACCTGCCACTGGTGGTTGAATCGGAAAGCAGGTGCTCTAACTGGCTGAGTTATCGAGACGGACTGCAGTACAGTTCGGGACGGGACGGCTAAAAGCACAGCTCGACGTTATATCTTCCATCTGGTTGCTCCACACAAAAATACTGTCGTGAAATGAAATTATCACATGTCGTGCGGTGTGATTCAGAGCGAAAGAAATATCGAGGTGATAGTCGGTGTTTGCGATAAAAAAAAATTGACCGTAAGCACAGCTTTCAAACGTCGGAGTTTTCTCCATAACGCGAACGGGTTATTGATAGGCTGTTTAACCGCAACCTCCTGGTAAACCAAAGGTCGATTATTTTCAACATAGAAACTCCTAGTCCATAAAGCCGAAACGCCAAGGGTTCAAGGCCATTCTTCCTTAAACAACTCCCAACGCGCGTCAAAGTGTTGGTCGCACTGCTTCTTCGCACAGTACTCATTTGACCGTATAGTCGCAGTCACAGTTACCTTTTCACACAGTTATTGTCAGGAATGGTAGCCTGCGTTCGTTGCCACAGGACGGCTGCAAAAGACAGCCAGGACCACGATCTAGGCGAATGTGCCGAATCCGCGCCTTTGGACGCTAGCATTTGAGTTCAAACTGCGTGGAACACTAACGACCTGTAATTCCCCGTTTCACCGTACATTGTGTCCAAACGTCTTCAAATGGTCTCCACGGGTCTCCCGTCTGGTGTTCGCGCCCCGTTCGCCGTGCGAGAGGAGTGCATCTGCCCGGCCGTTAGCTCCGCCCTGCGGCCCCGGCTGCGTATATAGGCTGGACGCCGCCGGCGAGCCACCAAGCCGCCTCTGTACGCAGGATGAAGCCGTGTCTGCTGCTCCTGGCCGGCCTGCTGGCCGCCGTCGTCGCAGTGCCAAGTAAGCTTCCGCCTGCTTACAGGGTTAGGTTACGGGTCTGTGGAGGAGCGGGGATGGGAGGTTGAAAGGGGGAACGCTGTTCACGTCACGGGCGTCACTGCAGGGGCGCTCCGAAACAAATGCGAAGGCGGCCCAAGCCCACGCGCAGTGTGCGTTTAAAGGGCGAAATATTCCACTTGCTGTTTAAAGCCATTCGTATGCAGCCTGCAGCCGTAACCGCACATTCTGCCAAGATCTGGGCTATCAGGTTTGAGTCTACACGGATTTTGTAAAGCCCCCAGCCTCGAGACACCCGGCGCCCCTGGAATGTTTTCGGCGTGGTCTGCCAATATATCGCATTCTGCTGGTTCTGTGTCCTGGTGACGCTGCTTCAGAGCCCCCTGCTCGGTATACGGCGTACGGTGGCCCGCATACGGTGAACTGAAAAGAGACCAGTAAATAATGATGCTTAACAGGTGACAGTGTGTCCTCGTCGCTATAAAATTAGCGTTATAAGATCATGCCTCAGACATAGATCTAAACGTGTTCTAAGTGAAAATGACTGAAATTTGATTCTTTAATTTTGGATTGGATTGGATCAAACATGCATACATGTCAGCGCAAATTTTGTAGCGCCGAGGGCATCCACCACCATTTCAACATGGTCCACTGTAAGCCTTTCCGGTTTACAGTCGTCCTCAATCGCTGTTGTTCAGCTAGGTCACGCTGAAAAATGGTATTCTATCTTAGATATTTAGTTCTATTTTCTCAGACGCCCTAGATATTGTGCATTCTTAACCTTCACAAAGATGCTGGGCTCGTAACGACAATGAGTGTCAGGCCCCATAAGGTCATTTTATAGTATGTCGGCTTTTATACGTCCCATCAAAAAATCTGGTAATAAAGATGCGAGAGGGGAGCTCATCACCACACCTCCAATTTCGCAGTACATTTGTCCATATGGTGCGCGAAAAGTAACTTCCAGCGTGTAAGCTTTTAACCATTGTTCATGATGGCACCGATATATTTAAACAGGGGTGTCGGGATAGTTTTTTACGCGGTCCAGGAAGATAGATGTGGTTATATGTGTATACTGATAAGCACATGATATATGATATATGTATGTATATGTTATATGATATGTACCTATATGTATACACACACACGTATATATATATATATATATATATATATATATATTTGTGTGTATGTATGCCTCGGTAAGGATTACAACATGTTGGGCATTTGTTTGCTTCCTGCCAAAGTTTTTAGGTTCCTTGTAATCTCTCTGCCATCATTTGAAAAGCTATGTAGGATTACGCCTTTATTGCGTAACGTTTTACTGCATCCATTAACATCATCAGATATGCAGAACAGGCACAGGAACATGCCATGTTACACTCGACAACGTCTTGGCAGCTAGTTGATGTTTATTTTTCGGTGACTATAGATATGTTCCATTGAAGCTTCTAAAATGCGTGCAAGATGAAGCCCTGTAAATACAAAGGTGCCTCTAGAAAAACTAAAGATGCTTCCATTTACTCAATACGCAATGACAACGATTAAGGTGTGCAGTATGTACGGGTACTTATACAAACAACGATACGCATGCAGGATGAATATCAATTCCACCCACACATTTCATGAGACTGCAATGTAGTCATCGCCCATTCACATTCTATTGCCTCGTTGCAAGAGATCCATCGTCATATAAAGAGAGGATATTTCTCACGCTCATTTGCCCGGTAATGACAGGATTCCTGTCTCTCATTTACACGGCTTCTGAAATGATGAACTTCTTCTTGCTAATTTGTGATGGACGGTCATGGTGCGTGATCATACGCGGAGTGCCGTGTTACTGTCAACGGGGGCACCGTTTTCAATCAGTCAACGATCCAAACACGTGCACTCCTGGCACCACCTGTCAGAACGAATGCAACAGCTGCTTCTGCTCCGAAAGTGGGATAGCTGCCCACGCCTTCAAAAAGTGTTTCAAAATCGAGAGCTGTCAATGAAAACAATTTTTTAACGTTTTTTTTTAAAGTTTTGAAAAGTCCACTGCTGTCAGATCAATGTAATTTGGTATTACGATTGGTACGGAATCCCATAAACTCGTTTGCCACTACATCGCGTATTACCCACGTCACTTGAACTGCCGGATGATTATAAACGTGATGCCCTTGAACGCAGACTTGCAGACGCAGACTTGACGGCAGATTTTGACATATGCATGGTCTGTATCCCTGCTTTTACGATGTCCAGATTGCGCGTCGCATATTTGCGCAAGTTTATAACATTCCGCCATCGCCTTCGCCTCTGGCTGCCGGGCGACTCCGAAGCATAAACATGCGTCGCGCGGGCTGGCCTACGGCCGGCGCCGGCGCGCCGCGTCCGCCAGCGCGGCCCACGACACGAGGCGTCCTCGGGCGCGGGTGGTGCTCAGGCCGCGGGTGGAGATGTGGCCGGCTGGGTTCTCGTAGGTCCCGGCGGCGGAGTCGCAGCAGTCAGTCGTGTGTCGGGTGGAACACGGGCAGTCGGGTGAAGTGGGCGGACCGGAGCCAGTCAGTCGTGTGACGAGTAGAACACGGGCAGTCGGGTGAAGTGGGCGGACCGGAGCCAGTCAGTCGTGTGTCGAGTAGAACACGGGCAGTCGGGTGAAGTGGGCGGACCGGAGCCGGCGTCGGCATCAGCCCAGCTCACAGGAGCCGGCTGACCTCAGCTGATTAACTTAGGTAACTAGCTCAGTCGGCTCGGTCGGCCGTTGGCCTACGCACTGGCGTGAGCCGACGAGCTCAGTTCTGCCGGTTTAGCTCGTTCGCGCGTGTTTTTCCCAGCTACCACGCGCGCGAAGTGCATGATGTCGAATGCGTGGCTCAACGCCCACAATTACTATCAGACCGACTACCAGGTAGATAGCATCCAAACAGTGCACCATTGTAACGTACCGTTGCATGCAGCGCTCCCCATCTTACACCAAGGTGCGGATCGTGAATGTCATGTTGCGTGCAGCATACGTTCGGGTGTTGCGCTGCGTATGTACCCTGGAAGATGCCGCGGCTCGATGTTGGTGTTCACGTTGCCGTGCCCCCGCGGAAGACGTTTCCTGAATGGCGTTATCCGTTTACAGCGCCGTGCCGGCTTGGTCCTAACTACATAGACCAGTGCCAGAACAAATGTCAGTGCCAGCCTGACGGGCAGTACGCGTGCACCAGTGAGTCGTGCTGGGGCAGCGGTAAGCCCGAAGAGCCCATGCGCTGTGAAGTCGATGGCAACATTCGCACCGAAGAGAAGGTCCGCTATTTCTGCGAGGACGGCATCGTCCGCTTTGACAACAGTAAGCGTTGATTAAAAGCAGCTTTGCGAAGTGTTCCACGAAGGGCTTTTGATTTAGAGCTTTTGTATTGCATTCACCGTAGAGCCAACGATGCTTATGCTACCATTTTAAGGGACATAGTCAGCAGTTAGCAAAAGAACCATTAGCAAATCACACGCTTTTACGGAATATTATTTCGCGTTGTTTCTCGAAGACAATGGCTGCGGAAATGTCGGGGTGAAATGGTCCAGGGACCCGCGGCCTCTAGATGTTTCAAAACTTGACATCAGGATATGAAACAGTGCACTTGAAGGCACACAACAAACTTGGCCATGTTACCCGATATTAGTGGGGTCCCTCACTGACCGCAAGGCTGTCTGGAAGGAATTGTACTAATACCGCCGGTGGATTTCATCGTATCATTAGTTCACCATTCTGCCAATAAAAGCATCTTTTCCACCACAGCGCTTCTCACAGGTTTGACCGCACTGTTCTTGGCCATAACAGTCATTTCGACTCAGTCCGCGTGTCGTGACTTACCCACTATTGTGCTAATGTCGTCATACTGCTTGTTCTTGCCGGTAACGACACCACACAGTCATTCGATGCCTGTTAAGTAGGCGTGCTGTCGTGAACATCAGGTCGTGAATACTTCTCACGGAATGACGTCGATGCGTTTTATAACCAATATAAAGATGTTATTTTTGTGGTCGGCCGCCCTCAGCTGCCCGGATTCTGAACAGTTCGCGGATCCTGTGACAGTGATTGTTTTTGATCCCACGCAGTGTCGTGTTTATGTAGTCGGTGGCACTGTTTTCCCTCAGCCGACGCTCCAAACTCGTGCACCCCCGGCACCAGCTGGATAGACAAGTGCAACAGCTGCTTCTGCAATGAAAATGGCTTAGCTGGATGCACCTTGAAAGGATGTTTAGAAGAGGAGAACCGTAAGTCAAGCAACCGGTGGGATTCATGAAAGTTTGATGAACGATATCACTTGTCGGGCGAACAGCATTATCTACCTGTGTAGCGCGGTGGTGCAATGGAGTCCTTCACAGCCGGAGCATTGAGAGACAGACCTGTGAAAACTGTGAGAGGCTCTACATCTGTTATGCTAAACTTAAACACAGTGTAACTGGGTATGGTTGGATGCCACGGGATCCTTCGGGCTAGCAGGATAGCCCACTGTCACGAAGGCCCAAGGGCGCCCATTTTCATCACTACCCAACACACTCGACCTGCTTGTTGACAGGTATATTAGTTACCGGTGCCCCCCCCCCCCCCCCCGCCTCGTTCCTTTGTGGTACGTGAGGGGGCTTGTAACGCATTCAGGCCCGCGACCTTTATCCTGTTGAGCGCAGGAATTATTTAGTTAGAAGTCCAAATGTGTCCAAAATGACCAAACTCGCCTGAAATATCAAGCTGTTCGTCCTGCCAAACAATCCGTCCTAGTGGCCCAGTTGGTTAGAGTATCTACCGTCGGATTCAGTCACCTTCGATGAGGTGGGTTCAAGTCTCTGCGAGGGTTTGCTGTCTGTCCGTGACTGGGGGGGGGGGGGGGAGGGGGCTATGACTGCTGGTAGCGGCCGCGTTTAAGGTCATATAATCTCGCGGGGTAGAACAGACCCTGCCGAGCGTTACGGCATGTTACGCTTCCACAAGAATATCCCGCTGGCGTGGAGCTTCTCGTTTGGATAGTGGGGTCACGGTCATCGCAGCAAGCACTGCTTAGCGGAGGTTCTACTCCCACAAATCCATCCAATCTAAAGCCGCAAGAACAAATCTACAAACTACTTGGGTCAAAATCCGATCACTTCTCATTTGATCAAAATCCGCCTGTCCGGGGCGGGCTGCATGCGTCACCCACGGGTGGGCTGAGAGCCCTGTGGGTAGGGGGACCCCGACCAGGTACTCAGCGCGCATGCGCGGGTTAAAGTTCGGTGGTTGGCCTCCCAGGCGCATGCAAACCTGCCCCACCGTTAACCATTTGCCTTCATCCCATAACCCTGGAATGACCATTTCTCTTCCAAAGGGCTCTAATCCAAGCAACCAACTGATCACACATTGCGCTTTACCTCTGTGTAGGGTTGTTTTCCATGCCTGCCCCACCGCCGACCTCACCAAAGCCGCGGTGTCGACACAGGTAGCTGACAGATGCTATCCCACCGTCACACTGATGACTAGCCGCGAGCTGACGGCCGCTCATGGCCGTCGACAGCGATTTTGTCCGGAGGCGGCGGTGCTGGCGTCGGCGCCGGCGGGGCCAAGCGCTACTGTGGTGGAGCCTGCGCGGCCGACTGTGGCGAGGTGTTTGACGACGGCGGCCAGTGCTACACCTGCCAGTGCGGCGCCCAGCTGCAGTTCGGCGAGCTGGAGGTGCCCATCGACCAGCCGTGCCCGGAGGGCCTCCAGCAGGGGCCGACTTTGTTCGTCACCAAGATCTGCAGAGCCCAAGGTCGGTGGACAGGTCGCCGACGCGAGCGGACTGCCGGAGGGGGTGTTTGGTAGGGCGGCTGAGGCGTGGGTCGCATGGCCGCGAGTCCTGGCATTCAGTTCATACGCCACAGTTCCTGCTGGGGCGCCGATGCCCAATTATGATGGCAATGTAAATGTGACGTTGCTCTTGAAATACCCGAACGTCCTACAATGGGTGATGGACCCAAAGAGCTAGCAATTCGTTTCTTTGTCTTGAGGATTCATTACCGGTAAGTATCGCCCGAGGCTGCTTTTTGTGGCACTCTTGTCACGCGAATCTCCAGTACACTGTTGTGTTATAGCCCTATTTGTTATATCTATGCTGCATCATGTCCCATTACAAAGAACCAGTTTTCACGGGGATCTCACGGCGGCGCGCTGGCAGGCTGCACCCCTGGCGCCACGTGGAAGGTCAATGACGGCTGCAGCACGTGCGTCTGTACCAAGGACGGAGAGGCGGCGTGCTCCCCATGCCAGAGGGAGGCCACCAGTGAGTGCGACTGAGCGGCGAGAGGCCCGGGCGTGCTGCGCCGCGTTGAGAACGGCGCTGAGCGGGGTCCATAGTTCCTAAAGAGTCGTGGGTCCGCATCATAGTTCCTGAGGAGTCGTGGGCCCGCATCACAGTTGCTGGGGAAGTGGTTCGATGGAACGGCGATATACAATCAGATATGTGCCAGATATTAGTCAGAGTCTGGTGCATTGAAGTGTGTGAGGATTCACTGAGAGCCTGGGCCGGGCAAGCACATCTCGAGGGTCTGGTCGGTCTGGAGGGATGCGATGTTTCGTCAGTCTTTACCGGTGAGGTGGCTTAAAATGTGCTCCGAATCTGGTCGAGTGAGATGAGTGAAACACGTTGCGAAGGTCAGTTTTAGTGGGCCGAGGACTGCACCGCTAGTCAGCTCTGCACAGAGCGAGGCGTCCGCAACCCTGGGAGCCGTCTCCGCAGTTTTCGTCCGTCAGACTTCAGCTGTTCCCCCTGTCGACGCAGACTTGACCGTGACATGCAAAGACGGCCACGGCGAGTGCCCACAAGACTGCGGCCAGGCCTACAACGCCGAGAAGGACTGCTTCGACTGTCGGTGCGGCGTCGGCGAGCCCGGCGACGACATTGTCGCCGTGGGCGATCCGTGTCCGCCGGGCACCGGCATCCGGGAAATCGGCGCTTTCATACAAGCCTGCGGCCCTCTCGACTCGTTGCGTAAGTATTGCGACGCTGCATCCGGAGGCGACCGAGCCGATCGCAAATTGCAACCCTGTTGTGCCTTGACGAGGCTCGGATTATGGTGCGCGCGACGTTCGACTGCAGCTTGAGGCAGATGCTGGATGCAACCCGCTCAGCTGCATCTGTTGACCTTACGATAAAAGTGACCAATCAGTCCAGCGCTGACCTGTGTTACGTGCTCAATCATCGCCGCGGCTGAAGTGAGTGGTGCGACTTCGCCTGTCGTCCGCAGCCAGGGGCGACACAAAGAGTTGCGGCGAAGCGGACGCGTCAGGCGCCGTGAGAACGGCGGAGTGCCCCGCCGACTGTGGTCTGGTGTGGTTCGCCAGGGAAGAGAACTGTGCCTACTGCCAGTGTGGACCGAAGGTAGAGCCTGGCGACGAGATAGTGCCGATCGGGCAGGAGTGCCGCGCGCCCATGCTGCCCGGCCCCAACCAAATGGTCACCCGGGTGTGCCGGGCGCCCACCAGAGAGGGTGAGTGGACTCCGCCCATCGGAACACCAAACCTCTGGTCCCCACCGGACAGTCAGAAGAGGCTTCTGTCCGGGAAGGTTGCCCTTTACTTCCTTGTTAGTGGCCGTAATCTGGCGATTTATGCTGACACTGGTGAGAGTCTTTATTCTGAGTTCATACTGTGGGTTCCTCTCAGTCCCCGAGACCCATGCATCACATGTGTTCTGAACCACAAGCGCCCACTCCAGTGCAATCAACACAACAGCGCTCCCCGTGCTTCACAACATGCTGATGCGGGCACGTCCGTTTCAGAGTGCGTGCCAGACACAGTCTACAACATCGAATGCGACATCTGCATCTGCCAGGCGAACGGCGTTCCGACGTGCACCAAACGCGACTGCTCTCTCCCCAGTGAGTGGCAGTCGGCCAGCCAGCCAGAGTCAGCCAGTCTGTTGACGTCTGCACTACACTCGGCTGAGAGACTGACGGCTTGATCTGCATGGTAGCGCCCTTTGGAATGTCACACGCTGTGATGCCCAATAAGAGCCTTCGTTGATGCCTGTGGCTATTGAACGCGTCATCTGAGGCCACGATGTCATGGGGTCAAACTGTAAAGTGGGCTTGAATTAGACAAACTAACTGTCATATCATGGTCCTTTTTATGTCAGCGCAAGTCTCCTTTGGCACATTTTGTGAGATAAGAGCGTGAAGCGAGGTGTAAAAAGTCAAAGGGGACGCGGAGTACTACCAGCCCATTTACGTGTTTGTGTCCTGGCACCTGGAATGTGGTATCAGCGAGGTTTCGTTCACACAAATCCTTACTCTAGGAAAGATTACGAAACCACCGAAGCCAGCAAAAGTCGAGCTGAACGTAAAGAAATCTGCTCTGAAAACCATCTATGAAAATCAATATACACCTATGCCAGGAAAAATGGAGAGACTACCGAAGCAGGGTTGGCTAAATGTTTATTAAGCACAGGGAAATAGCGTGCTTCTAAAGACCTTTGCATTTCCGGCAAGTGTTTGTGCGCGCTGCACATTAAGGGCGCGCCATGAATTCCACCTTTTCTTGCGCTCATCTGCAGGCTCTGGACGACATTCGTGCTCTGTAGATGGCCATTGTACCATTCTGTTCGCGTTAGCCAAGGCACCGTTCCTTGGCCTTTCAGATTTGCCCGTCTGTGATATGTAGCATTCCTGACACGTACAGTTTACGGCATATGAATGGGGCAGGCGGGCGGCCTCAACGCAAATAAACTCCTTAAGTTCAAGGTAGGACACGTTAGATATCAACACAATGCGGATCAAGGACTGGCCCGGTGACACGCTTTGACCACACAAGCGCGCAGACCGGACACTGTGTGGGTCGCGTTGCCTGTGCGACGGCCATGGCTCGAGCGGGACCAAGCGCGTCTGAGCGCGTCGTGACCACCGCTCTACGGCCGTCAGAGTTCGGGGACCTGCACGTCTGCGACGCCGAGTTCCGCCAGTGCCCGCCCGACTGCGGCGAGGCCGGCGCCGACGCCTACTGCCAGCACTGCCAGTGCGGGCCGCGCCTCGAGGAGGGCGACATCACCGTGCCCATCGAGGAGGAGTGCCCCGCCGGCTTCAGCTTCAAGGAGTCCCAGTTCGTCACCAAGACGTGCCGGCCGGGTAAGGTTGTACCCGGTGGCGGCTGTGTCCGTGGGTCTGAAGGCTGGATGGGACCGTGGGACCCGGGACCCGGCCTGTGGGACCTGGACCCGGCACATGGCACCCGGCCTCTGAAAGAAGCAATGATGAACCTCGACGAACATTTGTTCATTCAGCTTTTCAAGCGGCCTACAACGCTGGATTATGTATCGCTGTATTATTGATCCTCGAGGCCTTCTCATTAGCATTTTATTGGTACACAGTGCCCAATACTGCAACCTGATCTCTTGTGTCATGGGGCTTGAGCAAATGCTATGATTGTAAATGCCCCCACTGCATCGGCATGCGTACCCCCTCGTTTTGAAAGTAGATCGGCTCCATTGAGACGTGCTCGCCAGATCACATCCCGTCCCGCCTCTGACGGCACGTGCAGCACCGGCCGTCCGCGCCAGACGTCCCGTGAGGGCCACCTGTGACCTGGCTCCGATCCACAGAGCCCGTCCCGGAAGGCCACACTCTGTGAAGCCCACCGAGAGGACGGGACCGGGGCCGCCCTGCCAGGCAACCGACCGCGACCGTCGAGCACGGCGAACCGTCGGCCGGGCTGGATAACACGCAGACTGATGCCACTGTATGTGAATAACGCTGCTGTGACGGTCGTTGTGCTGCCGGACACTCAACGGGAATTTCCATACGTGTGTTTCGCCCGCTTTGTCCCAGCCACTTGTGTAATACAGTTAAACCAGAACCTGCTTGCTGGGTGACGACATATGCCGCTCTTGAGGAATATGCATTGAGGCTTGGCCTTACCGGGTCCAGCTAGCAGACCCATCATCACCACTCCTGCAAGATTCCGGATTACCTCCACTCATGCAGCACTGATTTGGATTCGTCGCGGTCAGCAACAAGCACCAACCACCAGCATAGATTGCGTAACGGTCGTCTCGGTCAGCACGGAAGGCATTTTATTTCGTTCATTGACCTGTGCATATCACTGTGCCTACCTTTCGGAATCTGGCCTCAGAGCTCTTAGAGCGTAATTTAAGGAACGTTTCAAAAGCGGCTCAAAAAGGATTCTTACGCTACACGTTTTTACGTGACCATGCCGGGAGGTGGGTTCTTGATGGGATAATTTTGTGCTCATATTGAATGTGATCACGATGTCATCGTTCTTATTTTGATTTCACGAATTTCGAGGGGGGACAGGGCCTTTCAAAACAGGTAAAGTACGTACGAAAATGCCCCCGCAATCGTCCAAACTTTCCCCACTGACCAGATATTCCCCCCACCCCCATCCAGCGCCGTTCTAGTTTCGTTCTAACCCCGTCCTGGTCACATCACTCAACGTGAGCCATTTCACTACTCTTTTCTCGTCGTTTTTCATCAGAACGCGGGAATAAAGCGACCTAAATCTGAGGAGAAATCTTAATTTGGGGTAGGTTAGCTGAAGGACATTTGGGATTCGTCATGTTGGAATATCTGCACACTCAGAAGTGCGATCAAACTCCCTGAGGGAAGGTCATCGGACTTAAGTGACCCCCGCCATCTTTACTTTGGGTAACATGACGCCCAGGATAGTTCTAGATGACTATTTTGAAATTGAAATATCAGGATAATCCCAGATGCTTTTGGTCAATTAAACCTTGTAAAGGTTAATCGCCTTTTCTTAAACAAAGGCATCTAGTTCAGAGCTGGTGGTGTAAGATCTGAGAGCACTTCGAACACTGATCTCGAGTTTGACCATATCGACCTGAAGGCCGCAACCTAGAAACCGGAACATGCGGCACCAATGAGCTCACATGATCGCCTGCCCACTCAGTGATTTGGTGCAGTTAACTCTTAGTTTGATGAATCAGGGGTCAAATTGGCACTTTTCCCGCACGTACCATCCGCCCCGAGTCGCATTCAACTGTCCACCCGGGAGCGTGTTAAGTCTCCGTCAATGTTGAGCTGTGGGTCAATGCTTTATGAAATCAATGAATAGGTAGGAACATCGCCCAGGGTGGGAGTGGGGCGAGAGTATGATAGAAAGGTGTGTGGGACTCAGCTCCAATTGCATTTTACAGCAATATAGTTACCAATAATGCCTACCGTGATTTCATTACGGGCTCATTTCATTACGGGCGCTTTTGTCCGATATTACCGCAGTGGGCTCCTGACTGGATACAATCGCGCGATTTGCTCTCTTTTACGGAAGCAACGACGCTTCTGTCGCAATTCACACTGCGGCCCTGAACAAAAGGCATACATTTTGTGATACTGGACTGATGTTATAATCCCTGCCTGCGAAATTAGCATCTTCCTCTCCCAAAAATGTGTCCTTCATGTATGGAATCGGAGCGAAAAGGTCATCTCCGACCAAGTCGGAGACAATAGATGTAGGTTGGCAAAATGAACTGTAGCCCTGAACTTCTAATAAATATCCCCACTCTGCTGAGTGTCACGCATGTGTAAGGCAACTGCCGCTGTAACTTACCACTTAACAACCCAGCAGGAAAAAACTGATGCCGCGTGGATGTTCACACGCGCGGTTCAGAGCCGCATTGTCACTCCAAGCGTAGTCAGTTGGCTCGGTCGTCAGAGAGGACACGAATGTGTTTGGTACCGCTGACTTACGCCTCAACATGAAGCTGTTGGCAATACTTACGCGACGTAACTTGCTTGCCATTATACTCACGCGATGTCTTTGCAATGGCTTAGCCAGTCTCATGACATTGACCCGAGCCTCATGACAAGCATTCCAAAAAATAGCTTACGTCAAGAAATGCTGCTATTTTTCTTCTGACATGAACATATCGCTTTCATTCCTGTATGGGCTACTTTTTCTGCTTTTTCATGAAAAAAGCAGAAAGGCATACAGATTGTGGCGTGCCTTCATGCGACAATCAGTATATCATTTTTGTAAAAAACTGTGGTCATTCTAAAACGGTATCCCAAGAGGCAAACACGCAAACCCGTCGTTGAAGATAGAAAGACTCTAATTCAACTACATGAGGCATTTCAAACATAGTTAATGTGTCATCTATGAATTCTCCACGAAGAAGTAATGAATTGCTGCGACAACAGTAATTATGCAAAATAGACACAACCCTTTCACATAAAGTGAATCTAAGTGATCCATCGAACATTCCTCACAGGCTTACTAATCTAAGAACAGGTGTAATTATTAGAGCACTAATGATTGAAAAAACACGAAAACTTAAAGAGGCACTTGATACTACATGGTACAGGTGGCAAAAGAACATGTAACTGATCTCTCGTAGCACAACACGTGAAGCTTGAGCGTGATAGCTACGGAAACTGAGGGAGTCGCATTCGGCTTTCGTCCCGTAGCTATTCCAACACAACACCAATCGCAGCATCACGAACCTATGCATCACATTCAAGATCCATCGTCTGACCGCAAAGTTAGCTCTGTGAACCATACCCACTCCACTATTTTCTTCAACCTCAACAGCAAAGAAGTCGCATAACCAGACTCTTCTTGAAACCGACACGGACACTGGCACGGGGCCGACGCTCATATTACCGGCCGCGCGGTAGGAGTGTTGTAACGGCCTCTGATAGAAGACTCACTACTGACGAGGCGCTGCACTCAGCCGCTGGCTCCATATCTGCCTGATGTTCACCAAGCTTAGTCAATGTCCGCAATGATCCCAACCACTGGTCTGCTGCGAGTCCAGGCCGATTCGTCAGTCTGCTGTGGGTTCTTGTCGGTGCCCTGTTCTGTTGCGAGCCCAGATCGTCCTACTAATCCACGGACACCGGTGCGTCGTCGTTCCCCTCTGGTTCTGGCGCCGCCTGCGTACGTAGCTGGCTCTGCACGAATGTGTGGCGGAGCTCCCGCAGTCTCTGGCGCAGCTGCTCCGTCTCTATGTCGGGCTGGTCGGCCAGCTGGTCCAGCTCGGCCGCAAGCGCCGCCACCTCGCGCTCCTGACGATCTTGCTCTGAGAGGGACAGCGGCGGCTGGCGGAAACAGCGGCGCGCTCAGGCGGTGATCAAACACAGTGGCGCGGCCAGGGATCGCACGCAAGAATATGGTCAGGAAGCTGTCGGACACCGCGGCGCGGTCAGGTGGCTGCCGGACACAGCGGCCAGGATAGGGATCGTACACAAGAGTACGGTCTGGGAGCTGTCGGACACAGTGGCGCCTGTCGGACACAGCTACACCGTCAGGTGGCTGCCGGACACAGCGGTCAGAATACGGATCGTACACAAGAGTACGGTCAGGGAGCTGTCGGACACAGTGGAGCCTGCCGGACACAGCGGTCAAGATAGGGATCGTACACAAGAGTACGGTCTGGGAGCTGTCGGACACAGTGACGCCTGTCGGACACAGCTAAACCGTCAGGTGGCTGCCGGGCACAGCGGCCAGGATAGGGGTCGTACACAAGAGTACGGTCAGGGAGCTGTCGGACACAGTGGCGCCTGTCGGACACAGCTGCACCGTCAGGTGGCTGCCGGACACAGCGGCCAGGCCAGGGACTGGACACAATAGTGCCGTTAGGGAGCTGCCGGACACGGCGCGGCCCGGGGGGTGGACAAAATAGTGCGGACCGGGAGTTGACGGACACTGAACGCAGTGGTAAGACGCCTGGCGTAGACCGGGCAAGCGGACACATGACGCAGCCAGGAGCTGACGGAGACGGCGAGGTCGCACACGGGAGTACCGGCCAACCGCCGAGCGGTGCCGTCCGCCACGACCCCGACTTCCACTGTACACTCAGAAGAACCCGAGAGGACAGCGCAATCGGCGGCGCTGGAGACAGCCTCCGCGGCACGCCAGTGTCCGATAAGGCGGACCGTTGACTCCGGAAATGTCGTGGAAAAATTAAGTACCGCTCCGGCAAATCTACGATCATTGGTTGCAACATTGTAGGCATTCGTAGCTCCAGCAAATTGTCGACATTGTCCGCTGAATTCTAGGCGCACCTCAGTATCGTCAAAAATTCACCGCAGGGTTACCGCGCACCGCCTCGGCACTAGGCTGCCGCTGCCGATAATCAACATTCCGAGCATGACATCGTTGCGCGTCTTCGACGGGATCGGCCGAGCTGGACAGGCGACTGAGCGCAGATCACACGCACCCTGTGCGCTCACCGGAGGCTGCAGCGCCGTCTGCAGCAGGTGGCGGCCGTGCTCACCGGGCCTGCAGCGCCGTCTGCAGCAGGTGGCGGCCGTGCTCACCGGAGGCTGCAGCGCCGTCTGCAGCAGGTGGCGGCCGTGCTCACCGGAGGCTGCAGCGCCGTCTGCAGCAGGTGGCGGCCGTGCTCACCGGGCCTGCAGCGCCGTCTGCAGCAGGTGGCGGGCGTGCTGTGCGCTCACCAAGAGCTGCAGCGCCGTCTGCAGCAGGTGGCGGCCGTGCTCACCGGGCCTGCAGCGCCGTCTGCAGCAGGTGGCGGGCGTGCTGTGCGCTCACCAAGAGCTGCAGCACCGTCTGCAGCAGGTGGCGGTCGTGTTGTGCGCTCACCGGGGGCTGCAGCGCCGTCTGCAGCAGGTGGCGGGCGTGCTGGATGAGGTCGGCCGGCAGGCTGGTGGTGGCTGCCAGGTCCAGGCCGTAGCCGCTCCTCTGCAGGCGGCCCGGGTGGATGCGGTGCGCCCTGGCCGCCGCGTCGTCGCCGGCCGGCCCCGGCTCCACCTCGTCGCCCTCGCAGGTGCCCAGGTGGAAGCTGCACCGCGGCAGGCGGTGCTGTCAGACGGGGTTCAGGTGGCGAGGTCTCGGCGAACACTCCGGGCAGTTCTGACCTCTCGTTGCTCAGCACGGCGGCCCCGTCTGCGGGCAGCCGCTGACAGCGCGCAGCGCGGCGGCAGCTCCGGTCAATGGCCACTCACTTAAGGACCGTATGGTACATGTCGGCCATCCGCGAGCACTGCTGGAAGTGTGTGGCGGCCAGGGTGCGGCACTGGCGGCGCAGCAGGCGCTCGCAGACGGCCCAGGTCAGCGCGGCGCCCTCCTCGGCGGCCGTGGCGCGGCCCAGCTCGTCCAGCAGCACCAGGCTGCGCCTGGAGGCCTGTTGCAGCACGCAGGACACGTCCCACATCTGGCAACACAGGGCCCGCCGTGACAGCGCAGCCGCCAGTCATCGTGTGCCAGCCCACAAATGATGTTTCCCGGCAATCATTTTTGCGCTGCTTCGGCGTAACGGCTCTCACATTTCCGTAAAAAAGCATTAGCATGCAGACTTGACGCTTAGTCTGACAGCTAAAAGTAGCGTCAACATTTCATCGTGCGAATGATGTGCGTAAATAAGCCACCTAACCACAAACCCTGAATTTAGGTAACCCCCACCCTGCCTATATAAGCATTAGACACCACCCACAAAATATTGTTACAACGTTGTATGGATAGACCTATGGCGTGAACACACCGAAGCATTCCAAAAGTGGACTCGTTATTTGCATGAAGCGTAACGCGGCTCATCGGATAAGTTGAAGTCACAAAGCGCCAACCTCTGCCTGGAACGAGGAGACCTGCCGTTCCGTCTTCTCCTCGCAGCCGCTTCGACAAAATATCTGGTCCACAATAGGCAGGACGGCGTGCTCGGCTGGTACAAAGGAGCCAAGCTGAAAATATCAGGCAAAGACGGGGTGTCACAGGCAGGCAAGCACTCTGGTTTCCTGGCATGCATACAGCGAGAACAAACAACACGCAACCCGACTTTTATTCCCGTAGCAAAAGAAAACCGGAAATTCATCGCCGATTGGTAGCAGAAACACTGTCCTAACTGTTCCAGGAAAATCAAACTAAAAGAATGACAACATAGAGCAGTGATGTATCAGCCAGAACCTTTCACAAGATACGATCTCATGCCCCAGCAGCCATTCCAAGAACAAAACGAAGCGGGCAACTTACAAAGTCCACTAACAGATCTCCAGCACAGATTCACACCGAAGATTTTCGATACGGCGTTTCGATAAACGTTACAACAAACGAACCAATTAGAAGTTGGATCAGTTCAGTCCGGGCCTGGTCGGTCTGAAGAGGAAAGGCACCTCTTGTTGCTCAAACCGCTGTTCGCCGGCCAGCTCGGGGGAAGGTGAGAACGAAGGGAGCCGGTGACCGACCTGCGCCAGGATCTGGGTGATGGCCACCTGCTTGAGCAGGGTGCTCTTGCCGCTCATGTTGCCGCCGGTGATGACCGCCAGACGGCATTCGCCACCCATGTCCTGCGCACATTGAGGGCATGACGCTAAAGCACACCGACATGCACGTACAGGCGGCGGGCGGAGACACGCCGCCACGCAAACCTATATCACAGAGCTGAACCACGCCGTGACACTAACGCACGCGCAGGACACGGGGCTAAAATTTGCCGACACGCACGCAGAGCGCGCCGACCAGCGCAGGTCCAGCCACTGCGGGCCCCTGCAGCGCGCGGTATATCCCTGAGCACGGCCCACAGAGGCCCTCCTGATCTTGACAGAGCCAAGAGCGTTGCAGGTCGCCGAGCGTCGTCGACTTGGCGGCCGTGCCAGGCGAGACGTGGGGTTCCGTGACCCCGACACGCACCAGGTGGTTGAGGACGACGGGCGTTGCGGCGCCGGCGGCCAGCAGCGGGTGCCAGCCGCCGCCGATGTAGAGACGGCTGCCGAACTCGGGGCGCCGCAGGTCGAGGCTGACAGCCAGGTCGGCCAAGCCCACCAGCAGGTCCGTAGTCGACACCACCTGCACTCAGGGCAGGGCAGGTCACTGTCAAATAAGCCATTGGATCTACAACCGCCCGACATCTCACCAGGACAGCTGCTCCTTCTGAAGGAAAATGGAGCCATTGGTTGTCAAGATCTTGAGCCCAAGTGGCATTCACCGGACGCACGCGGACATTCTTTGGGCTTGGCTCGGCACCGGTGGCGTTGATTACGGGCCACACTGACGCAGCGCGAGTTGACTCCGATTTGCAAAAGAGCGGGGTAGCCTAAATTTGGATGTGATTTCTGATCATGCAGATGTGGCTTCATTTCAGGGTTCATTCCAACTGACTAAGTTGAAATCGCGGCGTCTGGGCTATCTCCGCACCAACACGGAATGCGGGGCACCTCATGTGACTATTAGGCGATAATGAGGTCTAATTATTCCATCTCACATACCCCCAATATGTCAGAATAACTCCGTATCGACTACCCACCTACATACGCCATGCATCAACTTCTACGCACCCAAAAATGTGGGCCGATATCGTCTCCCCGGCACCACGCACTGGCCCGCCGCCGGACCGCGCGCAGGGCGAGCCGCCGAGCAGGGTGGCTGACCGGTGCCGATGCCACGCCTCACCCGTCACCCGGTGCCGCGCCTCGCCGGCGCGTGTGCCGGGCCACTGACCTCCGTCAGCTGGTAGAGGAAGCACAGGTCCGGTTGCAGCTCGTTAAGCAGCTCGCAGACCACGATGCTGCTCAGCTGGCAGATCTCCAGCACGGAGGCGTCGGCGCGCGTGTTCATCTGCACGATCACCTCCGTGGTGAACGTGACGCTCGACTTGTTCTGCTGCACCTGGGTAATGTATTCAAGTTGTAATGTATTTAAAACATGCGGAACCGGCTCTGACAAGGACCTCTGTCGTGTATCTAGCCCATATCTGCAGCGTTTTCAATGCCAGTGCAAGAAGCTAAGCCACTCACCACACCGGCCACGGCACCACAGGGTATGACGAAACAAGACTGATGTTCGCGACCGCAGGTTTTACGTCGGGCCACGCTCATTTCATCGGATTCGCGTGATAAGCGGTGATTAGTCGGCGATGTCCGTGACACTGATCCTTCCAGTCACCGTGGTTGCTGAAACGACAGTGGAACTCGCTCGAGCAGTTACGGCCGACCTGTATGAACTCGTCGGGCAGTTACGGCCGACCTGTATGAACTCGTCGGGCAGTTACGGCCGACCTGTATGAACTCGTCGGGCAGTTACGGCCGACCTGTATGAACTCGTCGGGCAGTTACGGCCGACCTGTATGAACTCGTCGGGCAGCTGCGGCGGCCGGCTCGCCTTGCTGCAGCAGGCTACGGCGTGGAAGCCGCGCGTGGTGTTGTAGCCCGGCTTCAGCACCAGCCGGTGGTGTTCTCCCAGCTGCGCCACGTAGCCTGCACGGCGCGGAAGAGTGTCACCCGCCAATGCAGCCAGCGTCGTCCACCCAACATCGTCGACATGTTGTTGCCGTGAGCCACGCTTCACCTTGCCGTGTTATCGCCGTATTGCGGCAATGAAACAGCCAACGTTCAATTCGGCCCGTGAACAAGCATAGGAGTGAGCCATTGACTTGCAAACTACTCTTTGATCTGCGAATAGCTATTACGACCTACCACCACCGACGCGACCCGGCATGGGACGGCTGACTGTATTGCGTACCAATCACATGTCGAATACGCTGTACCTGATGATATCATGATTTTGAACACCTGCAAGCAAACCACCCTGGGCAAGTGAAGGAATATTGAGGGACGTGCCCAGTCAACCACTGCGAAGGCGGTTGACGGAGCCAGATTAGTTCAGGGGGCACACATGAACCTAATCAAATCCTAATCCAATTATACTAATCACCTACTCAAATCTTCAAGGTCGCAAATAACTAGGCTTCTTTAACGTCTTGAAGGGCCAAATGTAGGCTCTGACGGGACACGCAGGTCGAGATGGAGACTCAAGCTGAAGGAGAGCCTCCCCAAACGGGATAAAGCAAACACATCGACGCACGAATTACACAAATGCAGCCTTCGAACTTGTGAACGGAAGGCCCGTCCCTCTCAGAAGCCCACCTATACACACAGGTGGTCTCTGGATTTGACCAGTGACTAGGAGCCACAGTGGTTACTAACCTATTCACACCGCTGGTCTCTGGGTCTGACCAGTGACTAGGAGCCACAGTGGTTACTAAATTTCAGCACGGACCCAAAAATAGGGCCCTGGACTCGCCCAAGGCCCCGCCTGACTACCTACACATGGACCACCTTCGAATACAACCCAGGTCAACGCCAGGTCCAAGGACCCTCCAGACATGCGTGGATCATGTTGTCAAAAGGCAGGGTCCTTTCACGTGTCCAGGGGTTATCCGAAAGCCAGGTGCCCCAAAGAACCTTCAGCAACCAGAGAGACCTTTAACTTCTCATGAACCTGCAGGTACATTAGAGTCCATGCAGTGATGTCCAGGATCTCGTCCAGGAGTTGGAATCAGATGAAGGAACCAGGGACGCAAATGGAGGAGCACAGAGGGGCTATGGCCATGTATATATGAGGGGAGGGCTGGCAATGAAAGGGGCATGATAAATCACAATGAATGGATCCAGAACTGGGGCCCTGCCCGTTTCATCCAGGAATAGATAAGTTCAGTAGGCCTCCCTGTGCCATTTTTTACCCCTTTACAACGGTGAGGGATACTTTTACGGCAATGAGAGACTTCTACGTCGATGCTGGGGCAACTGCCCCGGTCAGATGGCCTCGCACGTCGGAGAGGACCGGTGCATGACGTACGCCTCTGAGGGCCTCTAGGCCGACCAGGTATCCGGCCCTCCTGTTGCCGAGATGACAGCCGGGAGGTACCCAAGGAAACTCACCTGACCGGGAAGCGCGAGGTGCCTCTAGCGCTCCACCTACCGGCTCCTGCCCAGACAAATGAGGTGTGCCTCCTAAGTGCTCAACAGGGCGGACTGGACGTGATGAAAATAGAATATCAATCGTCATCCATCCAGATCCATCCAAAATAATATCATCGCCGTCATGACGTATAATGCGTCATCGTTCCCGCCCGCCCATTGGCCGCCATCTGGTGTTAGCTACGGGGCGAACAGGGCGCGGCCTACGGAGACTGCAGCGGTCGGCGCCAATGATCTTTTCCCTCAAAAATTGTGAACGCTCATCCTCAAACTATTCCATGTAATGTTTCCACCAATCGATCCTGAAGAAGGAATGCGTAACCTTAGGTGAAATTCAGTTGGTCCTATCAATAAAGAAACGCTGAGCCCATTAAGTTCCGCCCAGGTGTTTAGCCAATAGATTTTACGCATTTTAATCGACGCATTCGCAGCATCTTTGTTAACCTAAACAAAATTCGGTAGCGTAGATGACATATTCTTTGGCAAACATCAGTTAGTTCTATCGACAATGAGATGTTGAGCCAATTTCAACTTAACCTGGTGTTTGACCAACGCATTTTGCGCATTCTAATCAGCCCATTCCGGTATTTTTTAGGGTCTAAAGAATCTAGTAACGCTCGTGTGTTATTGGTCTAGAAAGCCCGAATGAACACCGTGTGAAATGAATGGCACTGTCAGTTAATTTGATGCGGTTATTCGATGCCAGCTTCATTCAACTCACTGACTTCGACAGCACATTCTGAAGGCTGCTGGCTTCTTTGTCTCAGTAAAAGAGCGTAAACAAAGAATGTAACGAAGATAACGCCTCCCTCGAAATAAAGTGACCGGATCAGGTGATTTTTTTGGGGGGGGGGCTTTTGAATTTAAGTTAGGCATGGGGAGGGTGCTCTTCTCCGGTGTCCCGATCCGCTTACCGAGATTGACCGCGTATACGCACACAATACTACGTTGCGCACGCACGCACAAACATACTACCCGAAGTACGTTCGCTTCAAGGTCTTAGTTGCATGCTTTCAATTTTGCTAGCGGTGGGGGTTCGGACACCATCACAACGGCTCATGCCGTTTGAGGGACCTCTGAAAAAATTCTTGCCCTCCGCCCGCATTGTAAAATACGGTCCGCCGCGACTGGTCGCGAGACGTCACGTACTGACAGATTAGCTGCACATTTCGGGGTTCGATTCTCTGCGGTGGCCGCCCTTTGTGACCGAAATGAGGCAGGTGAGACTGTAAGGCCTCACTAGCTGGGTGCATGGTAAAGTCCAATAAGAAAGCTACGCACTTTAGTTGGAAGTGCACCAACTTCTGTCGGACGTTATATTTAAGATTGGGTGCACTTATTAGAGACCCAAGTGTCCAGCCAATGTTCTTGATGCCATTTCTAAGACGACCCACACATATGTCAAATATATCGACACCACCTTGAAGAATTCAAAGTTTTGCTGAATCGGAGCAAATTCAACTCTACCAAGAAGCAGGCGCCCGTCTGCTGTAGACTCATGCGACATTCAAATCGTACTCCTAGCACGCTCCTACTCCTGCTCCTGTAACAGTACCCGGCCCCCGCCTGGGCCTGCTGCCGGGCAGCCTCGGCAGGTCGTTCGGCTCTCACTGATGAACTCGTCGTATGCCTCCGAGTAAAGCCGGCGCGCCAGGTCCAGCATGCCGTTGATGCCCGGCTTGATGGCGTAACAGCGCTGCACGCGCTGCTCGATGCCGCCCCTGCCGGGCTGCACGTCGTCGTGGATGACTGCCCGCAGTCGCAGCAGCAGGGACTCCACCACCGGCTCCTGCAGGCACTGGAGCGCGGGCACGAGAGACCGGCCGCTGACTCGGTGCTACGCTAGGTGCCTCGAGAAGGCAGGGCGCCGACCTACGTCAGCGCATGCCTTGAGAAAACACGAGTCAGCAGCGAAGCTCACTCCGTTCGAGTCAGTCGGCCGTTTCTCCCAGAGGCCGTTGCATGTGTGGATTGTGTGTTACATCAAGGCTTTACGACTTGCTCAGCAGCTCAGGCTATAAGGTGTCACCTGTCTCCCGCCCTGGCAGAAAGGACGGGCGTCACGTTCTCAGGTGGTATACGCAAACGAGCGGCGTCGATGCGAGCACGGCCGACGTCGGTGGGCGATGAGTTTCGCCGCGCCTCACCTTCCTCATGGACACCAGGAACGGATGTAGGGCCGGCTCGAGAGACTCCCGCAGCGCCTCCACGAACTCTAGTGAGGCCTTCAGCGAGATGATGTTGTTCAGCCGCTGCTCCACGTTCCGCTGCGTGTCCTGTGAAAGACACATGACCACTGACCCACGCCGCGTGGCGTTGTATGGGGCAGTGAATGTACCTCAGAACTGATCACGTGCAGGACGTACGGTCAGACTAACTATTCATTACCGACAACGTATCGGCAGGCAATATGCATGACATGAAGCTTCGAGCACGTGATGGGGTTTTAATTTCCATCCTAATGCTCAGCGTGGAGATTTCAACGCTGAAAAAAATTAAGTCACATTACGAAACGCGACTCAAAGGTCTCTTTTACGGGCAGACAATGTGGAGATTATCATCTAAAAACATCAAAAGTCACACAAAACTTCAAAACCCGTTAGTGTTTCACCTCGCTTGTCCCGACTCCACTGCTGGCATGCTTCGAGACCACATATGCCAGCGGCTCCGTCCTCCTCTCACCCAGTCGTGCTGCTGTATGCAAAACGAGTGTATCTTCTCCACGTCACGGAAGCGTCCGACGACGGCGCGGAGCCGGTACAGCAGGTCAGGGTTGTCCACCAGCTCCTGCACACAGTCCTGACGAGTCCTGCCGCGCGGCGCCGAGGGATCACGTGGCAGAACAAACAGACGGCCGCCGACAGCGCGGAGCCGGTACAGCAGGTCAGGGTTGTCCACCAGCTCCTGCACACAGTCCTGACGAGTCCTGCCACGCGGCGCCGAGGGATCACGTGGCAGAACAAACAGACGGGCCGACGACGGCGCGGAGCCGGTACAGCAGGTCAGGGTTGTCCACCAGCCCCTGCACACAGTCCTGACTGGTCCTGCCGCGCGGCACCGAAGGATCACGTGGCAGAACAGACGGCCGACGACGGCGCGGAGCCGGTACAGCAGGTCAGGGTTGTCCACCAGCTCCTGCACACAGTCCTGACGAGTCCTGCCGCGCGGCGCCGAGGGATCACGTGGCAGAACAAACAGACGGCCGCCGACAGCGCGGAGCCGGTACAGCAGGTCAGGGTTGTCCACCAGCTCCTGCACACAGTCCTGACGGGTCCTGCCGCGCGGCACCGCGGGATCACGTGGCAGAACAAACAGACGGCCGCCGACGCGCCTACCCACACACTCAGGTACGCAGCTACGCAGACGTACAACGTCCATGCACGCGAACGCCCGCACGCACGCAAGCCAGGTTCTTGAGGCAGTAGTTGTAGTCGAGCTACCACGTATCCGCGTGCCCCCCTCCTAGGACCCTTTGACTTCCAGTCAGTGCCAGTCACCGAGTCAGCCAGGGTTACAGTCCTGCCGCACCAGTTGCGGGAAATTCAGGGAAAATTAAAAATGATCTTCTTCGCACAGATCGACACGCCTGCCACCGTCATCAAAGTACGGATGTGTCCACCCACAGCACAGTCCATGTAGGTGATACACTGGACTGCTGACAGGCTGATGGTGATGGCTGACGGGCTGATGATGATGGCTAACAGGCTGATGGTGATGACTGACGGGCCGATGTTGATGACCGACAGGTTGACAGGTTATGACCGGCACGGGATCAGGTTGGCCGATGACTCCAGGTCTGGTATGGCTTCGGAGGACTTGGCCAAGGTTTGGCCTACTGCTCCGTTTTGAAGTACGACAGCGGACGCCGTGCTGTATCCGAATCATGTAACGTATAATCTGACCACAGACAAGTGCACTTGCGCACAAGAGCAGGATCATCCTGCCCGCTGAGGCCCGATCGGCGACACGCTGAAGCGATGCAGCGCGGTCCAGCCCCGCCCGGGACTCTACCAGCCACTGCCAGCGGGTGCGCATCCACCCTCTCAGCCGACCTCTGCCCATTTGCCTGCTGTTCGGCGGACATTCGGTCCCAACGGAGGTTGAGGCCCGCGCCTCATCGCGGGAAGGTCGCTGGATACGGGCAAATGGTCTACGCCCGACCGCCGACGTCGAGAATCGCACGGGCTCCCTGGTCTCCGCGCAAGCAGTTCACCCATGCTGCGAGAAACAGTCCGCTTCCTTCACGCAGCACTACATCATATCCTTGCCATGCTGGAACTATGGTGGGATCAAGGGCGTGGGTGAGGTGGATGCGCTTTGTAGAGGGGGGGGGGGGGGGGGGGGGGGGGGGGGGGGAGGGAAGGGGTCGTGCCATCTAACAGGGCGTAACTGATCTGATGAGGGCATGACTGACTCCATTGAGGCGTGACCCTGACCTGGTAGTAGCATGGCTGGCACATTGGATGCGTGACTGGCTCGTGGAGGCATGGCTGGCCCAATAGAGGCATGACTGACCTCACGGAGGCGTAACTAAGCTGGCGAAGGTGTGGCTGACCTAATGGAGGAGCGACTGACCTGGTGACGGTGTTGCTGACCTGATGAAGATGTGGCTGACTTGACGATGGTGTGGCTGACCTGATGACGGCGTTCCGACCTGATGGAGATGTGGTTGACCTGATGACGCCATAGCTGACTTGATAACGGCGTAGCTGACCTGATGGAGGCGTTACTGACCTGATAACGGCCTGGCTGATCTGATGAAGACGTGGCTGACCTTATGGAGGTGCAACTGACCTGATGATGATGTGACCGTTTTGATGAAGACGTGGCTGACCTGATGGCGGCGTGACTGACCTGATGGAGGTGTGGCCGACCTGATGAAGGTCAGACTGACCTGATGAAGGTCCCGACTGGCCTGATGGCGGCGCGACTGACCTGATGGCGGCGCGACTGACCTGATGGAATCCCGACTGACGGACGGCTGGAGCAGCTCGGCCCGCAGCCGACGGCAGCCACCAGCCGTCTGGGTGCGCCGGATCACGCCGTACACGGTGTCCTCGGACCCGCCGCCGGGTCCCGGCTGCACCAGCTCCAAGCGGCGGCACGTGTCGCTGTCTGGAGCACCGACAGCACGGCCACACTGCACTCACCCGCAGTGGCCAGTGTCATACACGGACGCAAGAAAACATACGGCCCTCGGGCTGGACCGAAATTGAACAGCCGTGTTTGCCGTGATTTAGGGCCGTGTTTAGAGTGACGAACGAACCCATGGCTCGAAACACCCAAGAACAGCAGAGAGGCGACGGATTAGGAGACAGGGTGGAGGTTGCCAAAATGGCTGACTACAAGACGTGGACGTCGAACTGGTGGCCAGGACAGCAACGTCTCCTAATCACGTGCAAGCAAAATTGCCTTTTGGTTGTAAGGCGTGTGCACAGAAACGAGGCAAAAAAGAAACCACTCCATACTATTTTTTTGGAGGGTCCACTACTGAAATTGTTGAGGCGCGCTTACGTACGAAAATTATCTGCTGCTGAAATTAAATGCCCAAGTTGACGTGTTTGCAAACTTCCTGAAGATATACTACGGCAATTCCCCAACGTACGCCAACCAAAAGCGTATATATTTCAACCATAATAAATGTCACATCTGCCAACCATTCTCCTACTTATGCCGTTTGAATTCCTGACGACGTTGCGTGGCGCGGCAAGCGTACCTCAGACATGGGTCATAGCCAGTATTCCAGACCCCACAGTGGCCAGCGGTCAGTCGCCCAGCCGACCACACACACAGCAGATGGCGCGCCAGCAGCGGCTTGAGAGTACATGAGACGCGCTGTTTCGACTGTCGTCTCGGCCACCACCAGCAGCGGACGACGGTCGATGTCATCCGCTGGTGGCGGCCGGCCGATGACGTCATCCGCTGGCGGCGGCCGGCCGGCACGCACTCACTCATCATGACGGTGGCTTCGGCCGCCTGGAACTGCACCATCAGCGTGTGCGGCCGGAACACGACACACTTGACGGACTCCATGAAGACGAGCAGCGCCGACGCCGCCGTGGCGCAGTAGTACCTGCCGACGACGGATCCGCTGCGGCCTGACCAGAGCCGGCCGGATGGCGCAGCTCGCTTCGGGCGCGCGACTCTCAGGCGCTCAGGCGCGGGATGACTGACAGCCCGAACCCGCGCAGTGATGAGTGATCATGCGCTGATATTAGTGTCACTGCTCTGTGCCTTCGTTGTTTTCAGCATGACTGCCCGTTTAGCGCGGCAGAATCATGTGGAATCATTGCATGTCTGTTAGAAATGTTCGAAACGGGGGCGTGCTCGTGAAATATATCACCCGATGTGATTTTGTTCATTACTGGGATACAAGACACTTGCATTCAGAATGCGTACTATTTTCTCGGCCAATGATTCTGTCCCCCCCCCCCTCGTCCACAAAAAGAGAAAAAATGTCTTAAGGGAAGGGAATGTCTTAAATAAATGTCCTCTTATTTGTACGGAATTTTGTTTGGTAAGCGCTAAAGAGGCTTTCGCCAGTTAATTTGCACCAAACAGATATTGCGCACAATTTCGATGGTCCTGTTTAATTATTCAGCCCCATTACCAGGCGATGGTTACAGCCGGTACTATCACTGGACTAGAATGTTTATAACTTCATGAATCACAGAGGACACTTGACCGGTGTCGGACTGTTTCTCGAGAATCCCTGACTGACCCTTTCGCAAGAACTTTGCACAGTCGGAACGTTACAGTGCAAAAGCTTGTGCTTCGAAGCCTTTTTAAAGCTATACATTTGTACTAGGCGCATTTCAAACGTTTGCACACAGCCTACCGCTTTCACCTGAGATCACCAGCCGCTCTGAAATCCGCAGGTGTCGTGCAGCTTTCAGAAGCTTTCGTGTATCATTCAGCTGTCAAGAAGACAAACAAACAAAAAACGCGGAGCATGGCAAGCAAATTGATCTGTGAGGAGGGAGCCCTGCAGGAGACCAGCTTCAAACGACACGTCTGGCCCCGCCCGCGGCCTGAGGCCGTCTGCTGGCGGCGCGGCTGCGCACATGTTGTGCAGGGCGGCGATGGCGCTGGCCAGAGAGGGCAGGCAGAGCGCGGCCACCCGCTCCAGGCCGGCCTCCGACTGGAAGTGGTGGCGCGGCAGCGCCGTCAGCGCCACGTCGCCGAACTGCTCGCACAGCAGCCGGTACAGCGGCTGGCTCGGCTCGCAGAACGTGCCGGGCAGCAGGATCTGAGGGGAGCGCGCGGCCCGGTCAGGACGGGGCGGCCACAGCCGCAGCGGGGCGATACTCGGGCGCGGACGACCGGCGGGCCCGACCCGACACATGGGCGCGCGAACTCGGTACAGGTGGCCACAGACGTGATCTTCCCAACGAGTGGGGCGTTACCGAAGATGTTGCAATCACATGTTCTGCTTTGATGCCAGTGCATCTGTGAAGTCCCCGAGATCACATGCCTCTCCCCAAAGTTGTGACAGAATCTTCACACCAACCGAAGTTTCCACACCATTAACCTGCGGCATCCCAGACTGTTGGCATCCACCCGCGCTGACCGAAAGCAAGTCGTTCCCATGTCCCACTACATGTGGGGGAGGGGAAGGGGGGAGTGACCCGATCGACAGCCGCCTGACTTGGAATCCTCGGACCCGGTTCAGGGCGTCACATGGTGGAACGATTCGGCAGTGTCATCGCGGCAACAAGCGTGAGGCTGCGGTTGACGGCGGTAATAGGTAAAGCACAGTTACATACGACGATGAATGAACTAACGGAATCCAAATACAAGCTATTGTATATCATGCGTACTATCAATACTGTTCTGTCGATCGTCCATCCCGTGTTTTGCCGGCTAAGTGGCGATAGCTCGTCATGCGCACCGACCCCGATCATCTTCTGCTGAATGACTTTACTCCACCCTGAAGACCAAAGACGGTCGCCTCCTGATTCGCCCTGTGAGTGGCCGGCGTGACGCGTGGGCCTCTGGCAGCGCAGAGCGCCCTGCTCACCTGACACGGGTTGAGCACCTGAATCTTGGCGATGACCCGCGAGTACGTGTACGAGTCGCTGAGCTGGGCCAGCACCAGAACCGGGCTGTCCGGGTCGAGCGCGGCCAGACCGACGGCGCCCGTCGCCTGACCGCGGCCAGCCACCAGCGCTGCCCGGCGTCGGTCACCCGCCCCGGCTCAGCTGACGCCGCTGACGTGCGCTCAACAGCACGCCATAGCGCTCGCGCCCAACGGCGCGCGTTGAGCTTCACTTCAACGCAACGCAACGAACGCTTCCCTCTCAGCACAATACAGTCCCAGATAGGCAAGAAGGCTCTGTGCCACCTTGACAGCGTTCGCTTCCTTACATCACAGAATACTTTATGAGGTTGGGTTAGGTGATCATAAATTTCAGACGACAAAGCAGCGCCCGCTTAAAGTCCCCGATGTAGATTTCTAGTCACTTAAGCGATTGTCTCAACAAAGAGGAATCATTTAAGGCGGGGCTCACATTTTTGACCACTATCGTTTGCGTTGTTTGCCTCCTACTGCATCCTTCCTTCCCTGTCAACTTCTCCGTTCTATATTGCAACAAGAGCGCTGCCTAGAAGCCAGAACAGCCTGCGATCGTGCAGGCAGGGTGTGTACACGTACACACCTTAAGGCACACCTCACACCTTGCCCCCCGGATCATCAGCTCTCGTCGGAAGCACCGGGCAACCGTCACAAACAGAAGCCTTATGTGCACGGAGAATCCCCGAGCAAGCCAATGGTGCCGGGCAGCCATGGTTACGGGTTACGCAGAGCTGGTTAGCAGGGCATCAAAGCAGCGTAGCGCTCGACGCAGCTCACGCTCCCACGCCACACGGGGGCAGAGGACGGCGAGACGACGGATCGAAAAACAAAGCCAGCCTAAACCAAGGCAGTTCAAGACCAAGGCAAAGGACAGCGAGACGACGGATACAAAAACCAAGGCCAGCCTAAGCCAAGGCAGCTCAAGATTAAGGCAAAGGTCGTGCGGGACGTGTCATTGCTTCGAAAGACGCCCTAAACAAGAGTGCAGTGGCACGCTAGCTGCACTCTATTGCCTCTTTATTTAAATGAGGCTGGTGACGGGACCCCTCGTGTGAACAGCCCGATGTGAAGGGAAGACGACAGAAGCAGCACGCAGACGTGTGGATGAGGTCTCAAATATCCCAAACTAACAAAATGGTAGGGAGCAGTATTCCACCCGGACCCTGTGTGGCACGAGTGGAATAGGGGAAGAAATTGTGGAGCAAATTTTGATTAGGTAAGGGATGAATAACTGCACTATGAATTCTTGCGAAACTTGGAAGAAATGCATGGAACAGAATGTCAAGGAAATGGGAGGGGGGGGGGGGGGGGGGGATAACTTGTGGAGCCGGTGGAAGAAGTGATCACCTAGTATGGGAAAAATAGATGAATTACAAGTAATACTCCGCAATCAGCTCATGCATAAGGCAAAGATACGGTGGCGGGACTGGTAGACTTAATATTGTGCAGGGCGCACCGTAATCCAACCCTTGTCAGGTGTTTGCAGCAGGGGAGTAAGCACTTATCACACTGCTCCCAACGTCCTTATGTCCTTCATCCAAACCTCAGCTTCCATTCTGAGCAGAGAAGTTACCTTTTTGTCTGACAGGAAATGGGCCAGGCTCACAATTGTACATAGCTCGGAAAGGAGCACCAGGTGGCTGTTCCGCCTTCTCGAAAGTGTTCTTGTGATCCGGTGCGGAGATATTCACAGAGGGGAGGGTGCAACAGAAAAGAAAATGAATGCCGTCCAGGAACTCGCAAGATGACAGAAATCAGTTGTCAAATTGTTCAAAGTATTGCGGGGCACTGCAGTCCCCCAATTTCGGTCGATCAGGCGACCCTGCTTTTGTCATGAGCCGCTTCAGGACAGTTGGAACCCCTCAATGACTACATGTAAGTTGTTCCAAAAATTGCAGGATTCTACAACACCCTTATACCATGAAATGAAGCATTGCGAACCAAATGAATCAATTACATTGACTTCACAAAACACAAGGAGCCCCAGTGAAGCATTTTGAAAACTGTTGCTAAATTGCGCATGCACGCGCACACCCAGTCGCAACGACACAACATCAAATAAACAGCTTGCATTAGTTACGGCGTCATGCCTGGGTCTTCGCTGCCCCGCTGCTTAGGTAATGAGGGCCGGACATCCCAGCACTGTAGGACACACACTGTAGGACAGTAGGACACACTGTAGCACTGTAGGACACGCATGCAGTCGTTGCACAACAGAGCGAGAACCCTCAGTACCATTCCCCTGCACCGCGATGGCTGCACCGCAGTGGTGTTGTCAGAATCTTCGCGACGAAGAATACTTAAGAAGAGCTGCGACTTTAAAGCCATTTGTGCCACGTGTCGATCGCATTTTTTGACAACGTTAGAACTTACAGCTCCGTTAAGAAACAAAGAAAAATGGGAGCTACCCCCAAACCGATTTCGGCCACGAAGATGGCTCAGGCAGTCCACTGTGCCTCCGAGCAATCACCCCGTACGCACCCATCGATAAGCTCGACCTCAGCGGTGCGCCCGGTTCGGTGACACTCACCCATGATGGTGGAGGTCTGGACAGGCCGGGGAGTGACCGAGCCGGGCGTGCAGGACCGGCGCGACCACGGGGTCGAGTTCCCCGAAGAGGAAGACCTGCGCGGCGGCCGCCCATCGGTGCCACTCGCTGCGGACTGCAGACATCCGAACACAAACCGGCCGGTCATATGAGAAAACATGCTGAACACCAGTAGTTTTCATTTCAAGGCCACTTAAGAAAGCGATCCGGAAAGGAAAGTAACGAGCCGCCATGTCTTTCGGGAAGCTGAATCGTTTAGGCATGCTTGGTGAACGCAAGAGTGACAGATAGGCTCACTATGGACGAGATGCCGAGCTGGTCCAGTCTGGGCGTCCGCTGCCGGCCGTCGGTGGTCCTCCTGCGTCCATCAGAACCTAGTCTTCCACCAGCTGGGCCTCTGGAGCCGAGACCAAACCGCCAGCGATCAGCCTCTGTCATCCGCCTAACAATCAGCATCCAGACAGCGCGTATTCTGGAGAAGGGCGGCGCTTAATTCATCGGTTCCGCTTTGGTCTCGTGGGATCCCAGACTGCACTACCAGCACACACAGAGGTGGCAGGACAGTAGAGTTTCCATTTCCATTTGCCCCGCAGGCCGGTGGCGTCATTACGGCAGGCAGCACGGAAGTATTCCCAACCCAGGGGATATTTCCAATCCCAAGACGGTGGTCCTCATTTCTGTGCCATTTTTCCACTTAACGCCCAATGTGTCAATGTTAAAGTTTCAGAATGTTGGGACCAGCCCCCGGGCCCCACAGTTCCCACGCCCGTGCATGGCGGACAAACCCGAACTATACTAAAAGGCACAGGGAGCACGAAATAGATGTTCCACTGCCTTCTTCGTGTTGTTCACGCGCCACTGGCTCGCAGTATACCTGCGTTTCTACTGACTGACATCCACATTTACTGACAGGCACAGGGTGGAAGCCGGCTTCGGCTTCGGCTTCGCAGCCCGCCACTTGCCTCCAGTGGCTTTCGAATAGGCTTGGACTTAAAGTCATTTTCCACACAGGGCTTCGGCTCCGTGCCATTTAAAACGGTCGGTTTCGACTTCGTGCCATTTAAAACGGTCGGTTTCGACTTCGTGACATTTAAAACGGTCGGCTTCGACTTCGTCCTAGGCTTCGTGATATTCTTAACAAGTGGCGTCGGCGTTGGCATCAACTTCGTAAAAGTTTGGAAACATGGCCTCGGCTTCTTCTCCACGCACACTTATGTTGCTACGGCTTTGCCATGCTTATTCTTTTTCACTGCAGCTGCCGCTTTACTTCGTAAAAAACAACCTTGCCTCTTACCAGGGGCGCTGTTTTGCAAGATGAGTTGGGGAGGGGGGGGGGGGGGCTGAACAGTGAAAACGACGAAACCTACCCCAAGATACGCCAACAAACCAGCTTCTTTCCGGAGCTGGTTCACCGTCTTTTCTCTTTTTTCCAGTCCATCCATTCCTCATGGGAGAGGCCGGAGCCCAGGCTGGGGGAGGAGGTTGGATACAAGGCCGTGGCAAAGGGACTGGAGCCCCCTCCACACTAGAGAACTAAATCCCTGCTTCAACTCCGATATGTCACACAACTTTTCAAGGTTGACACGCATACAGGGATGAAAACCAAAAGCCAGCCGGTCATTCCTTGGACCCATTAGCACATAAAGCCGGCCAGAGAACTAACTGTCCTAAATGTTGTGTACATGCTAACATAGAAGGCGGGAACGATAGTCCGAATCAAAACCTTCCATTTACAAAGCTTACACCTGGCCTCAATCATTCTGCAAACTCTTTGTAATGTTTCCTGGTCCCTAACAGTTTAAGCACACGCGAAAATTGGTTTTGGCTAAGTGGAACATGGTTATGGAATATATGGGCTTCGGCTTGGACTTCAGCCTCGTGAATCTGAACTGACGGTGGCTTGGTTTTCCCTTCTCGTGTACCAATTTCGAGGCCACTGGCTAAGGATTCGGCTTCGGGTTTCAAAAATACGAAGCCACTGGTTTTGGCTGCGCAATTTCGAACTTGGAGGCCAGCGGCTTCGGCTTCAGCTTGATGTCATTGCCACCATTGTCATTCGGCTTCGGGGCCAGAAGCCTGGTTTTGTTCCCCTGCCTGCTACTGACTCCGATTGTCCCATCAGTCCGAGTGATTGCATGATTCTTCACACGATTCGGACTGACAACGTAGCTGGGGACGGGTTGGGATGCGAATCAAACCTACTTCACATGCAATGACTCAAATTACTTGTTGATTCAAGGCAATTGACATGGCTGGTTCTGACTGATTCATAATCGAGCAACGCAGGGTCCTGAAATGGATTGATCATTCATATTAACGCGACCTGAATACAAATGAACGCTTCTAATGAAAATGAAGCGAACTGGTGACATGGAACGGCGTTGGTGGTATGGGTGGCAAGAGCAGGTGCTATTCATTGCCTTAGCTGTTAAAAGATGATGGCTAGAAATGTAAAAATTGGTTGAAAACATCTGTAAATTATCTCCAGCACGGAACATCTAAGAAACCCTTTCTGGGTTATGTTAACGTGCTCCTGTTCGAAGGAAATACTGACTTTCCCGAAACACCAATCAATTGGCCATGACTGCTATTCTATGCTATGACTAAGTTTCAGCACAGTACTACGAAAATGTGTGCGCGCTTTGAACACTCCTGTTCTTGATATGCTTTACACACTTATAATACATATTGATCAACCTCTGGGTTCGTGCCTTAGGGCATGTGGTGCATTAGCATTACATCCATCTGGGTCCAGATAATTTGGAAGCAATTTGGCTATGCACGCTGCCCTTTATTTTCATCAGACATTCGGACAGGTGTTCTTAAATCAACGGCACTTATAATTCGCTGAGATTCAAGTCCATTCAGTGTTGATTCGGCTACACCAAGCCTCGAGCATTGCATCAGATCAGGTTCAGAATCACTTCAGAAGCTAAGGCTTCGCATCTACCCCGGCTCGCGGGAAATTTGTGACTCTGGAATCACTCCTAAATCTTGACCGAATCCAGCACAAGCGGGCCCCAGGCGATTGAGCTGCCACCTACCTTGCCGACGAGCCCTGATCGCTGACGCCGCCCGATCCCGCCAGTGGGCGGGCGCGGTCGGCAGGCAGGTCAGACATTGTCTCCTGGTCCAAGGTGCTGGCCGCGTCCTGCTGAGCCTTGAGGCAGCGCAGCTACCACTCAACACTGGTTAGTGACTTATGGACGTCAGGTATCTGCCGGGAAAGGGTCGGGGTAATGATGTCCCCTCCTGAGTGTGCATGTAAGTCATGTGGTGCCGCAACGGCAATGCCCGACACAACACTCTGGCTTGAACACACACTTATTACATGGTGCCTACCTGCAGCAAATCCTGACTACCCACATATAGAAACTACAGCTTCCGTGCACTGTCAGAGGCCTCACAAAGTGTCATCGGAGCTCAATTGCCTGGTCACCGCGAGCATAAGGGAGCTCACCTTAAATATTTCCGATGTGCCTCTTGAACTTCTCGGTGAATCCCCTGCTCACATATGGACCGCTCTCACTGTCTCAAATAGATGGACAGCCTCCGCAGACCGTGATCTCGGATCCACGAGCTGTCTCGGGGATGTGAACGCTTCGGGGTCACTGACCTAAGAACATCTGACCAGGGGCTCATACAGGGCCGCTTCGGGGCCACTGGCCGAAAAACATTTGACCAGAAGCCAAGACAGAGCCGTTTCGGGGACATTAGCCTAAAAACAACTGGCCAAAGAAGCGGGCAGGGAAACACAGGAAACACGTCCCTGTTAGGCCTCGAAGGGAGCTACCCGGGACCGACGACCAAGGGTCCAAACGGCTCGCCGAAGACCGTTTTAAGTGGACTGTGGGTAGAACAAGCGATGGGTTCATGTCTAACAAATGCAAAATTCGAATATAAGTTGGTTCATCTTCAATATCTCCTCCAATGTCAAAGTTCCCTCCCCCATTTGAAAGTATAATTTTGAGACTGGTTGGTCCAGTTTCCTTGCTCCACGCTCCATGGGGACGCCACTACGTGGAAAGATCAAAGGAGATAGTCTTTGTGTGATAGCTTTCTTTTGTCTACGCTTTTGTCATTTCCAACCAAAAATATTGGGGTCCAAGTCAACGAGAGGGGCCAACTCAACATTGGGGGCCAGGGCCCTCGACAAAGAATGCAAATCGACATCCGTAGGTCCTTCTAATTGGCGCCCCCGCAACCCAGAAATAGTCGATGGAATCACACTGTTTGATAACACCTTCAGTCAACCAAATATTTTCTGTTCGTATAGTATTGGTATCGGGTCTTGAATACTTCCCACTTGAATGGAGGGCTCTACGCTCTTTTTGGGAATCTTATCTGTTAACCTGCTCGGGCACACTAGATCATTCGGGGGCCCTCTACATTGGGTCTTGGGAACTTCCTATTTGAATGGAAGGCCCCACGCTCTTGACGGGGGGGGGGGGCCTATATGTTAGCCTCCTCAGGCGCACTCGATCGTTCGGAGCCCTACACGTTGCGTCGTGAGTATTTCTTATTTGAATGATGGCCCTGTATTCTTGGCGGGCCCATCTATTCAGCTGCTTGGGCTGGTGGCGGATGCAGAGGGCGGGGGTGGGGGGAGGCACGGGACTACGCCCCATGAACCACGCCGAGGGGACCTTAAAGGCTCCGAAGTGGCCCATAACCGGCCGGACGGACGCAGTTTTCTTACAACAAAAACAGCAAAATTGGATACCATTGAGCTTACAGACGACCAAGGACCACCGTAAGCAAAGTAAAGAGTTTATGAGCAAACGAAGTTCATTCTTCGCTGATTAAGTGATGCTCGGGGAAAATTTTGGGGCCCATTACGCTGTCTAGAGGCATTACGCTGTTGGTTGCCTGCCCCCCCCCCCCCCTGGTCCACTTGCCGGTTCAATCTGATCGCTAAGGAGCTTTCCATGATGTCCTTGACCTCTTTGCGCTGCTCCATGCCTGAGCACTGTTGATCGATCAGGTTTTATTCCACGGATTCTTTCCATTCGTCCAAAAGGCTCTTTACACTTTTTCCGGGGCCCCACATGCCAGGGTACACTCAGCTGCTCAGGGGCCCTTCATACAAATTTTGGGTTTTTCCACTTGCTTGGGGGCCTTGTGCTGTTGCTGGGGCTCTTGCAAGGTGAGGCACGAAGACATTTGATGCTTAGGCTCTGCTTTGATCGAAGGCTCTCCCCCTTTGATGTCATTTGTGGAAGGACTCTTCACTCCTATCGAAGCTCTCGTTAACCTGTCTGTGTACTTTTGATCGCACAGGGCTATTAATTCATGGTTTTGGATAATTCCCCTTTACTCGGAGGGCCTTGTGCTAAGGCCGGGACCTTATATGTCAGCCTGCCGGGGCACTACCGATCGTTTAGGGGCCCACCACGCTAGTCTTGGGTTCATTTTGCTTGCTCTGAGGGCCGTACACTCGTTGACGGGAGCCACTTTGTTAGTCTCCTGCGGCACCCATGAATGCTCAGGTTCCGTCGCTATCGGCCTTGTTGCCTTCGCCTTAGAGCAGCAGTCGAATATGCGCCGGTTAATTTTTACTCGCGATTGCCGAACGTAATTTTAGGTGCCGCCGACGTCGTATGTGTCATTTCCATGGGCTATTGGGTGCGTGACACTTATTTCACAAGTGCATCATGTTCTTAACGTATTTTGAATGCATGGATATGCTTTACTCCTTCATAACAAAAACAATTTGCATTGTTCATTAATCATCAGCTGATTGCATCGGCTAGCCGATTAGCCGTAAATACATACGCTAGGAATCAAGTCCATGCTTATTTTTGATGGTTGTTAGCAGCAGAATCAAGTTTATTTTGCCTGTTGTTACGAAACACTTAACCTCAAAATCACAGAATTTAAAATGATCTGTGGAAAATGAGTGAGCTCTGTGTATGCATGCGTACCACGCCTATGCTATAGGGCTGTGCCAAGTCTATCTTACTGTGCACAGCCGGGCTGTGCACGGTAAGACGTGTTTCCGTATTTATTAAATAAAAGAAAAAGTTAATATATACACATATATGCATATGCATCTATGTATAGATGTATTATAAATATATATATATACATAACATACGACTTGTCTTACAATGTAATGACCAAAATGCAAGGATATTTTTGAGGGGGCCCCCAAATCCAGGGGCCCCACAATGCTGCGTGCCCCCCCCCCCTTGACGAAATCCTGGATTCTCCTCTGCTTACAAGTGCGATCATCGGCCTTGCCACCGGCCAAAGTTGCAGGGACTTCGTGGTAAAGATGACATTTCTTTTTCTCTTCTCCATGAGATGCCACAGGCGCCATGCTCATCCCGAAAAAATCGGCTACGGAGGAGCACGAAACCAAAATACTCTGATGCGGAGGTCTTGCAAGGTGGAGCAAAATATCCTGCAGATAGCCGCGGCAGCACAACGCGACTGCGTCAGTGACAACGTCGTATCTCACAGATTCATATTTGGTGCGATAGTCGCCTCCAAATTAGGAATGTCTACCTCATCCGGCACACCAAGTACACCAAGCGGGTACCTGGACCGCTGTCGTGACCACAAGACCCGCAGTTCAGGAAGAGGGTGACAGTACTAACTCGTGACTTCTCGTTCTTCCAGGAAAACGTGCGCGCAAACCGCGCCCCATCATTTAACCCCACCCTAGACCGCGCGCATAATAATCTTTCAGGCGATCCAGCTTCGTGGAATTGAAAGGCAAGGTTATCACCTTACCGATAGTAGAAACATTTTGACGTCACATTGGCTGTGTTATCTTTAAGGGCTTATACGAGCTTCTTTCTTGAAGTCAGAAATGTTATGTAACCTGATAACCTTAACTTAACGTAATACAGTGACATGACTTATATATATATATATATATATATAGAGCTAACTTAAAATAGCATTACTTCGTTCTCAGATAGATAAAAAACGTTGGTGCGGGTACTAGGGGGGGGGGGGGGGGGCTGGTCATAAACCGCAACTTACTACAACTTTAACCTTGCTGCAAAATGAATTAGCTCTGGCCCTAATGAAAACATATACATTGCCCAGTTACCAGGATTATCTGAAAATGTATATTTCCCCAAAACTTGGCAGAACTTCCAATCATGCATTATTAACGTGCGGTCTAATGGTTAGTAATGTGCTAATTACGGTCACCTCATTCGTTAGTTGTTCTAATGGAACAGTAGTTCCATAGAATTTCATCAACAAGTTACTACCGACTGCCGTACCGTTACTAGCGGCTGGTCATCAAGCGTACTAGTCTTATTTGTTGTCTCGCGTCTCAAGTTACGTTTTTCGTGCATACACGCTGAATTGCAAACCTGGGCTTTATTCATACACATCTAAACCATGTCGTAACTGGCCACAGTTATGTCCCTGGGCGTGCAATCATTAAGCGTGCATTCTTACGCACATTTGCAGTTAGAATGCATTGCAAAATAGAGCATGCGTTCATCAGAGTTGACTGGCTCAAAACACAACGACAAAGGAAGACAGCAATCTAACTACGTATCGCTTATGTGTGCCCTGGCAACATACAGGGTATTGCATGGTGAATGGCGTCAGTGCACAGGCGTAAGCCGGCAGCACACCACATCGGCAATGGCTTCACGGCAAGTACAATCAAGGGCGCGTCCGTTGCCAGCGACTAGCACTCGAACTCAAGTGTTCCACGGCCGCCATATGTTCGGTCGCGCATGCCCGCCTTGTCATGCGGAGTCACGTGCTCACATCCCATCACGCGTTCAGCGGCTCCACGCCGAGGTCGTCGGGGGTCGTGCTGGCCTGCTCTGTCGTCGACTCGACAGTGACGGCCGGCTCTACCGTCGAGGAGCTGCTCGGCGAGGTGGAGCCGACAGTTGTCGTCGCAGTGGTTGCGGTCGCGCTGCCGTCGCTGGCGCCGGGAGCTACTGTCGACGCCGTCACTGCCGCCGGCGCTGTGACCTCGGAAGACGTAGCGGTCGTGGGAACTCGACCAGGGTCGCGGACGTACCCTCGTGCTCGCACCTTCATCTCGGAGGATTTGAGCGAGTAATCGCCCTTCCACAGCTCCCAGATGATACCGTGATAGTGATCGTTGTCGCGTGGGTCCGTGTGGTACTCTCCGTTCAGGTTCGACTCGAAACAGCTGGCGGGATATAGCCGATGTTAGTGGCACATTGTGGATTATCGTGACGAAGTTAGTGATTTTGAGAAGTGACCGATGAAAAAAGTATCTCCAGTGCGCTTAGGATCCCACCAAATGACAGGTATATATATATATATATATATATATATATATATATATATAGGTCTATATATAGGTAGATAGGCATATATATATATATATATATATATATATATATATATATACTGCGCGACATGGTCAAACTGCCGCCTCACTCTTAGTTCGCACCAACAAATAGCTTAACTGCTTGGTGATGCCAGCATACCTGTTGAACCACCATCCCCCGCCGTAGGCGTTGGCGCATGGACAGCAGGGCGGAGCCTTGTCGTTCGTCACGTCCCAGGTGGAGAACTGGCTGAGGTTGTGGGACGTCAAGGAGTCGGAGGCGTTGCCGTGATAGCCGGCCACCTCCAGGTGATATCCGTCCTTTTCACCTGTAACTCTGAGCAATGACAATGCCAGGAATCCGGTATTTAGAAGACTTCATCCCAAAATCGGCTCATTACCTCATCGCAATGCGGCACCGCGTCATTTTGAATTCCAAGCTGCATACGTTCGCGTCATCTTTAGGAATTACTCAGCAAGTGAGTGATTCTTGGAGCAGGGTTACACTGATTGGAAGAAAGACCCATTTGGCTTCCACGTTTATTTTTCCATTTCTCCAATTTTGTTATTGACTTGTATTTCCATGGACCTAGACTGGTTGTCTTGTTCTGTCCCATATGTATGCGTAACGTCTTAAAACGGCTGCAATGCATCAATCTCAGCACACCCAATGCACTTTTAGCTACCACTCACACCACCAGAACACTCACATGAACTTTGTGTATACGGCGTAAGCGGTGTTCCCCTCGAAGTCCGCCAGGTCTACCCTCAGCGTGACATCTTGCTCACTCGTCAGTCTGAAAATACATTTATCTGATCTCCATAGGCACATATGGTCTGTTGTATTCTAAAGCATCACAGTACGGTCCGAGGAACACGTCGGAGTCATCAGAGCAAGCCCTCAATACGCTGACGAATATGCGGCACACTCAATGTTGAAGAGGAACTAATGAATAATCCAGCTGTTGATGGATAATCAGCCCTGCTCACTTGTGGATGTTTTCATTCCCGAACCAGAATTCCCGATCCAGGTCTCCGAAGCCATGTTTGTAGGCATTCCACGGTTGGCTGAAGTTTAGCTTCGGCGTACCAAAATCATCTCGTCTTTGGATAATCTGGAAACCGTGGCATTGAATATGGAACCATATTTGCTGTGCTGCGAGTTGCATTGCAGGAAAATGGCTGTCGTGAACACTACCATACCAGTGCAGACACAGGAGGACCAGAGCCGTGTGAGCCATAGGCTGCCAAAAATAAACGTTACCTTATAAGTGGCAGCTTATAGATGATGTATCTTCATACCTGCTCTGGCTCGTAACATAGGGCATCTATTTATCAACAGACGAAAGATAACACTAAAGAATGCAGTACCATAACGTAACGTTCGTTACAGCTGGGACGTAACCCAGGGGAGGGCCACGGACCATGGCCCCGTCAGTAAAGGCCTCGCACTAGACACTGAGCGTTTCCACGGAAATTTCGCCGCGGGCTTCCCCCCCCCCCTTCCCTCCCAGCCCACGAGTGCAGGAGCCGCCCGCTAGCCGGCCGCGCTGTCGCTCGGGAGGAGCTCACCGTCCAGCCGCCGCCGTCCGTGTGCATGTCGCAGTACCGCTCCATATAGTCGAGGCCGACGGGCGGGCCGAACGCGTCGCCGAACCGGTAGCGGACGTCACTGCTCATGCCCAGCTCGGCAAGGTCCTCGCACCCACGCAGGCCCGGCTGGCCGGCGCCCGGCGGCGGCGGCGGCCGCTGCGTCACCGGCGGCGGCGACGGTTTGGGGCCCGCCCCCGGCGCCGGCTCGACCGGTGCCGCGTGCAGCTTCGCCAGAAGCTCCAATGCGCTGAAGATCCGGCCAAAGTGAACGGCCGTGTTGTTATCGATGGTCTCAGCGACTGTCCGGAGCGCGCGCGACGAGTTCTCCGCTGCAGTCTTGGCCTCCTCCGCGCGGTCGTGCAGCGCCGTCGTCACGTCCGAAATGTTTCTGAGGAGCCGTTCGGCTCGTTCGAGGCGGGAGTGGGTGTCCGCGGTCGCCACGACCAGTCCCGCCGTGCTGTTGTTGACCGTAGCCAGCGTGGCCGTGTCAGACGCCGCCGTTTGTTCGCTCAAGGCTTGCAGTCGCGTTAGCAAAGTGTCCTGATTCTGTCGCGCCGAGACATCGCCTTTATCCAGTTTGGTCCCTTGTCGGAACAGCAAGTCCTCGAGGCGGTCCAGCTTGACGTCGACCGTGGACGTCTTGTAGTCGAGCACGTCCTCCATGCGGCCCACCGCCTCCCGCACCGCGTCGAATTGGTCAAAGTTGAGCTCCATCTGCGACCACTGTTTGAGCAGCTTCTCGCAGGAGGCGCCGCCGCCGCGCGCGCCGTCCGCCCCACCGCCGCCTCGCCGGCCGCGCGGCTCACCATGCAGACGCGGCCGCGGCTCGCGCAGTGGCTGGTCGGGCCGGAACCGCGGCGCGTGCCGCTCGGGCACGCTAGCGTTCCGCCGCGCGCCCCTGGCGTCGGCGAATGGTTTTCGCTCCGTCACCACGGCCTCGATCCGGTCCAGCTTGATCTCGATGGCGTTGAGCATGTTGTTGCTGCTGATGGCCTCCTCCAGCTCGTCCTGGATGTCGCGGTACTGGATGTCGGCGGTACCGGCGCCGGCGTTCTGCTGCGCCAGCTGCGGACTGTCCGTGTTTACAACCTGCAACGCGGGTCATAGGTAGCGTGACCGGGTCCAGTACTACGCGTTCAGACTGAGAGTGATGGAGCGAAAATCATTCATCTGTGTTTCATATTAAAAAAAAAAGTAAAAAGGTGAAATCCATGTTGACGATTTAGCTCAGGAAGACCCCTCTATCTGCGCGTGGTACATGTGCCCCTGCACTGTTGTTTATCCCCGCCTCTATTAGTTGACTAAGTCCGGGACTAGGGCCAGCCGTGCGGGCCGTACGCTCATGACCTAGCTCAGGACCTAGTGGACAGCAATCATCAGATCCCAACGGCCAGAGAGAAAGAACGCTGATCGTGACAGCAGTCCGTGCGTAAGAGCAAACAAGTGGATGGAGATCTGTCATGGGTGCACCCCCGATGGGCATATGTGCACTTTCTGCGCACGTATGAGTGATAGGAGCATTGGTATATCACGATAATGGCAATAGCTTTTGAAGCCTTCGTGGCTTCACGAGCGGCCTTGGCGCCGATTCATTCAAGCACGCGCCAGTATCGCCTGGCCACTGAGCTACGCACGGAACAGCACCATGCGTTCACATTTTAACCTTGGGCCACCTTGGACATCATCTGCGCCTTAGTGCTCTGAAACAACCATTGGCCTTCTACGGTAGGTCAACAGTCCAACAGACAGCTGCCTGGATAGTGGCCATAGTGGTGGTCACGACTCGGCGCAGTCCAGTGTGGCTGAAACTGGTCAGCGCCCGTGAGTGCAATCGACCGTCGTCACTTTACACGCGTTCGTCAGCTGGCGCGGCGTGGGAAAGCGCACCGCCTGAAGCGCAGCACAATAGCTCGGCTCATCTCAGCTGTCTCAGCCGCCTCAGCGCATTATTCGGATCAGATGTCCTACGTTTCTTACATGCCAGCTGCCGGTCTGATCGCCCAATGAAGTCAGCAGCGTCTCTGAGCGTGTTATGGCTGCCAGGTAGATGTCTGAAAGTTTCATTCACATCAGTGTCTTTCTGAGCGTGTTTCCCACGAAACCCGCCTGTCTGAGCGTGTTATGAATGTCAGCTGCACGTTTGAGCGTTAGACCTGTGCCAGTTGTCTGCTTGGTCTGGGCGCTCGCCCAGTTCACTGGCGCTGGTGCGCAGCGCGTTACCTTCTTGATCACGAAGCGACGGCGATTCATGCCCTCAATTTGGGTTTTGAGCTCGCGGAGCGTGGCCATGACGCCCTTGATGGCGAAGTCGTTGACCATCGAGCCGCCCGTCTCCGGTATCTTAGTCAACAGGCGGGACAGCTTGACATTCAGCTGGTCCACCTTGTAGGCCACGGCCGAGTACGGACTGATGGAGCCGTACAACTCCGCAGTCCGCTCAATACCCCTGAAACAAGAGTTGACAGATGGCTTCTTAACAAATTGTTTTGGTATGGTGCACCTTTTTTTCGTCATAAATAGGATAAGCCGTGCAGTAATGTGCGGCACACTTGTTTCCGACGTCGACGTGAATTACTGGGTTAGATTAAAAAACAAAGAGTGCTGTCTTCGTACAGCAGTAGAATGCACTCTGTGGGGAAAGAGCAAGAGACGTTCCAGTTCCTGCACCGGTTGAACAAATGAAGGCAACTGGTGAATTAATGGCATGCAAAAGCGCGTAGACACGAGTGCGTGGAGAGAGTACAGGGGACTGCACCTCCACCTTGAAGAAACACCATCGGCTTTATAGCACAGCATGACTTCAACAAAGCCCTAACCTATCCCCACTGTTCACGAGCTCGCTCGGCCCCGCGCGTGAACCTCAGCGCTGAGCGCGGCATGCTACCACCGGCAGGCACGCTGCTCTTGGCGTCCCCCGCGCGCGCCGCAGGACGACTGACTCATTAAGCAGGTCCATCTTGCGGTCGGTGCCGATGAGCAGGTCAGACCAGGACGTGATGACCGACTGGAACGTGTCCCAGACGCGCGCCCGCTCCTGGAGCTGGCCCAGCTTCTCCTCCACCTGGGCCAGCGTGCGTGACGAGGAGACCTGCAGCTGCTCGATCCGGCTGATGTACTGCTGGCCGAACTGCTCCATCCGCGCTGCCGGCCCACTGCCAGTGTCAGGTCGCATGTGCTTGCATGTCGCGCCCATCGCCCGCCGCTGTCACAGCTGAGCGCATGCTTAGCAACGGCGTGCAGTCTACAGCGTTGTTTCGGTTTTGTGTTTTTTTTTGCGTTTCGACACGATTTCTACGCTACCAGAGTCACCCTGTACGTTAACGGTCCCAGTTGTGCACTATTTAAAGGTTCAGTCAGCTGACTTGCAGAGCTCATCGAACAGTGCCATTTGGACGTTAACAATAAGGATGGTGTGTTAGCAAATACATCGTACATGTGCCCGTTAATGACACTGCCTGGAAATGAACATTTACGGTTACATTTGTTTGACACCAATGCCATTCGTGCATTAACAGTTTGATCTGTGCATTGGTAACCGACACGTTGAACACTGAGCCTTGCTCAATTACTTTTTTATATTACTGTTAGTCCCATAAACTGGCGCGTTGACACTATTCAAGCATGAAAATATGTGGCTACGTTAGCAGTTAAATTTTCGCAATTTAAACGCTTGATCTATTCACGTTGACAGACGTATTTAAACATGAACAGTTGTATGCTATTTTAGCAATGATACGTGCCCACTCTCACTTACATTTGTAAGCAATTGAATCCAGGGGTGTAGGATGGAATTCACAAAAAGGCAGGGGGCATTACCCCAAGATGTTCGCTACAACACGCAGCTTAGCGCGCAGCAAACGGGTAAGATTTCTTGCATGTGGTTAAATCAAGGTGACACTCGATTTTTTACCCCACTTGTTATCTCCAGTTCCGTCACTGTCATTGCATATTCAAGAGCACATCAATTTGCGTCACAAATTTGATAACCAGTGGACACGTCCTACTGTAGGCCTCTATTGACTCCTAATAATTATATATGTATGCTTAGTTAGTTGTTCGTGCGTTAGCGTTAAGTACGATTTATTATTTACGAGGGTACGACGAAGGTACGTGCAAATGTACGACTCTGCGTGTTGAACTTGATGCGAAATGACTCGTTGCCAGGTGGAGACAGCTCGCTCCGTGATAAAAAATTAAGTTCCTAGTTTTAGAGTTTTTGACACTTCTTTATTTCAAGCAAACGGCCGTTACGGCTTACATATACATACACACACACACACACACACACACATATATATATATATATATATATATATATATATATATATATATATATTTACTTCATCCGAATGAAGACATCTCAGTTTATTGACTATGCAGGCGATTGGGCTTGACCAGGGGAACGAGATGATCTAGGGTAGGATAGGATAAACTTTGGAACATCAACTTGTTGCAGAACCCTAATGCCACTTGAAATAAAATCCAAGTCTCCCCACCATACCCCATTGCTTGGGTGACCATGGAGTTACATCCAAACGGCAGTTGAAATTACATGATAAGTTCGTGAGCACACTGATCTCTTGTTTACCATCCTGGGTTCGGATCCTTGGATCCTGATGAGATCCCGTGTACAAATCTCATCAGGAAGTGCATCTATGGGGGAGGTATAGCACTGCCGCCGTCATATTAGATACCTCCGACCTCCTGCAGAATGCGCTGCTCGAAGGCCTCCGAGGGGCTGAAGGAGACGTCACCGACGGCCAGTGGGATCATCAGGATGCCCGCGAGCGCCGCGCACCGTAGCCAGCTCATGGTGGCGGCCCCGGGTTGCGGGAAGCTTCAGTTCTGAGGAAAAATAACAGACATATGCATCGTACCTCCATTGTATGCAAAACTCGTCGGGTAGCGCCCGAAAGATAGCTCTAATCATAAGACTGAGTGACAAGCACGTTCTGAGCCCATTTGGGAGATAGCTGGTAGCTGGTGTGCGCATGCGTGTACCTGTAGGTGTCGCATTCTTGATTATCTGCGCGCTCACATAAATGATGATGACATAGATCATCAAAATAGCCTAGTCCCACAGGTTGTGTGTTTCACCAGGCATGTTATGGGCACTGCCGGCTGGGCGCCTCACGTCCAACCGGCAAGGGTCCAAACTGGCGTTTCAAACTTGGTCAGGCCAGGTTGACAAGTGTATGTAGATTTTAAATGTGCCTCAGGTAGGTATGATGCCTATCTTTACATTAACCATATCATTGGCATTTCTATTGCCCGTGCTGACCTTCCTCACCTTGGACAATGAAAGTATTTCGAAGTTGGGGTACGAATGTAGGCGATAAACGGTGGTCATTTCTTTTCCTAGCCAACGCCATCGATGCCAATGCTCAATTTTCAGAAAGATGGGATGAAAACCGGGCCCAGCTTCCTGTCGCGCGTTTGAAAAGGGCGTACGCAAAATTTCGCGATGGCAGATGGTGCAGTTAAAAAAACCCTGAAAATCGAGATCACCGAGCCGCATGAGCACGCAACCTCTTGCCTGTCCTTAAACATCACATGTTCTCGATCTTCTTATCCTGATGTGCCAAACCGAACCTTTTTAAGATGTCAACTCATCATGCACGCACGTCCACATTACCATGTGCCCTACATTTGGTGAGGGGCTCGTGTATCCGGGAGTTGTTACGTGCGCACGCCCCGTCCCTTCCTCCAGCGCCTGTGCTCCTTCTACGGTTCCCAGCACCCTTCATCTAGCTCACAAGGTGTTAGTACCAAACGGTGCATCACATCATAGGTGACAACATACAATTACCATGGCTAAGTGTCAGCGCCAGTGTTTCACGCCGAGAGTTCCGAGGGGTCCATTTCCGATCAACAACGAAATGGCAATAGTGTTATCACCGTTTTCTTCTAGGGCGGTGCAAGAAGTGGATATAGCGGTGAGTTCACCTTGTTTGATTGAAGAAGGCGACTCATAGGGACGATTCAAGGCGCCCTTTTACGAGCACACACACACACACACACAACACACACACACACACCACACACACACACACACACACACACACACACACACACACACACACACACACACACACACCACACACACACACACACACACACACACACACACACACACACACACACACACACACACACACACATATATATATATATATATATATATATATATATATATATATATATATATATATATATGTATATATATATACACATATGTATATATATATATATATATATATATATATATATATATATATATATATATATATATATATATATATATATATAACATTTGCAAAATCTTATGACTGGAAAATTCGCACAATATGGAATCTTTAGGAGAGACATATCATGACACTCCCTTAGAGCAGAATGTCGGTAAAGTTTGCTCCCTCATCTCTCTTCCCCTGTGTTTCCCCCCCCCCCCCCCCCCCATCGACTCTCTCGCTGTCTTTTTCGCTTTTACCTATCGATAAAGTAATAATGTATCTTCTGTGTTTGGTAGCACTTTGACCGGGTGTGTAAATGGCGCATTACGTACAACAGCGTATAATGGACGCTCCGCGAACCACACTAGATCACGCCAGGGTCGGGCTGCGTAAACGGGGATCGATAGAAAGCGGGCGCGGGTCCCATGCCGGTTCAGCCTATTTTTGTTTGATGGTGTTGGTCGTCACAGTTGATGCAGGCTTTACTTATCAAACTTATGTAAAAAACGCTCTCGATAGTCGTGATAGCTCTCAAAAGGTTTACGCTTGCTCATCGCTGTCTCGGCATCTCGCGTCTGGCTAAAACGAAATGGTAAGTACTTTTCCCCTGTACCTTATTTCTATGCCTGTTGACCGTCCAACGACTGATAAAGAACTTTGGATACCCACCATGTAAGTGCAAGAGTTGGAAAAGACTACAAGTATTAAGCATTTCACAGTATGAACATATTGCAAGGAACTGCCCCTATATGTCTCGAAAACATCCACTACAACAAATGTGGAATTGGTCTGCTTGTACTGAGTTGATTCGTTTGCTGTGAAACTTTTTGTGGCACATTTCATGCATTTTGTCCTGAAATTAGTTGCCATTGCAACATTTTCTTCCCTGAAATAATGGTGTTCCACACCCTGAGATTATTGGTAGAAATGTGCCAAACCTGGGCTGCTTGGATTTGCAGTGCATGTGTGCTGAATTGTTCAGACAGTTTCACCTCTAAGTGGGATGCATTTCATGTATCAAGCAGTTTTTGCAGTTTTGTATACCAACCTTAATGGCAATTGGAAGCACTGCTTAACCTTTGTGCTCAGTGCAGATTTTATTCCATGTTCTTCCCATTTGTTGATAAACCCTGCTTGAGTGGGAATAGGTGGTATAGAAATTGCCAGGATAGGTAAGGAATAGTGTAAGTTGTTAATGACCTTGTCAGGCCCCCACATGGCAGGTAAAATTTATGTTGATGCATATGACATGCTGAACCAATCCTCCCACATCTGCGGAAAACTTAACTTTATTTTGTAACCAGCTCCTCACAAACTGCAAGAGTGGATATGTAAGGTATCAGGGCCATTAAGAACTAGTGAGAGTTCAGTATGTTCCTTCCAAGTACAGCGCATTGCTTTCATGCATATTTTGACCTCCAAGTGCCTAGAGGCTGAATATAAGATTAACACATCTAATGACCTAAACTGATCCATTCAGGCTTGACTCGGCCAAATCCATCAGGAAAGTATGTATGGATCAGCTTAGGTTGGAAGGGATATACTAAACTCTCACTAGTTCTTGACCGCCCTGATACCTTCATACCCACTCTTGCAGTTTGTGTGAGGAGCTGATTACCAAATAAAGCTAAGTTTGCCTCAGATGTGGGAGGGTTGGGCAAAAAGTTGGGCAAATAATCAACAGGGCCCTGACCAGCTGCCTACCCTGAACTTCAGTTAAAGCTGATTTATCAGATGAGTTGGTGGGCAGGATCATCATGTCTCCTACCTACTGTCAATGAAAGATCACATCCAAAAATGTCACTGAGTCATGACTCATGAGATTGCAAAATATGCTATCACCTTGAGTGTTCTATGCCGTCATCGCCAACATCATGTCCAAAGATGATGCATACCTATCCTATCACTGTTGTCCCATCCCATCATTGTAGATGTCATATTCCATTGGTTTTCCTGCTCAGTTAATGATTTTCCATCACAGTTAATGCTCCCTGTATCAAAACAATCATGTCCATTGGTGGTGGTATCACATTCCACCACAGGTCATATAGTGGTCTTTCACATCTGGTGGCACAGCTGATCATGAAATGTATGGTTCAAATAAATTGCTGGAAAGCTCAGTCATGTAAATTGCTTTGTTGCTCTCTAACAGAAAAAGCTGTTTTCTTGGTAAAGTGTGCAGGCTGTAGTCTCAGAAACTGGAGTTCTGTGATTGCCTGTCAGTTCCTGTACATATATCTGAGCAGCATGTGTTAGTTCACTGATTGGGCAGGATATCAACTTCCCAAAAGGCATACCAGTTTGAGATTCGCCGAACACCACCCAACAGTCTTTTGATTATGAGTTAATGCCTGACGGATCGAAGCTCGGCTGTGACGATAACCTCGGTTCGGTTTGGCCTCCGCCAGTGACCTTGCGGGGCGGTGCCGGATGATTCACTTGCACAAACTGTGTCAGACTTGGAGCGAAGCAAGCACGGGTCGTGAAATGTGGGACAGCAGCTAAACATTGTCAGAGGACGTGGCAGTACACGCCGTTCATTTCGGTAGCAGGTTGTCCGAACACCTTACACACCTGATAATGGAAAAAAACGGCAAGGAAATACATTTTTACTTTCTGATGAATGTTTTTGTCCTCAAATGTCCCGCCGACACGTGTGAACGCTACGACCCGCTACGCGTTTCTAATGTTGCTCGGAGTGCCCCGGGGCGCCGCCGCCCTTGCGTACCTCGCCATCCGTCGGTGTGCCGCGGCGGCGCGGCCGGTGCCTGTTTACCACCGCGGCGTCTCCGGCGGCGGCCGCAGTCGGTCGGCACCGCGTCCCCGTGGTGAGCCGCCGCTCGCCGGGCGGCCCACCCGCCCGCCTCAGCCTCACTCACGCGCCGCGCGCGCGCGCGCACACCCTGCCTCAGATGCGCGGCGGAGTCCGGGGCCGCGGTGGCCTGCGCATGGGCCGCGGCGGCTACAAGATGAAGACGTTCGTGCCGCGCCTGCCGTTCGACATCTACTTGTGCGAGCCGGCCTTCCAGCGCGTCAAGCCGGCGCCCGACGAGACCGCCTTCCAGCAGGTGCGTGAAGCGCGCGCGGCCGCGCGGCCACGCAGACGCGAGCCGCGGCGGCCCCGCGCTGCTGGCCGACTCACCGTGCTGCAGGTGGCGCTCCTGCGCGGTCGAGTGCTGTCGCCTGCCGCTTGATTCGTCCGGTGGCCCGCCGCCTCGGCTACCGCCGCGCCATGGCCGCGCGCCGCGCGCCGCCCCGCGTCCGCTGGTCGGCCGGCCGGCACGCGTCTCTGCTGGCCGCGCGCGCGCGCCCACTCTTTGGTCGGGTGCAGGCCGGCGGCGCCTTCAACGCGCCGCCCGGCCACTGTTTACGTTAGCTGCCCCGGTGTCCGGCGATAACACAAACATGGCCCGCGCCGCCCGTGGCCGCGGCCGGCCGTCGCTCCCGCCGTCATGTGGACGCGCCGCATGTGGACGCGCCACATGTGGACGGCCGTGGACGGCTGGACGTGTTCGAGACGTCGCAGGGCCGTGCAGGCAGTCTTGATCCGCGCTGTATTTGGAGGAGGGATCGAGATGCCCTGCTGACGACCACCGGCCTGTTTTGCTTTTACAGGTGGCCTTGGCGAGCGGGAAATAACATGACGTACTTACACGAAGTAGGCCAGCCTTGGAGCCGTGGAATGATTGGGTTGCGGGATGGGAGCAGCGGGAATCAGTGCTATGTTTCACCGGTCTGGATGAGGCCATTAAACAGGCAGTCATATGGTGTACCTTGTACATATCACTATGTTTGTATAGGAATCCTCGTTTTACTTAAGAAATGGCTAGGCGTTAAGAAACCTTTTCTGTTGGGCTCAGGAGTCAGCGTCATATTTTCGGCCAGACCCTTTGTCATCAGGCGGTGTGTACGTGCGCTCATGCGCCTCCATGCCTGACGACTGAAACTTTCTTACTTGAAGGCATGTTCACGTGTCACGATTGTTTTATTGTTGTTTTTCATACCTAACTACCATCGTCACATGGCCAATCTGGCGCCTCGACGTCTTTTAGCACTCGTGTGCCTGTGCTCCCGTCGACTTCCCAAAGCATTGTTCCCGTGCGGCGCCATCTAGATCGGCCTAAAACGCACACAGCTCACAGCTCTGTGTGAAGCCGGGTCTGCGCCAGCACCCAGACCGCACCGGTCGCCTGGGCCGTCTTCTGGACGTCCCCCGTGACACGTGCCCCGCCTCACCAGGCGCTGCTGAAGAGAAACACGGACCTTTCGCCCAGCCCGCCCGAGCAGACGGCCGTGCTCAACCTGGTGACCAAGATCTCGACCGTGCTCGACACGCTGATCGTCACCCCCGGCTCGTTCGACGCCTGCGTGAGTGGCGTGCCGGGCGGCTCTCCACGGGTGCTGGCCGAGCGGCCCGGGTCCGCCCGCCGCTCGGCCGGTACCGGCCAACAGTATGAAATTGCTTTCCACGTGCCGGTATCCGAATGTTGGATAACGCCCAAATGTTATTTTGCTACCGTGCTGATTGCAGCGCTCGTGTCGGTGAGAATGGAAGCGTGATGAGGGCATCCTGTGTTTTCGCTCGCCACGGGATTATTACAAGCTTCTCTGTTGTGGCTGCCATTCAGCAAATAGAGGAACACCGGCAAGTGGGCTCCTACAAGAAGGGCACGATGCGCACCAACCACAACGTGGCGGACATTGTGGTTCATCCTGAAGACACTGCCGACCCGGGAGGCGGTGGAGGCGCTGGGAAATCAGGTCACGGAGGAGCTGAAACAGCAGGAACCGTCGGACGGTCAGTCGGCCAGGACGCGCGCTAACACGTCAACACCGGTACCATCAGCGCCGGAAAGCCCAGCTGAGTTTGCCGATGCTGGGCTTGGCGATGCCAACAACGCCAGGCCTTAGTAACATTATGGGTTTGTGTAATATTTTTCTTGACTGCTAACAGCTTAAGGAGCCTCGACAGCGCCCTGTGGTATGCGATCAGTAGGAGTACTGCGTGATATTACACAATATCATCGCTTCCGGTGCGTTTGGTGGACGAGTGCGAAGCAGACGCGCTAGCCGGCCCGCTGAACGACCCAACACGCGCGCCGCTGCAGTGCTGGTGGTGGCTATGCTGCCGAACGACCGCGGCTTTGAGATCAGCAACAGCGAGGCGACTGTGCGCGTGCTGGTGACCACCGTGCACCAGAACCTGCGTAAGCTCGGACCCGGAGCTGCACCTGGATCAGAAGATCCTGCAGAGCCACCTGGCGGCCATCCGGCACAGGTGAGCACGGCGAGCCGGGCGGCTAGGCTGGCGGCGGCGCGGGACGGGTCGCGCGGCGGCCTCGCGCGGGGGCCGATGATGGTGACGCCCCGCGGCGGCCAACAGCCGGATCACTACACACATGCATTGGACTCGTCTCAAAGTGTAGAAAGTCGCTATTGGCCGCAAATTTAGAATGGCCAATTTTTGAGTGGCAGCCAGGATTGCGTGTGTTTCACATTTCTTCAGTGATGCAGTATGGGAAGAGAAACTGTTACCTATCGTCGTTGTGTGGCGGAGCTGTATATGTGACCTCATGCCCTCTCGTGTTACAGTCGATGGTTCGAAGAGAATGCGCATCATTCGTCGATCAAGGTATTAATCCGTCTTCTGCGAGATCTCAAGAATAGGTTCGAGGGGTTTGATCCCCTATCACCATGGATGTTGGATCTGTTGGTAAGCACTAGAAGCTCTCGGTTTTGTTGTGTTGTTTCCAAAAGAAATGGATTGAATCATCTCTGAAGTAAGCAAATTTGTTGCTTTGAAATATGTTCCCATCCTCCAATTTTTGCACTGCTGCTATCCCATCTATATAAATGTTTGCACTTTATATAAGTAAGAAACACCTTCAGCCCCTGGCCTTTTGGTATGATCAGCTCTTAGTTCTTATGCTGAGTAAGTGGCCTGTGGTATGCCAGGAGGTACGAGTTGAAGGGCGTTATAGCGCAAATATTGGGTATATTCAAAGTACCCGAAGTTTCAAGCTGTGCTTATGATCGTGAGGGAAAGGCTGAGCTAAGTTAAGCAAAAAACGAAAAGACTTGAATCCAGAACGTGCTTCTGATCTGCGCAGACTCTGCCACCAAAACGCTGTCAAAATTAAATTATCCGTGCTCCCACATACAACAGACAGCACCGGATGCACGGTTCTACGCGGAAGGCTGTCTGAAGCACTGGCGTCAGAAGCCGGAGGTTACCATTGCCCGTAGGGAGCTGTTGATGATAAAAATACATGACACGACCATCTAGTACCCCGCACATAGCATGTTTTTGTTCAATGCTAATGTTAATGTTAGAGTTTAAATGTTTGCTGAGATAGATGGTACGCAAACATGATTTGGAACCGTTGGCAATTTACAGTGCACTTCATTGGAAGGCTTTAGAGACGAGAGTTCAGTGCATCACAGGCCAGCTGGGTGTGATTGCGTGCCGGTCACCAGTGGTAGAGTTTTCCTTTTCGGAGACAGCATCAGTGTGCTTACGGTTCATTGTCACCTTTTCGCCAGGAGTTAGCCTACCACCACACCTATTCTTATCCGCAATACCACATACACATTACACTACGGGATGACGTATGCTCATCAGCAGTCGAAAAGAGCGGTAACATGTCGATTTTCGGGGTCTCCCACGACTGCTCTGCACTGTGATGGTCTTGCAATTGTTTGCTAAGCATGTCGTGTCTTTCTCACCTGTAAAAGGCTGTCTTCAGAAGGACGTTCGGGCGGGGAGGGCATGTGTGCGATGATGCACTGCTTGATCACTCACGGGATGCGGTCGCCTGTGTCGCCAGGCACACTACGCGGTGATGAACAACCCGAGCCGGCAGGCCATGTCCGTGCACCAGGCGTACCGGCGCTGCCTGCAGCTGCTCGCCGCCGGACTGTTCCTGCCCGGATCGGCCGGTACGCCGCCAGTCGCGGGCGCCGTGCGGGCCCGTAGGCTGGACAGAGCAGCGGCTGCGATGTTTCGCGAGCTGCGCTGTTTTTACCTCTTATGGGCTGCAGCTCTGACCGGAGGGGCTTCAAGACCGAAACAACTCGGCGAGATTCAAAAGATATACAGTCTGGAACCTGGCAACGAAATCCTGTTTGTTTTTCACGACATGCTATTCCTTCGACCATCGTTCATGTCGTTAGCTCGCCATGTGGTGTCATCGCCACAAGGTCAGAGATTGCCATTTTGCAAGTTGCTCGGCTTCTCTGTCGGTCCGTGAGTCGGCCGGTCACGTCACGTCCGGTCGGGGCATCTCGGCGCTGGCCGGCGCCCGTCGGGCGGAGGTCACTGACCGGTTTGCGGGGGCCCTCGCATCGCTGATGCCAGTGCGTCTGGCGAACATCGCCGGCTCATGCGTTTGTTGGCTGTTATCACCGACTCATGTGCACGTGTGACAAGCGTCACTGACCCGTGTGGCTGCGGACCAGAGTCGCTGATCCGTGTGCCTGCGGACTGGCGTCGCTGACCCGTGTGGCTGCGGACCAGAGTCGCTGACCCGTGTGCCTGCGGACCAGCGTCGCTGACCCGTGTGCCTGTGGGTTAGCATGGCTGACCCGTATGGCTGCGGACCAGCGTTACTGACCCGTGTGGTTGTGGACCAGCGTCGCTGACCTGTGTGCCGGTGGGTTAACATGGCCGACCTACCCTGCCGACAGGCATCGCTGACCCGTGCGAGGGTGGCAACATCCGCGTGCACACCGCCATGACGCTGGAGCAGCAGGACGTGGTGTGCCTGACTGCGCAGACCCTGCTGCGGGTGCTCTCGCACGGCGGCTACAAACAGGTCATCGGCCTGGAGGGCAACTCGAGTGAGTGCCGACGGCTACGCGCCGCCCCTGTCCGGGATTGCCAGCATTACCGGCTGAGGAGACAGCGCCGGACGTGCTCAGTCGTCTCTGACGCTTGCCGTTGGCCGGTGGCCGACACGAGTGATGTCCAATGTGAGCCGGCCGATGTGTCTCGGAAGTGGCGAGACACATCGGCCATGACCAAGTTGATACGCGAGGTGTTTCAGTCAGCTGTTCGACCGCACCACGCAGCCTGCTCCAAGCTGACACCCTCACGCCCGTGCACACCGTGCCCGCACCGTGCACCGTGCCCGTGCATCGCCGACCGCTCACGGACGTCCCCCGTTTGCAGCCATCGCGACGGACATGAGTGTCTGGGAGGGCATCGTGGTCTCGCCACTGGAGAAGGCGTACGAGAAGCCGCCAGAGCGCAAGGACGGCGAACAGGGCGAGGACATGAACGACGATGACGACATGGACATGGCCGACAACTGATGCTTCCCTCTCGTGTACTGCCAAGGTGCGGCCAGCGGGGTGTCAACGGCACGGCTGCGCGCGTGCCGCCGCATGGTCATCTTCGTTTTAATCGTCATTGTTTTGTATGGTCGTGATGCGAACTTCAGTGTAGTGGCATGGACACGTCTTTTCACGTACTGCGTAACCGCGTAGTGGGTATTTCGGTATAAAGTGAACCCTGGCCATGCCACACCCGTACCGGCAGGGTTCAGTAAAATTCCACAAGCGCTCTGCACGCTCGGAAATGACGCTGATTGGTTGCCGTATGTGATGAAACGCACTCCAACACTATCAGTTGTGTTTTTATGAATTAAACCAAAGGTTGCGTGCCAAGTGATATTCTTTTAGGCCATCTGCGTCACCGTGTTCTTCACTTCGCGTCGCCGGAGGGCATAACCGCTGGAAGCCAGGCAAACGTACTTTGGGACAGCTCGTCATCTCCATGGTAACTGCTCAGTCGAAGATCAGGCCACTGCCGCCGGCATGTAGCCATCTGCAGCGCAGTCTCTTTATATTTTGACAACAGCAGCGTCGAGTACACATAGCCGTGGAAGGGGCTGCACCTGATGAGCAGACTGACTGGCGAGTATACATAGCCGTGTAGGGGACCGCATCTGATGAGTGAAGAGCGTCAAAAATGGTAAAGGACCCACACATCAAGACTGTTACTATGCGCATCAAGTTCGCCTGTGCAGCTGCGACGGAATTCAGAGGACTACATTCTACAACAATACGCTAACAATGTCACAGCAAATGCGAGGGACTAGCAAAGTAACTCGTAAGTACCACCAAACTGTGTCCACATATTCACGGTACAACGCGTAGAAGTATTAACAATTACCGGCAAAATGTTAAACAGCCGTAAAATCCGTTCACTGGGTACCACGGACATCCAAATACGCTCGTCGCTCATACGCACCGATACTGGTGCGTATGGTATTATGTTATGGTATTATGGCGATAACATTATCCGCAAGCACGCGTCGATATTGAGACGACTTTCGGGCGACGGCCGACACACTTTGAACAAAACGCACAACACTCCTGCAACTGGACACGTCCACAACGAACAAGTCGTGACTAGGGTTGACTAGCTTTGGGGAAAACTGGCTCGTACAGGGATGGCAACAAAAACACAACCATTACGCCTTCTTTCGTATGGGCCGAGCAAGGTAATGTCACGTATATAATTATTATCCCGTAGATGATATATTGCAGCAGTGTAGTTACCACGTGGTGACGTAATCGGTCGCCAAACGTGCGCTGGCCGCATACATCGACTGGGAGATGGTCAGTTCTAACCCTGTTGTGATCTTATGACGGTGCCATACCTGGTCTCGAAGCACAATATAACAGTATATCACCACCCATCTTACAGGCTTATGGAGGTTAGATGGGGTTCCAGAGATATAAGCTTGTTAACAGTGTGGTGAACGGGCCGGGTCGGCAGCTCAGGCTGGAAATTTTTTCTTTGCTCAAGAGAACCCACTCAGCCTACGGCCGTGCTTGGAACGAACCGTCGTGCTTAGAGTTGGACTGTGGGCTGTGATGGATCCGATCGCATGGTAACGTAGCCGTCAGGACGACCACGGAAGCATACATGCCGCTTACAGCTACCTCCATTAAAGCTTCAGACCGCGACAGACAGTGCCGGCAGCCTCCACAACGGGCGAGGGAACTGGCGCGGGGAGATCAGTTCAGCCTGATGTTAAACCCTTGGAGACTCCGGACAAAGCAGAACAAGGGTCAACACGGAGATGCGGGCCGTGGGTGATCACTACATTTCTAAGCATGATGCCTCGTGTTATGAATGTCACGAAGTAACACCCGGCCTGCGCAAAGGTGCTTCACCAACATGCTTTACCAACGGAAGGGTTTCGGGACTCATTACGTATTACCTTGGGCCCTTATTATGAAACGGACGCCAATTATAATATGACAGGAAGCTCAAAATCGTGCCTACAGAGGTCACTTTGTTAAGAAGGGCAATGCGCGCGAACAGCTGACTGTAAACCGAATGGAAAATCACCGTACGCCATACTGTTCAGACGGCGCAAGTCTTGAAACGGTAATGGCCCGGGTGCTTCTCCGTAATCGATGGATGGTCGAATTACCCTTCCGCTTTAAATGCGTTAAAACCTTAGTATGTTGAGCACCCACCCGACGGCAAAATAGCGCATGGTGTGAAGACACCCCAGGTCGAAGCTGCTCCAGTTCTACAGGAAGCCCCGAACGCACCCACTCCCGGCACCAGTCCCGCCGCGCCCTGACCACGCGGAGCTCCGCCCCTCACCGCACCGGCGCCCTCTCCCCAGCGGAGACCGCTGTCGCTGGCGGCCGCGAGAGGACGTCGAGCGCGCCGAGCCGGCTCGCTCAGGCACACGGGTTGTTGTCGCCGTGCAGCGCGGCGTTGGCGCAGGTGACGCGCTCGGGCCGGCGCGCGATCGCCGTTGTCGAGCGGCACAGGGCAGGCGGAACAGGCGGCCGGCCGGCATGCAGGTGCACAGCCGGTAGGCGGCGCGCGTGCCGTCGCTGACGCTGCGTCCCTGCGCCCACGGGATGCCGCGCACGTCCAGCCGCACGCCGTCGGCGCCCATCAGCACCACGCTGCCGTTGACGCTCTTCAGATGCAGCTCCTGGTCGGCCGAAAAGACGATCTCCTTGCCGTCGACGTGCGTGCCCTCGCTGCCCTTGAGGTGCGCCTGCTTCGACGAGAGCAGCTTGAGCGAGCGGTCGACAGGGGCTGACGACGCGGCGCGTGCGCGCGTCCTGCACCCGCAGACTGCGCACGCCGGCCGGCAGGCCGAAGTTGGGGTAGGCGGTGTTAAAGAAGGGCACGGCACCGGCCTGGGAGACGCCGGCGCGCGCCACGCCCTGCACCAGCACGCCGGCGCCGGCCAGGGAGAGTCGCGGGCCGTCCGCATCGTCCCGGCCACCGGCCGACACCTGACGGCACAGGACACAGAGTGCAGACGTCGCCGGTGGCGTCTCGCGCCGGCGAAGGTCGTCGCTTGATCAACAGCAGGCGATCAGGCGGTGGCAGTGGCGCGTGCGCTACAAGCGAGTACCCTCGAAAAAAGCAGCGACTGATGCCCCGGACGCAATGTCCGCTGTCAACCCAATGCAACTCTACCATGCCCTTTCGGTATTAGCACGAGGCATGAACACGATGTGTGACGGCGGGGCCAGACCGAGAACAAAACGTGACACTGCCAAAGCAGATGCATGAAGCGGAGCGCACACCCGCCACCTACCACGAGGTCAACCGTCCCACCGACTCCGTTGATGGACATCGGATCGTCGGCAAATCCCAGGAAGGAGCCATCTGGCTTGTAGAGGCGGTCCATATCCACCGTTCCAGGCAGTACCATTCCTCCTTTCACAACCTGTCACATATTGCAGCACAAGTCAGGTGCAGTGATTCCACCATGCCGCGGCGGAACCTGAAGCACCCTCCTGACGAACTTTACATCACCACCGCTCAATCATTGTTAACAAGCCACAAAAGATACTAACACACTTTAATTCGTCGCACACTTGCATGCAACCGAAGGCCGCAGACTCCAAGCTAGGGCTTCACCACTGCCGCTGCACGTTACAGCAGACAATACACTCCAGTGGAGTCACATTGTGATACAGTGCGTCGACACAACCCCGACACTACCCTAGACATAGAGGTCCCCCAAACACGGGGCACAGGGCTCAGTCAGAAACTGAGCTCTGCCTCGCGGCCAGGGCAGCAGCAGTTCGTGCGTCTCGCACCTGAACGCTCTCCATGCCGACGGAGATGCGCAGCACGCTGATGAGCGTCAGCGTGATGAGCAGGTTAAAGATGGCCACCAGCAGCACGACAGCCACCAGCAGCCAGAAGGCGTAAGAGCGGCCGCCGCTCGTCGCCTCCGGTACGTCGTCCGTTGTTACCACCGTCTGTACTCTGACCGTCGAGCACCACATACACCGGTCACATATGCTGGTTTGGGTAGACACTTCTATTTGTGGAGTTGTATACATACATATATATGTACAATATATATATATATATATATATATATATATATATATATATATTGTATCACATAATTACAAAGTATATACAAACTCACATAAGTTAAGTATGGACTAAACATGCATCACATGAAGACAGTCACCAGACTCCATGCCAGCAATCCACTACAGTGCCATGAGCACCACTTACCACACATACACAGCACACTCCTAAATCAGAATGTATCACAAGTGGGTATTCCTTGGATGTGCATATACACAAATTTATCAATCACAACTCTGGGCTCAGAAATTCATACTGATGTTCTGCAATAATGAGTCAATGAATTTAGCTATTAAAGGCCCATTGGTAATGACCTTCAAAGCTTCAAGAAAAAATAGTAATGAATATTTGTGATCAAATCCATGTATGATATATGTGTGGCCAAGCTTTTCAACCTATTGTAATAACCAAAATAGTTGTGCTATCCAGTCTGACTTTTTCAAAACAAAATTCCCAGAGTTTCCTGGCCTTTGATAGCAAGCTGCAAGCAGCTACTACCTTTTTAGTTTGGTATCATGCAAATAGCAATGAAAGAATACTTCAATGCTGAGGGGCTGAACATGTCACAGTGAAATCTGGGTGGTCACACCCTATAGGATGCACATGTGCTCAACACACTTCACCCTGGCCCCACACCAGGCAAACCCACATCCATCCTGCTGAGAGCAATAATAATGTTGGTACATGTTTCATGACACATGTCTTGATTTCCTGGTTCTAGGCCTTTCAACACTTGCTCATGGTCAATTATAAGCAACAACTGGTCAATGTGCAACATCTTTTTAGGATGAAGTCCTCAACAATAACACTGTTGAAGGAGTGGGAGACAAATATGCTCATTGATCCCTCCATGTAACTAACCCATTGGTTGGCTGTGAATACATTCCAGCAGCAAGGCGAGCACTGTTCCTTCTCCTCTGGCTCACAACATAGTCCTGCATGTCTAAAGATGCCATCTGCAAGACAACCCACACGAGCATATGAAAGCAGCACAAAAGCACCCAATTACCCCACATCACTAAGTCACTGAGCACATCGACTCACAGAAGTCTCCTGCATAACGCAATTTATCTGCCGCCATGAGGCCAGGCCGTGTAATGGAACCGTCGTGTAGAATAATAAATCGCATACAGGCCATGTGGAATATACCTTCTCAGCTGTAAAGGTCGGTGAATATACAAGTTTGACGTCAACTGTCTTAGAAAAGGTAAAAGCTGCTCGAAGATCGATCGACGGCGGATCAGCCAAAAGAATGTAAACAGCACCGGTTACGCGCCTTCCATTCACTGCTTTCAATACGCCATTGTTCGTAGCAATCAGCGCCAAGATAGCCTCAAAATTAAACAACATGTACGTTCGTCAAGTTGGCACCAGATTCATATTCGTAGTCAGCGCACCGATACCGGTCCAAGACCTTGTGCTCATTATGCTCAGAATATTAAACTTCTTCAACCCGGACCATCTCTGTCCTTGCTTCCAAGATTTTGGGCGGGCAGGCTCAAACATTTTGATGTCGTTTGTTTAACTAATCGATTCTGCAAGAAGTAAACATATTCGGGCAAACAGGGCATGATCTCGTTCATTTTTTAACTCATTTCGACCCATGCTTCTCAGCACGAGTAAGACCCCTTATTCCTTTCCGTGCAAGGACTCCTTGGGTAGAACACTAGGAGGCGCATCTTGTTCCTGGTCAAGGTTGAAGAGCCATTCCGTTTCACCGCGGGCATAGGCGCAGGAACGTTTCAAAAATTGGGGGGGCCAAGCTCAGGGCGTAGTTCAGGAACTTCTTCTAGAAAACAAGCCCGATGACCGCGGGGGGGATGGTAGAAATGGGGGTTATCGATCTTTATTCAAATGCAATGACTGCTATTCTAGATTTGCATCTAGACCTGATTCTCACCGGTGCACATTCTTGCCTATCCAACTCATCTGTCATTCGGGAAAAAAGGCCATCCGGGTTCCCAAGATTATTCGTCCATTTCGACGTTGTCTCTCCTGGGGAGTCGAAATTCCACGAGCGGGTAGCCATTTTGGGTCATTGAGGAGGCCTCTGTCACCGGAGGGTAGATACCAAAATATGGCCTAAGCAAAGTCTGGTGAGAATTTTGAAAGTGAATGGATGGCTCACAGCACAACAGATTTTCCATGCGCCTTTATCTCGCTGGCTGCTTTTCAAGAGATAAGACTTGTCGTGGCGTTTTAGACGGAGACAAATTCGGAAGCTTTTGCATTTGAATAAGCGACAGCAAGTCCTAGAGCGATAAAACAGGTTGATTTTGACCCTGGTCTAACCTTTATACCTCACCTTAGGTCAACGCAATTTGCTCATTCAATATTTTTGTTGCCTAAGAAAGCATCTGAGAAATGTATGGCTTCGTCTAACACTCCATTGTTGCATCAGATTGAAATGTTCCCTAGAAGTTGACTTCGCTGAAAACCATGGCCTGAATTTGACCTGGCGTAGGTTAGCGACCTTACAAGGCACATTTACCTTTTAATGTCAAACGATCCGCTATTCAATATTCTACAACTATGCAAAACATGGCGCGGCTGCGCCGCGCCGTTCGGAAACCATTCTGGAAAAACCTTCGAGGGGCGAGTCAATTTGACCCTCACCCGGGCGGGTGTAAGGTCAATAAACTGCAGAAATCAGGCGTTTAACGATCGCATAGAATAAATCACCGGTGGTCTTAATTTGCAATGGCTTAGTGAGCTCTTTCTAAACCGATAGAATTCAGAGAATTTGTCATAAAATTGTATCTGCGTGCTACAGACATTGAGGAAATCGCGAAGGTAGATTGTAGATCGATATGTTTGATCGAAATTTGAGGGTGAAAATTTTGATTGTAGATCTAGTGACAAGCAATGTGTATTAACATATCCAAGCCATGTTTTTTCTGGATATGTTTAACATTCAGCCAGAATAGATCAGTGATACAGCACACATAACGGTGTTTTTAACATGCGCGCTCGCAAATCTCAGCAACAAAAACCTCGACACCAGGCGCTGAAGTCCTCATGGCCCGCGGAACACTAGCTGAGTGGTTAACTTCTCGTAATGGTCCACCGGTGAACGGAAATGGTAACGGTTTTGAAATGACAGCCTTTAAACACTTGAATGGGTTAGTCAAAAAGTTCTGTGACATGATTTTGAGCATGCGTACTCGTAAATCTTAGTTTAAAAAACCTCGACGCCAGGCGTTGCAGTCTCCGTAGGCCGCGCACAACAGCTAATACTGAGCTGTGGTCGACGGGCGGACGAAAACGATGGCGCTTCTGAAAGAAGTACCATTGAACGCTTCGGGACATCAAATCTTGCATCTACAAGGCAGTCTGGGCGCATATTTCACGTGTGCGATTTTTAGACTGATGATATGAACGGATTGGCCTTAAAAGGACTGTGAAGTGGTGCTGGAATATGGTGGTGGATCTGGAGGAGTAAAGGCAGATTCTCTGTTTTTCGTTTCCTGTAACTATTACTCTGTCTTGAAGCCAGATTAACGTGGCGCCCGCCGTCTGGTGGCACTTGCAGTGGCCGACGCCGTTCGGTTTTACGAAAGCTGCAACCCAGATCATCCCTGTCCCTCCCCTCGAGGTTGCGGGCAGACATGTTCAAACCTTTTGATGAAGTTTTTCACTAATCCATTCTGAAAATATGAACGCTCGTAGGCAAACATGGGATGGCCTTGTTCGATTCTTTAATTCATTTATACCTACTCCATTCAACAATAATGAGACCTTCACTCTACTCAACAATAATGAGGCCCCGTATTTCCTTTCGGGCGAAGTGCCCCTTAAGTAGAACACCAAGGGCACATTACCGGTTCCGGTCAAGAGCGGAAGGGCCAGGCCGTCCCATCGCGAAGCGTCTTCTGGCTGTCATTCTAGCTACACGGGGCGGGATCTCCTGGCCGATCCGGAAGCCATTGGAAGGATATATCATATCGCATTGTTCCCCTCCCTGGCACGGAAGGCCATCTGACCCGCGCAGTTGGCCCCGGATCAGCGCAGGAACCCTCATTGACACAACAACATCCATGATCGCCAAAGCTGGTCCAATAATTGTCACACAGGTTCCAGTTCCGTGTTTTTCTGTTTTCTTCAGAGATACTGAGAGATCCCTTAACGTAGATTGTAGATTAGATGAGATCCTAAGCTTGTATTAACATGGCTAATCCATGTTCGTCTTAAAATGTTCAATATTTAGTCAGAATGATTGCTGATAAAAACCATGTAATATGTTTTTGAACACACGCGCTCGCAAGCCACAGCAACAACAGCCTGAACGCCTGGCATTGCAGTCTCCATAGGCCGTGGCGTCGGCCTGCGGTTGCGACACTAAGCGATGGCCAATAAACAAACGAAAAAGATGACGCACCTTGAGGAAGATGACTAGTGAACTAGGCTAACCGGCATGCATATTTAAATGTGGTGCTAAAGTAAGCTAAACACAACCATAATATAAAAAGTGTGAGGGGAGAGACAGTTAACCCGGCTGGTTCCACACCTTGAAAAGCGTGTGGGAGGGGGGGGGGGGGGGAAGGGGCATGGGCCCTGCTGGGCCCTCCTGTTCCTATGCCCATGACCGCGCGTGTCTTCCGGCTGTCATTCTGCTGACAACGAGCAGATTTCCTGGTCGATCCGGAGGTCCTCAGAGGGATATATCATGCTGCACTGGTCCCCTCCTTGACACGGGAGGCGTTTTGACATGTGCAGTTGGCCCCGGATCGACACAGTAACCCGTATTGGTGCTACGACATCCGTGATCGAAGCAGGTGGTCCAATAATTGACTCATGGACTCCAGTTAGGCTTAACGGGCCCGTCCTGGAATTGGGCTGGAGGGCCCGCCGTCCGGTATTGGGGGCCCTGGCTGGCGCAGGAACTTTCCATTGCCTCACTGCGAACACGTATCATACGTTCTCCTGTTTCCTTTCATTGTCAGAGGGCCCCGGCCAACTTAAGAGGCCCTCTATCATTTGGGGTCCATTCCCCGTCCCCGTTGAGCAAATGCTCTGGCCAAGCCGACTCGAGACCTCTTGCTGACACAAAGCATCATGTTGACTCAAGGCACCAGCCCTGACCAATTCAAGAGTCCCGCATTGTTTCAGGGACCCGGACCAATGTAAATCGCGGACCCGGCCTTGCCCCTGCTTGGGAAGTGAGCCTCCAGAGCTCGGACCAACACGAAGCGGACCATTCTGTGTTTGTGATCTCTGGCCGAAATAAAGAACGCTCTGTATTAGGGGTCCCCAATCGGGACAAGAGGTCCTTTTACTGACATTTGAGATGACGGCCATATGGGCGGGGGGCTTTTTGACTGTCCGTCGTCCTTCCGTTCTTTAGGTACCCCACAACCAGTCCTCCGGGCCTTTCAGTCTTCCAATCTGGCCCTTGATCCCTTTGGCCCCTCTCCGGGCATTCTCAGACAAAGCCCGTGACCGACTCGGGGTCGACAGCCGACACGTGGCCCGCTTTTAGGCACTGTGGGCTCCTGACCAACACAAGGGCTTCAACCATTGTTTTAGGCGACCCATACCAATGAAAATCGTGACCCCGGCCTTGCTCCTGCTTGGGAAATGGGTCTTCAGGGTTCAAACTGACAGAGAGCCAACTGTTCGGTGTTCGTGGCCTCTGGCCAACTGAGACACCCGCATTGTCACAGGGATCCTCAAACGGTGCAAGAGGCTATCTGACCTGATATTTCAGGTGTGACCCTACGGGCTGCAATTCTTTATGTGGCTTACAGCCAGTTCTTCGGACCCTTACGCCCTCCAACCGAGCCCTTGGTCGTCAGGTTCCGGTGAGCCTCCCAGGTCCCTTTTCGGGCCTTATTATCAAGCACTGCCCTTGGTCAGCTCGGAACCCCTTGCGAGCTCAGGACCCTGTGCTAGGCACCCTGGGACCCTCACAGATGCAGGGGCCCCGACCAGTGTAAATCGCTGGCCCCGCTTTGTAGCTGATGATAGTGTGAAAGGGGCCCTCAGACCCAAACTGACCCGGAGTTGACTGCACGGCAATGGTGGTGCCTGGCCGACATATAGGCCCACATCGACTCAGAGGACCTCCGATCGGCGCAAAAAGCTCTCTGTCATGGGAGAGCCCGTTCCCGCAGGCCGGGGCCTTAAATTGGACTCTGGCAAACCTTTAGTGCCCTTAAGCCCTCCAATCTGGCCCTTGAATCGTCGGTCTTGGTGGGCCCTCCAAGTCTCCGAATCTTCTCGAA